TGTTTAATTTGACAGTGAATTCTTGACCAACAGCAGTTGACCACACAATCTCAGATTGTTGTTGCTCTGCTGATGAAGACTGTGTAATATCAGAATCAGCTTTATTTGCCAGGTATGTGTACACATACGAGGAATTTGACTCTGGATTATACATTGCTCACGATGTGCTTACTTATACAGTAACACAATATGGTTGAAAGCTCCAGAACAAGCAAGTACTTTGAACTTGAGCAGAGATTGTTCTGTCAGCTGCTGTTTCCAGGATAAAGAATGAACCATCTTCAAATGCTTCAAGCAAACAAGGTTGTGCAATGTGTCATCCAACCATGTCTAATAGCATTCTGGGCTTCTGATTAGTCGCACTTACAAGGTAGGACCAGAAGCCTATCGCTACAGCTTCCTCTTGGCTACATCTCACTGCCTCCAGGAAATCACGTCTAAGCTCAACTGCGTTAGTTAAATTTTTCAACTCGAGCGATAAATAGCGCGTCACGCTGTGTCGCAATAGCCTGAGAATGACGGAGTCGCTACTGGCCAACAGTCTACTGCTGAGTGACGGGGAGCTTTGGAGGAGAGAGCCGGGGCGTAGCCGGAGCATTAGGACAAATAAACTCCGACAGACGGATTCTGCTCCGATAAAGCTGTTCGCAGGCCGGAGGAGCTCAGAGGTAATTACTCTTATTAAATAAAGTTATTCCTTGTATTTTTGGGGATTAAAACGTTGACTTATCTTACACAGCTAGCCACCATGTTTCTAACCTCCACTGTTGTTATTATAGTGTCAGCTCTGTGATACTTAGGGATGGGAATCGAAAACCGGTTCTTCTTCGGAACCGGAGCCCAGTGAATCCATTACTTGGATTCGTTAGCATGCCTGCTTAACGGTTCTACTTATCGGTTCCGCTCGTTGCAAATGCGTCATGACGTCAAACAAGCGCCGAGTTGTTTTGGTTGAGAACGCAGCAAACATGGTGTCGAGGCAGAAGCGCCCTCAAGTTTGGTTATATTTCACACGCAAAGACGACAATGCGGTCACTTGCAACACTTGTAAAGTTTCTGTGGGTAATCAAGCTTTGAATTAAGATGACAGTTTATTGATTCCTTTTTATGTGTTTTGATTATATTTGGGGAACACGGCCAGACAAAAAGGACCGACATTTCCATTTCGTCAAAGGGGGGGAACTACCTCCAATATGCAGAACCATTTGGCCACACAGCATGCAATTCATTTGCACGACTGCCGCGTGTTTGATACACTACTACTTAGCGACACAACAAGGGAGTCAAGCAGCAGCGGAGCCAACAGGACGCCATCTGTTATTAATGCAGAAGGTAACTTTAAACTCTCCAGGCAGGACAGGCCCTGTCTACTTAGTTAATGTGAGCACCATTTCATTGTGTAAACTTCTACTATACGAATAATCTCCATTGTCATTGTCCATCAAATTTAGATGATGATGAAGACAGCCAGAGTCTGGGTGTCTCAGAGGCTGCAGCAGGTAGCTCTGGTGCACCTCTAGCTACTCCGTTCACAGAGGAAGGGAAGAATAAAATGACTGAGGCTAGGATCAACGAATGTCACCGAGCAGTGACTAAGTTTGTGGCAAAGGGTTTGCACCAGTTTGCCACAGTAGATGCCTCTGCATTTCGGTAGGTTAATTTGCTGTGTTTTGTCCAGCATGTCTTTTCAAATGAAAATAACAAATGCATGACCAAAAGGTGCATGTTTTTATGTCAGTATAGTTCTGTTTTATTTATTCCTAGTCCTACCTTATATTTTCTGTAGGGAGATGATAAAGACTCTCAACCTAAAATACAATGTCCCAAACAGAGACAGTTTAACAAATCATCTGATTCCTGCTTGGTATGGGGTTGAAAAGAGCAATCTGATCACAGACCTGAAACATGTCACACATGCAGCCATCACAGCAGATGGTTGGACTAGTTTCAGTCAAGACCACTACCTCACGGTAACATTGCACTATGTCATGGAAGGTCAGAGTGAAGAACAAGTCCTCAAAACCAAAGCAGTGTACAAAGGTCAAACAGGGACAGCTGTGGCTGAGGAGATTGAGGGGATCATGGAGGAGTTTGGAGTGAAAGAGAAGGTGGTGGCAGCAAACTGTGGATAACGCAGCAAACATGGATGTGGATCAAGTTTATTAGATTAGGATCAATTTAAAAATGATAAATGGTAATATGTTTAATGAAATCTCATAATTATGTGTGTGTGAGTGTGCCTGCAGAGCACATGCTCCTTTTAGATGTGAGGACGAGATGGAACTCTATAGCTGCAGCTTGGATAGCAGGAAACTGTTCACAAACTCTCTCCATCATCAAATACAGACCAACGGCTTAGAAAGCCCATGGAGAAGGAGAAGTAACTAATGTAATAAAATGACTTATATAACACTTGGTTGACTATAGCCATTAAAAGGGTTATGTTTGTTGTTTATACAATATATATTTTTATGTTGCAGACTGGCCAGAATGGGCAATGAGGACCTGAGGAAAGCAGAGGAGTTTGTGCTGCTGATGAGGATGCATTACACATCCACACTTGCTGTCTCCAGCGAAAAAAGTCCAACCTGTGACCAGATATCGCCAATCCTTCAGAAACTGCACAAACACTACACAGTGCTGGAAGACGACTCTGCGTTTGTCAGGAGCATCAAGGAGAACATCTGGAATGATCTTTCCAAACGTTACCAGGTACAGTAATTGACATGTAATGATGGATTACTATATGAAGATTAATCATATACACTAATCGTTATTTATCGTCAGTCACATTTTCTTCTAAATTTGTGTTGTTTGTCCTCCATTGTAAACTTAAGGATGATGATATCCAGGCATTCCTGGAGGAAGCCACTGTGTTAGATCCCAGATTTAAATCTAAAATGGACAGGGATGAAATCTGGGTCAGGGTCAGGGCATCAGCAGTGGCAGCAAACACAGAAGCAGTTGAGAAGGTATTTGAATTTTTGACTACGTAAGTTTATTGTAGCCAATTGTGATGAATGATGATAGATGGCAGGGATTATTACACTATTTAATTTAAGACTAAACCTTGTGGTTATTTCATAATTTCAGACGCCACCTGTAAAGCAGAAAAAGAGGACAGCCCTAGAGGAACTTTTCGAAGAAGAGGACAGCAAGCTGCTTTCCACACAGCAGCAGCCCCCATCTCCACAGCCCAGAGAGTGGATCAAGAAATCCAACTTTATAGAAGCCTTCCTCCCATTCCAACCAAAGACAGTGCCAGTTTCTGGTGGTGGAAAAAGAGTGACACATTGCCAGTGTTGTCAGCTCTAGCTGAGAAGTATCTCTGTGTCCAAGTGTCCTCCACCCCTTCTGAAAGGGTGTTCTCCACTGCTGGAGACACCCTAAGTCCAGAAAGATCTCGTATCCTTCCTGAGAGAACATGATTTTTCTGCACAAAAATTGTTAATTTGCCAAAGTTGATAGTTGTGGTCTTACCTTTACAGAAGACTTCTTTGTATTTTTTATGTCAGTTGAATTTTGTTTCAAGTTGAATCCAAATGAGCACTGTTAATACTCTGAAAGGCACAAGCTCTTCCTTCACTGTTTTCAATCTGTGTTTTTAGTTTTTATGGCACAAAATGGCAGTTGGGCTTAAAAAGCTAAACATTTATTTTTTTGTCTGGACCAATTAATGTGAAAATTAACAATTTCCTAATCCTAAGGCACTCTTGATAATCTTTCAAGGCACACACTAGCGTGCCATGGCATACTGGTTGAAAAACACTGCCCTAGGCTATGGGTCCCTGGACTTTACTTTGAGAAATAGCTCACCTACTTTTAGGTTTGTTCTGAGGTTAAACATTATTTGTGTATACTATGTGCTGTGTCTTCTGATCAGAAATTAAAGCGAGTTAATACACACAAACTTGTACTTATTCCCTCACTCAATGACAATCGATAAGAGAATCGCTAAGGAATCAGATCGATAATGGAATCGGAGTCGTTAAATTCTTATCAATTCCCATCCCTAGTGATATAACTTCATATTTCTACAAAAAAACAGACAAAACTGGACACTGCTTGGAGCAAGGAAGCAAGGAAGTTGAACGACCTGGTAAGTTCAGAAAATATGTGCCTGTTACTTGATTACAGCTATAGTTGTATTTTACTGTGAACAAGTTAGCATAGCATAGGCCTGATGGATCGCATTGTAAAGGTTGTCGTCTTACTGAAAGACCTGACAATGCATGAATTTATAGGTTTAACAAATTGGCAGCATGCTGTAGTTATTTCGGCTGCATTTTCTTCAGTTTATTGCAGTTAAATCAAAGCAAAGTGTTTATTTTGGGTTCATACCGCTGTAGTAAAGTGGGTTGAGTTTACTCAAATAAACTAGCTTTTTTCTTGCATTGTATGAGAACATCAGAAGAGTAGTCGGGCGATCAAACTCGAGTCATGTGGCGCGTTGGCTTGGTCTGAATGCACAGTTAAGAGTTCTCTGTCTTTTGAGTCTTTGAAGAATCAGCGCCAAGAATCATACAAACAGTGGTAATGCCACACACCTTCAGTCTCTCTTCAAATGCGTTCCTGATATTGAATGCAATTGTTAACATGAAAACTGACATGGTGTTGTCAAGAATGAAAAAAAGCATGAGAAAAGTCCAAACAATGGCAATATTCAGAGTTCCGCACACCCAGCCAGTGGCTGCATGAAGTGGGTTTGGACTGTTGGACTGTCAGTCACAGTGTAAAGTTATAATTAATCATCAGTGGGACACTGGAGTGTCTCCTGTTTGATAAGGACAATCGAAGTCCTTCTCCTGTTTTGTGCTGGTTAAGCCCCTTTCAGGCAGAGAAACACAAGCCATACGTTGAAATACATTGAGTTTTAAAGCAGTTCCCCTAAGCCAACCAGAGTGGTAGGTGCAGCTGGTGTTCTCAGCCTTGCTAGATGGTGCAATGCTACCCTTTACTTGGTGTGCCATAACCTTCATGTGGAAAAACAGGAAGCCTACCGGAGTCGTTGCGTAGGTAGGAGGACATGGCAGGGATGAGGCAGGACTGGCTCAGTAGCTCCTGCAGCACTGCTGGCAGTGCTGAGCTGTTGTGGGCTCTGCTGTCTGCTGAGGATGCATCAGCACTGTGGCAGCTGCTGGAGCCTGCTGGGTTAATGTAGCTTGCCAAGACCTAGTGAACAAACCAATGTAGACATACTATAAGATGAATTAAACTGGTCCACCTAGCTTAAAGCTGGGGTAGGTAATTTATTTCAGAAGCAGTTTGTTATTTTTGTCATGCGGTCCAAATGAAATGATTGGCTGACCGACCTGCCTGTCTACCTGTGTGCACTCTGCCCGTGCATCACTGCACATGAACATGTGCTTTTGGGGAGTGGCTTTGGAGGGAAGACTAAAGGGTGGCGTGAGATTTTTTGGTTGCATAAATCTAGCTGTCTCTTGCTGCTTTCTCCAACATTGTCTAACAAAGCTTTAAACTGATACACATAAGTACAGACTTTACGTGAGCTGTTCTGGAGAACGACCAAACTGGGACAATCTCTGGCTGTATTTGAAACCGCCTGCTATACTAGCAGTAAGTACTGATTTGGCCTAAATGTAGTATGCAGTAAGCAAGTGAAAGCAGAAGCTGCAGTATGCCAAAGAGTCTGCAGTATGTAGGACAGATGCAGCTAGCTATAATATAAATATTACAGATCGGCTGCAGATTGTTCTCCTCACACAAGATTAAATTACAAAACATTTATATAAGCATATGTGAGTAATTGGTACTTAAATTAATATTCCTCCTATTCCTCATCCTGTGCCGCCCAGCAGACTGGTATGCGGTATATTCCTCCTCTTGTTTACTTTCTAAAACCAAAAACTGGCTAAGCCTGGCCTAGCATACAGCAAATAAATCGATTTAACAGTTTCATACTGCGTACTACTGTGAAATGCACTGTGTAGTACGTACTGCGGTCACCGGTAGTATAGTAGGTGGCTCAGAATACAGGCTGTGTCTGTTTGGGTGAACCTCAAACCACACATCTTCCATCTTCCTGTGCCTATATCGATGGCTCTCGATGGTTATCGATGGTTTCTCACATTTAGAAATGTAGCACAAGGCAGCACATTTTCTCAACCTGCCTACCACCCGCCTACTCTTAAAGCCTGAGAGGAAGCACTGCCTGAGCAGGCATATTTTGGGACATCAAAGTTTCTAAATACTTCTGTACTATGGAAGCTACAAAGCCCCAACAAGCAGGAAGGACAGCTGCTGAGCAAGATAAAAATGTGACATAATATTCTTTTGATATGGCACAATGTGTTTACCTGCTAACTCTGACAGCCCTTGGTAAAGGTAAAGTGGTACAAATACTTTAAGCTACCACATTTCTAAAATCTCAGTTTAAAATGAAGTGACATTGATGGGTAGACTGACCTGCAGTAGACAGGTGACGTGTTCCTCTTCTAGCCGTTGTTTGGTTAGGGCCTGCTCCACGTCCCAGCCTGAGGCTGTGGATCCAGTACCAAAACCAGTCCCTTTAGCCCAGTACAACTGCTGCTCCTCACTGGTCCCCCCACCGTGACAACTGGATATCTGTGGCTGTCATCAATGACATAGATAGTATATTAATGATACTTTCATTCAGCACTTTCTTATGTTTTTCATAGGGCTGGGCATGCTAACGCGTTAATTAACGCAGACAATTTTTTTATTGCACGTTAACGCAGTGTTTTTTTTAATTATTATTTTGAAAGTCCGTTGCTCACTGGCTCTGAATACACATAGGCTACAGTCAAACCATGGGACACAGGAGGGGCGGGATGTTGATCAGCCTGCAAATCACCCACCCAGACAAGCAGTGGAGGGAGGCTTCAGCAGGTTCTCTCAGGTGAACAGAAAGGGAGACAGCGCTCCGTAAGTGAACGGCAGGCGCTCTATGGATAGCAACCACGGCTTCTGTGCACTACACCGCCGTTGCCTTTTTAATTTAAATTAAAATTAGACTTATGCTAACTTTACCTGATAGGCGTGCATTTAGTTTTGCGGGGATGCTCTGCCATATGGATTCCCTCCTGTTGATGTGCTGATTACTATTTAGATTCTGGGAAATCACAAACGGCGAGGATCAGTCTCTCTTCCAATAGTTTGTGCTGCGCGTCGCAAAACAAGAAGTTCAAGACAGAATACAGTATGCTAATTCAACTTCGGCAGCAGGCGGGTGTGTGCGTGAGGCGAGCACCGCTTGTCGCTATACCTTGTGCTCGATCACTTCACCTCACTGTAACAGGGACACTTGCTACTGAACAGACTGTTTCTGCTGCTCCCTGATAAAAGAAAAATGTTTCTGCTGATACCTGCTCAGAAAAAATCCCAAGAAAACTGGACTCTGATGTTAACTTGTTTTAACAAGCTAGATAAAAGGTAATGCCCTGGCAGTGGCAAATAGCTTTAGTTTAATATTTGATTTGATTACTTTAATGTTTAAATTGAGATTTACAAGAAATATTTTATTGCTACTGTGTAAAGGGAATACTGCTGGTAAAAAGCACCTTATTTGTTGAAAGTGTTTGCAAACCACATGTTAATGCACTTTTGTGTATATAGCAGTACATTTAAAATCAAGTGTGCAGTACACTACTTTAGAATTCATTATTCAATTTTGCGAGTAACAATGCGACTAATCGCGATTAAAAATTTAAATCGTTGCCCAGCACTACTTTTTCATATTTCCCTTCTAGGTTTTAAGGAAAGTGGTAGCCACTTTATAAGCCTATGTGGTGGTGGAATTTGCAAAAGTTACATTTGACTCAGTGAAATTCAGCAAATTTTGTCTAAAAAATATCAACATTGTACTTCCAACCAAAAAGGTTAAAGCCTCCAACATTCCAAAAATAAGCAAATAAAGCAGTGTTGAAATTGTTTTGATGGTCATCAAAAACCTGAATTAAGTAGTGTAGTGAAGTAGCCCGATTCAGCTCCCAATCTTACAGTCGAACCTATATGAAATGAGGATCATACGATTTTGGGGGTGCTTTTTTACACACACACACACACTTAAACTGGAAAAATACTGGATTAGATTCTGATAGGAACTTCCTCCTGTCACAGTCACCTGCAGTTTAACTTTTATGTCTCTAACAGAGTTCCGTATCCTTTTCATTTTCCTCAGCCAGGTGCTGTGGAGGCCCTGCAGACGGCTCAATGGAAATCTTTAAAGTCAGTTTAATGGACAGGACAGTCAAGGGGAGTTTGAGAGTCAGTCTCTCTTCATGACGATTCCATTCCCATGCTTCTCTCCCTGAGGGTGTCAATAATACAAAGGACATGTCTCTTTTCCTCATCTATTTCTCTCCAAAGCTCTATTTGCCTCTTATCATTTGGGCTGAACAATTAAGCTATTTGTCAGAGGCTCACTGGGAGATATGCAAAAGAGACCTTGAGTAAAGGCCAGCGAGGCAGAGAGCCATTAATAATGGGAATGCTTTTTCCCCTTGTTTCTTTATCAGTGTGAACGAAACTATCACTCAGGCAGAGTGACAGAGCAGCCTGTGGCATGGAGCTGGACAGCCTTCTTTTATTTACTCTCGTTCCCATATGGACTCAAAAGTCCAGGGAGCAAGACATGATCCAAAACACGGGAGTATAGTCCCAAATAGAGTGGAAGGTCTTTTAAATCGAAACACTGTGTGTATACATGTTAAAGTCCACAGAAGAAAAGAATTGATGCTGTTTTGAAGGCGACGGTGTGTTTCTGTACTTTTGTTCTTATTCCTTCTTTTTCAATCAAGTTGTAGTTAAGGACCAAATCAAACATGTTGAACATTTCTGAGGCCAGTCTGGGGGGCCTTTCCTTCTTCAAAAGGGACAGCTGAAGGTCAGGGAACAACTGTGTTCAACTGAAGGTCTTCACAAAATCATTTTAACTGTGTGTTGTGGGCCATACCTCTGACACACTGGTGCTGGCGTTGGGGTTGCGGGGGGCGTGGTGGCTGAGAGCCGACAGGCAGGCCAGGATGAGGTGGATGGCACCAATCTCCAGAGCCATGCGGCGTAGCAGCACACCGTCATCAGTGGTCAGAGGAGTGCTGCTGAACAACGCTCGCAGGACGTGGAATGGCAGCGTGGGCAACACATTGGCTGACGGAGACTGGAGGATATGACCTAAGAGGATGCCAAAGCAGACAATTCACTCAGAGCACAAAGAGCATTTGATTAAGTTTTGGATGTAAGACAGATTTACTGGTTTGCCAATATCAGTGTTGGTGCATTTCAAAAGTGGTGCACTAGAATTTCTACTGCGACAACTTAAATTCTGGGTGAGAAAAACAACACCTTGTAAGTTTCTGAATTTTCCCAGCATAGGATATGACAAAAACACAGACGCTAAATATGAGCAAAAAAAGAAGTCATAATGCTATTGGAAGGATTAAGCTAAACGTGTTGGGATTTAATAAAAAAGTATCTATTGAAATCAAGTCTAAATGTTTTCAGGCTATGCATATATTAACCATGTTATATAGCATTGAGTGGGATGTATATAACATTTCAACATCATATAATGTCTGCAATCATTTTAGCTCTTTGTAGGGATTAGTGTGTTGGCCTTTGACATAAGAAGTTAAGTGTACTGTGCTCTATTGAACAGACATTTCTTAATTGATAACACACAGTTTCCGAACATGTTCACAAACTGTACCTAGCTCAAAAGCAGTAATGTTTACACACTGCTTCATTTGAAGGAACTGCTGCTAGACGTAAAGGAAACACACGTTGTGAATAATTGTTTCCGTATCTGCCTCTGCAGCAGCGGCCTGATGCTGTGTGACCTGTATTATCAAATCAGAGCATCTCACTAAGTAGATCAAATAATATGAGCAGAAGTATGCTAATGAAACGTAAAATAAATGGTTAATATTCAACAAAAAGTCAGACACAAAAGACACAAGAACAGAGGATGAAGGTGTGTAGTGCTTTCAGACTTACTGCCTTCTCCATCGTCGGTGACACCCAGCACCAGGCGCAGCAGACACTGGGCGTGCTTCCTCTCCTTCAGTAGCACCTCTGCGTACCCTGGCAGGCGCAGGAACAGGCCGAAAGCAGCCAGTGAATGGGCAGGGATGGGTGACATGGTCTGCACTGAGGTTGAGGATGATGAGGAGGACTGGGACTGCTGCTTGTTGATTGGTGGTGGCTCGGCGGCGATTGACTCTGGTGCCTCGTACACCAGCTCGCCCGACTGCTCGATGGTTACCCACTCAAACTGGTCGTTGTCCTTGGGCTTCTCCTGTGTGGCGGAGGCCACCACTGGGGCGCTGACCTGTGAACAACCATCCAGGAGAATAGAGTGTAACTTTAACAAAGGTGAGAGGAGTAAAGATGAGAAAATTATGACAAGTGAATTTAGGAAAGCAGGATCTCTGCTGGGTCATGATGATGGTTTCTAAAAACATCTTGGAACACTATTTTACAAAGTACACTGACATACTTTAGCCCTAACTGCCTCAAGTACTTTGATCTGTGTCTGTGGCAGGCTTTGAGTCTCACCTGCTGAATGACATCAGGGTAGAGCATGGGCAGCCTCTCTGCGATTAGGGCAAGGCCACCCATTCCTGCAAAGACCTGCAGCGGTGACTGGATGGGGTTGGTCTCCAGCAGGGACTCATCAGTGGCAGCGTCCAGACAATCTTCACTGGCCGTCATTGGTTCGTCCTCTGGACAGCTGTTCAGCAAGTCACAGTGATCCACTGCAAGGAGAGCAAAGAGAGGACCTGTTGTATGTTCATGCACTGTTTGGCATCTGGGACACTTAGAACTGCATTTGTTTGTAACCTGAAGTCTACTATGAGGAGAATCCCATCCCTGAAATGAGAAAAATGAGTTTGGTTTAATGAACAGTCATGTATGCAGTACAACGTGTAGTATCATGGGAACATGGAACAGATGAGACAAGAGAAAGGGTGTTGCTGATTTGTTCACACAGAAGCTCAGCATAACTAAACAAAACTATGATGCCGATACAGTCAAAATGTAGTTAGTTGTTATAGAAGTGATTTAACCAGAGGCCGTTTTTGCTCACTTTGTGCTTCTTTTTCACAGTTAACTACATCTTTCCATGTCTTGGCTTGTAGACGACAACATTTCTTTTAAGAGTAAGTTAAACTACTCTGAAATTCCATCATTTAGTATGGGAGTGATCCTAAAATGTACGAGGACACAAATCTATTATTTTATTCACAAACTTTAAAATTTTTTAAAGTTTTCACATGAACCTTATTTCCACTGGTTTTAAAACAACACAAATCTCTGCGTATGAATGGATAGTGTGTTCAAATGGACCATGCTGATGGGACCTCCTGAGCTGTCACAGTACTGGCAAAAATCTGCTAATTTTCTAATTAGTTCTCTCCCCTGTGTTTTTCTTATTTCTGCCTGTGATGAATATGTTCTGTATTAAATCTTAATATCTAGATTAATATGCTCTGTGGTTTGACACAACAGTTCCTACTCAGTCATTTTGTGGGCTAAGTCTGAGCACTGTTTCTATTAGCCTTAACATTGAGTTGAATCTGCATCTTCAAGTAATGCGGCATTAGCTCATGGCAGTTCTAGTTAAGGTACTTCCATGTAGACTTCAGTCTTCCACAAACAACCAACCAACCAAACAGAGAGCAGGAGACGAGAAGAACCCAACCACAGACCATCTCCACGCTGGCCTTCAGTGATCAGCAGGTCTTAATGTTTGAAGCTGCCCTTTGATTGTGCTATGTGGTAATCAAAAAGGACAAAATGAAAGACCGTCCTAATGCCCTTGTTTACATGTACATCATGACACTGAGGACAAAGTCTGACAGTCAGAATGCAAGAAAGGATGAGGCAAAACACCCCCCCCCCCCCTCCACCAGCTAAGCAAAGACCATTTTATTGTGATGGCACGGCATCAAAGTTTTATGATAATATAAAGCTCTGGTCGATTGATAGGTGTGATTGATAGGACGATCCATCATCTCTTACAGAGCAGAAAATCAGGCGGATGATTCATTGCTCTCCGCAGGGGAATTTTTCTTCTACCACACACATTCTCTTGGTGATGAATTAAAAAGTCACTGGGATTGTGAATAAAAGGGTTTCTAACAGAGATTAACGTGCCTGAACTTCCAAAACAGGATTAGAGGATGCTCATGTTTTCAGGAGGGCAAGGACAAGAGGGTCATTTGGCAGCTTGCCAGAGGAATAATTAAGCAGTTCTTCTACCATATGATCTTGTTCTTTCAAATGCAAAACCACAGAGGCTAATGACTGAACAGTCAGTCTGTCTGTATGGCAGGAAAGTTAAGGTACACATTTCCATGCATGCTGTGCTGCATGGTGTTCCACGTCACGCACACACCGGCACAGACAGTAACAGACTACTGTGTCACACACACAGATGCTAAAACATGTCGTCAGCATGGAAGTTCTTCACTGTGAATGAAGAAGACAAAACCTGTGCCATGTAATTTAGTACCAAGCTGGTCTCAATCGTTTTGAATGGTTACGTCATTAACAAGCCTCTTCCACGTCACATCTGCTGCTGTGAAAATGAAGCTGCGGGTGAAAAAAACAAAAATGTGAGTTGGGTTTTTTGGGCGACTTTAGAAAACTGCTGACAAAGAAAGTCACCTTGTATCTGAAGGTGAGAAGATTAAAGCAGTTTGTGAGGACACACTAAAATAAAGACTTAAAATGGAAGATAGGAAATAACCAACTGTTTTCTTTCAAATAAAACTTACAATACATTAAACAAAAGACCCTCGTACAAAAGCCTTAAGGCCAATTTATGCTTCTGTGTCTAATCTATGCAGTACCCAACGCACGCCTCTCTAAGTATAAACTGGCTGGTGCCGTCTTGGAGTGCAGATGTCATTTGGTACCACACTGGTTTAGATCGCCGTGAAAACAGATCACGGCTGGAAAATCCAGAAGACGAGCTGTGTCTGAGAGAGGCGGTTTGCAGTAAGAAACTCAAGGCGTGTGTGAAGAAAAGAGTAGTCTGAGGTGGGCGCAATGCAGGTAGATTTAAAAATAGTATTTTATGTTTTGTATTATTAACGACGGATTTTTTTTTTTCCTTGTAATGACTTTAATCTTAATTATCTAATCTTAATATTTATTCACCTACACTGGCCCCAATACACCATCACAAAACTAAAAAGCAATGATGACACATTTTTGCCTCCAAGTGAACCTGCAGGTGTGAAAGCAACCATAAATCCATTTGATAACTTTCAAATAAACGTTCATAAATCTCCTGGTAAATATCAGTGGAGCAGGAAAAATTTGGTAAACCTAAGTCAAAGAAAGATAAAACTTTTGTTAACTTGAATATTTTTAAACACAGGAGTATTCCTCCTCAAGTACCGTAGCACTGCATGATTTTGGTACCTTTCTCAGTGCGTAGCCTCTTGAAGGAGTCCGTCTTAGAAAGGCCAGGGTCAGAGATGACCTTGGAGCCCAGTTTGACAGTCAGGTTGATGGACTGGTAGCCCTGTGGCAGCTTGCGGTCATACAGGAGTGTCAGGAGCTGGGCCAGGGTCATCTCAGGTGGGAGGGGCTGACCTGGAGGGGAGGACAGGGTGAACTAAAATTCACATACATGAAATTTGGTTGCTTAAGTCGAGCGTTTGACTCAAACACCTCTATGTCCTGCTGCCAGATCTGAGGTGGCATGCACTGTATATGCAGTACCTGGAAGCAGCTTGTGGTAAAGGTGGAAGACCGGTACACTGATGGTTTTGGCTGAGGGGTCTACACCAGACGAAGCAGTCAACTTGTCGCTCATCACGCGACCCCTCCTTGATGGAGGTCTAGGAGGGGTTGAAAGGGCTCGCTTGGACTGGGACTTTAAGCCTGATGGCAGACAGACAACATGTTAGTCATCTTCTCATTTCGCATCTCACCATTTGGAATGTGGCTATTCAAATGTGTGTCCTAAATCACTCCTTCACTCATTTACATCATCGATGACAGGTGAAGAGCTGTAATTTCCATATGCATCAAATGTGACACATTGCATTGTGGGATTGTAAGCAGAAGGCGTGTACATGCCATTGACACTACTTTGTTGTTTTTACTGTGGACATTTCTGAGGGCATGATATGGTACAGACATTTCACACATATAAAGGGGATAAAGAGGGTTAAATGCAGTGCACTAGACAGCAAATAGGGAGGTATTTTAGACATATAGTGAAGGTAAAAATTATTTGATCCCTTGCTGAGTGTTTGCCCACTGACAAATGAGCGGTCTATAACAGTGAGAGACAGAATAACAGCAAAAAAAAAAAATGCATGCAAAAAATGTTATAATTTGATTTGCATTTTAATGTGTGAAATAAGTATTTGACACCTCTGCAAAACATGACTTAGTAGTTGGTAGCAAAACCATTGTTGGCAATCACAGTGTGTGACAACCTGCAATTATCACCAGGTTTCACCACCGGTGGAAATCCCCGGAAACGCCTATTTTGATTCAGCACACGCTGATTTGTTACCGAATGGCGCGACAATTAAACCGACTGCCTGTAAATGTCAGTGTGTCGGAAGGAGAGCGAGGGAGAGAGCAGTGACAAAATGAGCCAGAGCAACACGCTCTTTGACAGTCAGAACAAAGCAAAAAGTAAGGTAGTTAAATCCCCTGCCTACCATATTTCATCTGTGACTATCGGACGCCAATCCTCAGGATTGGATAATAATTCGTCGTGCAAAGTTGTTTGCGGAAGCCAGTAAAACATTCACAACCCAGCAGCAAAACCCTAGACTGGATTCTTTGACTGGACTCCATGAGTTATCAAACTTTTTTTCTTTACTGACGTTTTCTTTTGTTTGGTGCCTGAGAAACTAAACCATCTTTATTTTTGCTCGCTATCAGCACTGGACTGAATTTATTTTTGTGCTTTTTGAAATGAACTGCAACTAATTTGTGTTTTTGAGATTGTTTGGTTTAAGTGTGCAGAAAACCCGAAGAGGAATTTTGAGTTGGATTGTGCTTTACTTTGTGATTGTGTTTTTGTGTCAAATCTTTAAATACACCAATATTTTGTTTTGGTGGCTGTGAGCGTGAGTGGTTGTTCATCTATGTGTGGCTCTGTGATGGACTGGCGACCTGTCCAGGTTGTACCCGCCTTTCGCCCGATGTCAGATGGGATTGGCTCCAGCCCCCCGCGACCCTGTACACAGGATAAGCGTTTGATGATGGATGGATGGAATATTTTGTTTTGTGCCAAGCTTTTGAGTTTGTGGTGTTTCTTTCTTTTATGGTCATTCAGTAGGAGGGTGGATATTATTTTAAGATGTACATCCTTTGTGACATTTGATTTAAAAACCGTTGACAACCAGTAACCCGTATCTTACTGTCAGGAGAGAGACCTGACTGGCAGCCCGAACAATAATAATTTAAACTGTAAACCAAACTGTCACAAGAGGTCAGATGTTTTTTGTAGTTGGCCACCAGGTTTGTACACATCTCAGGAAGGATGTTGTCCCACTCCTCTGTGCAGATCTTCTCCAAATCATTATGGTTTCGAGGCTGACGTTTGCCAACTCAAACCTTCAGCTCCCTCCACAGATTTTCTACGGGATTAAGGTCTGGAGACTGGCTAGGTCACTCCAAGACCTTAATGTGCTTCTTCTTGAGCCACTCCTTTGTTGCCTTGGCCCTGTGTTTTGGGTCATTATCCTGCTGGATTACCCATCCACGACCCATTTTCAATGCCCTGGCTGAGCGAAGGAGGATCTCCCCCAAGATTTGACGATTTAAGAGTGTGCTCCTACTCTCAGCTTGTGACCTGTATAAAAGAAACCTGGGAGGCAGAGATCTTTCTGATTGAGAGGTGGTCAAATACTTACTTCACTCATTAAAATGCAAATCAATTTATAACAGTTTTGACATGCTCTGATTTTTGTTGTTGTTATTCTGTCTCTCACTGTTCAAATAAACCTACCAATAAAATTATAGACTGATCTTTTCTTTGTCAGTGAGCAAACATATAAAATCAGCAGGGGATCAAATAATTTTTTCCCTCCCTGTAGCAGATGTTAGATATGTTGATGTTAAGCTAATGTTAACTACTCCTTGAATGGTCCTTACAGTGCGAGAAAGCTCTAAAAAAACAATGTGTCCAACAGCACAATATGCATAATTATACATTCATATTTTCGTAGTGGAGGCACATCACCTACTTGCGTCATCCATCTACGCTGTTCTTATCTTTTGAAAATGCAGAAAATCAAAGAACAAGCTTTGGTCATAGTGCTAGCTTGTACATCGCAGTTCTATACCAACTACTGTTTAAAAAAACATTTTTTATTCTTTGTGAGGTTAATCAATAGTGATAATTGATTCAAATGTCCTGCAAAGTTTGGGCACAACTGTGTAATAGTTCTCTCTCTCTCCCTCTACCCTCCACACACACACACGATTGGCATGTAGGCAGTGGAACAAGATGCAGAGGCCAGCAGAGGTTGGCTAATTAGATGATGGCTGTGTGGCAATGGGATAAGGGGTATGTAAGGAAGAGAACCAAGAACCTGAGGCCACAACAACACTGTAGTTGTCCTGGAAGCCGCTGTCTGCTTTCATCTTCTCCTTCTCCTCATGATTCTTCTTCTCCTTGTCCTCTTTCTGCTCATTGATCAGCTTAGCTGTAATACTGGGTGTGTCTGTTTGGGTGAACAGAAGAAAGCATGAACTACAAAATCACATTAGTAATACAATATATTCATTTTGGGATTTCTTTCTTTTGGCAGGCTTAAAACTGTAGATATTGTAGATATTTTTGATGAAAATCTGTGCAATAAAAGTACAGGCAATAGATGATGCGTCTCAGACACACAGCCACACGCACATGCCCAAACATAGCCCCATAACAGCAGTAGTGTATCAGGCCTTCTATCAGCTCTTCAAGGTCCCAAGAGCTGAGCCATTCATCATGTTCTGCAGCTCACAGCATCCAGGCTGCACCACTGACCTTGATTGTCAAAGAATGTTCAGAGGATTAAAGCCCAAGGGCACATGGCTGATCCACAGCGTTGACTTCTGGGATACATTTTGTTAATAATTTAGCAGAGCTGGGAACGTTAAAGTGTTATTATCGTGTTAATGCATTCATTAATTAACGCCAACAATTATTTTGCTCACTGGCTCTGAATAGGCCTACACATAGGCTACAGTCAAACCATGGGTCACAGGAGGGGCGGGATGTTGATCAGCCTGCAAATCACCCACCCAGACAAGCAGTGGAGGGAGGCTTCGGCAGACTATGTTGGATGCAGCGTGTGGGAGAAGAAGATAAACAAACGCAAGACAAACGATCAAATGCCATAGCGAGTGGATAGCTACACACTGTATGCTGGTTAGTATTGGGGAAGATGACGGTCTTAGGAACGTTCTTAAAATCACAACATAGTTACTTGGCCCGCAGGTTTGCTCTTTCCTCAGGTGAACAAGCGCTCCGCGAGTAAACGGCAGGCGCACTATGGAGTAACCAAGGCAACAGCTTCTGTGCGCTACACAGCTGTAGCCTATTTAACTTAAGTTAAAATTATAGGCTACATAACTGTACCTGACAGGTCTTCATCTAGTTTTGCGGGGATGCTCTGCCATGTGAATTCCCTCCTGTTGATGTCCTGATAACTATTTAGGAAACAGTAATAGATTCTGGAAACTCACAAGCAGCGAGGATCAGTCTCTCTTCCAATGATCTGTGCTGCGCGTTCAGACAATTCAACTTTGGCAGCAGGCGGGCGTGTGTGCTTGAGGCGAGCACCATCGCGACACTTCACCTCACTCTAACAGGGTAACTTGTTACTGAACATGGACTGTTTATGCTGCTCCTTGATAAAAGCAAAAAGTTTTGGTTTAATATTTGATTACAATAATGTTTAAGTTGAGATTTACAAGAAATATTTTATTGCTGCTGTGTAAAGGGAATACTGCTGGTAAAAAGCACCTTAATTGTTAAAAATGTTACACACACCACGTTATTGCAATTATATATATCAGTACATTTAAATCAAAAGTGCGCAATACACTACTTTAGAATTCATTATTCAATTTTACGCGTAATAAAGTGATCAAATGATTTTCTTGCAATTAAAAATCGTTGCCCAGCACGATAATTTAGCCTATAATTAAAATCAAGGATGTAAACTCGTCACGGGTTGAAAAATGTGACAAAAATGTGTGAAAACCGTGATTTTTTTGCTTAAGGTTGTCCTACCGTGAACATTTTATACCAGCCCCTGCCTAAGACTGTGTGCTCCTCCTCCTTGTGTGCAATTACTTGAAAACAAGTGGAGGACTATGGAAGTGAAGACCCTCATATCTGAAAACATTTATTTTTTTATTTTTTTAAATATTGAAACACATTTTTTGAAAATCTGACACAATAAACAGTTTTTAAACACTAATAACACAGTGAGGAGAGAAAACACTCATCACAGAAAATTACTGACATTGATACATTGTAGCTTGAAGCATAGGGACTTGTCTTTGAGGAGCACACGTTGGCACAACGGCATCAGCTAAAACTACATCTGTCCACTGCAGAGGCTCTATCCACAACCTGGAGTAGGAACTAGTATTAATGAGGGTATTCATATTATAACATTAAATAAAAAGCCTAATGTTTATTTAATAGTATTCTGTAGTATAATGTTAATATATTAATTATCCAATTTTACTATTTTGATTAGAATTTAAAATAATACTATACTTGATAGCTTATCACTAGTATAATATTAATTACAGTTATAGCAGTTTCATCTCTATGGGTTGTTTTTATTAAATCCTTGTGCAAGAAAAATGCTCAACCTTAATCTTGTTAACGCTAATTAATGCATTCATTTGTTAATGCTAAGTAGATCTAATAACTCATCAATAATCACAACCATTCATGCAGAACAATTAGTTCAACATTTCAAAAGTTTGCTGTAACACATAAAACTTTTTTGGAATGTCCCGCCCCATCCAGGCTGTAATTGGTTTGTTCACGGAAAGTGACACTGACAAGCACATCGGCTTTATGAAAACTTTTTCTATTTTTCTTCCATCTTACCGTGTCAGCTGCAGACAACGCATCGTCACTGTTTTTGTAAAACGAGCTGCTCACAGAGAGCCCTGTTGCTTCAAAGCACAGACTTCTGGGGGGCTAGGAGGAAATGCGATGCTACCAAGCGGACCTATCACAGTTGTGGCTAAGGCGTAGATTGGAGGCAGAAGTAAATCAGGCAGACTGTCCGCATTACAACCATAGACTGTATGGCTTGCTTTTCTTATCCTGGTAACTGTCTCTGTAGCTGACAGAATATACGTGTACTCTGACAAGGCGTGGTGTACTTGTTTACACACTAGTAGCTCATTTTTCTATTAGCTGTAAGCCTTACGTTTCCCCACACACACACACACACACAAACACACACACACTCTAGTCCACTGGAAAGGTTTTCTATAGTGAAATATACCAGAGACCCGGTCCAGGACTTCAGCTAGCGTAGTGGAGATGGGCAGATGGAGGGTGCGGTACTTGTGCCCTGCTCCATACATGGGATGTTGGATCATGTGGCTGGTGGCATTGATGCGTCCTTTGTATAACTGGGAAGGAAAAGGACAAAATGGTTTTGTATTAGCATGTTATAAAAATGTATAAAGGTTAGAGCTAACCCTAACCTGTTTGGGTCTGGAGACCATACTCAGAGCTTCTTGGCAAGGTGAACAGATGTTGATATTTCTTGTATACAAGTGAACACAATGCTGATGGTGCTGGAGTCCAAAGCGAACACATTCATCCCCTTAGCACAATATCTGTAGACATGTCATGACAATTTGAGCAACTGTTGCTAGAATACCTTGTCTGGACCTTGTCAACCACAGTCCTCTCTGCTAGTGAGAACAGCCTAGAACACTGAGACAACTAAGATTGCTTGCTTTGGATAATTAAAACCTATTTTTCTACACACTGCTCCGAGACACACACGCTACTAAAAGATATTTTCTGACAACCAATCACCGAGCTGTGTAAAATATGGATCATTAAGGAGGACACATTAGACCAGGCATGCATAAGTCTGGGGGGATCACTGTGATTGGAAAGGAGGCTTCTGCTTCATGCTGCTGCGCTGTCCCCTTGTGGTCAGTGCTGAATACTACATCAATCTTTCTGCTTGGTGACACACCATCAGTTTGCGGTTGTAGTAAAAGGTGGGAGGGACTCATTATCGAGGAACATGACATTTTTATTCTATATGTAGTGAGAAAATTGCTTTCATGGAATGTCTCCCCGGCATACATCACAAACACTCCTCAGCAGCATTTAAGACCCTGTGGAATCTGCAATGAGGTTTTTGAATAAAACCATTCAGTCACCCTCTGGATCTGAACTGACTTGCTCCCCTCTTTTCAACAGTAAAGGTTTCAAAATGGGACACTTGCCGGACAAGACAAGAACTTTTTATACTGACTCTTCATGTAGGCCTTCATTTCAGCCTCTGTCTGAAACAAGCTATAGATGCTTTCTTTAAGCCCCCCCTCAAAGCCCACTGTCTTCTGATTGGCCAAGACATAAATCGCGTTACCAGGCTGTTGTTGCTGGGTGGAACAGGCAGACTGAGTGATAGTGTGGGAGCACATGACCATATAGGGGTTGTACCAGAACAGGTTTACATTGTTTAATTTTCTCTGTTTAATCTATTTTTGTCATACTGCACATTGCTGCTGTTAATCTTAGTTCACTATTAGAAGTTTTAAAAATGAGTTTTTCTGGCAGTTAAAGTAGAATCTCTGATACCTTGTAAACAGATCTGCTAGAATAATTTTTTTACTGAATGTGAATGAAAGACCACTATACTATTTCATGTCTTGAATTAGTACTGTACCTGACCATAGTGATCTAGTGAAGTATGTGAATTTTTGTGTACAACTAGAACAGAAAACAGGAGACGATGCCATTTTAGTTCCACAACACTTTTGTGGTCATAATATGCTTTTAGGCTTTTCCCCTCTCCTTTATTGAGTTATATCTCTTTTTTGTGCATGTAACAGGTTTGCAAAGTGAAAAAGGCCAAAGTCCAGCCCAAAGGGAGTTCCCATCTCCCACAGAAAACTCTGCTCTGAACTGCCTGAAAACAGCTCGTTTGTAGTCCAGCATTTACTTCTGCTTTCTCGTGACATCACAAGAAAACGCATGTCATAATCTCTGCTTCTGATTGGCTAGTAGTCCTTAACTAGGTACTGTGCACGCGCAACTCCCAAACAGTGAGATGCATCACTCCATAGCTAAAACAAAGCCTTCAAACACAGGGTGAAAAGAGGAGCAGCAGCAATGTGCAGTATGACAAAAAATATGGTGTTGATGAAACCATGTAAACCTGTTCTGGTACAACCCCTAAATAAAATGATGAAAGTGAAAATGAGCATAATGTGACCACTTTAGGATAAAGGAATGGGGGTTTCCGTGTGGAAATTCCCTCCAGTTGACAAAAAGAGCTTGACTGGGACTTTCCCTTCAGGCTGGACCTCAAACCCCCCCGAGCTCACATCTTTTCCTCTTCTGTTCACAACTGAACCTTTTTCTTAAACAAGCCTTTTAGTGCCTCAGTGTTAAACTGAAAAATTGTTGAAAGGCTGAAATGAAAAGGCTATCTCCTGCATCCCTAGACTGAACGAGTGTAATTATTTAATATTAAATTAGTTGATTCATTACATACTGTATATTTACATCGGCAGGTCATTGTTAATGACAGATAACATCCCTTTACATTTATGAAATTATGGTTGCCTGAAAATACTTGTAAACATCTAAGCATAGCAGTCAACAACAAGCAGTGAGCATCAATCAAACTAATAACCACTGTTAAAAGGAAATGGGTTTGTAACAGAAAATAAAACAAGACTAATAGTCCACAGTCCCTCAAGGGCAATCTAACACCTCTTCCTAACAGGATGCGAAGGAGTGAACATCAGTTTGTTTCCCAATGAGGGGTCCTAACCTGCTCCACACATCAGTGAACAGGCTACACTACAAAAACCCCTCGCCCTGGCTCTATTTGAGGTTTTGCACGCCTCCAACATCCTATACCCGTGCAAGGCATTGTAAACCTCTGTATTTATTTACTTAGCATTTATTATCTATTTATTAATTTATCCTCTTGAATTATGGTCCCTGCTTGGTCCATGTATTGTGACCAGCATATTTGTTGTTTTGCTCTGGTGCCAAAATGCTTATATGATGTCACTGACAGGGTTTCTTGATTGATTGTAGTTGTTGTTTTTGTCTTGTTTGATACGACTGGCAGACTAAAACTGCTCTCTGTATGTTAGGAGGAGATGTGAGGCTGTGCTTAGCCAGATTTGATTTTTTTTACATTTTTCTCTCCCATTGGGAAATGAGAGAGCAGAGAGGAGTTACCCACCGGACAGGGAGACTGTAGGAAGACTGTGACCTTCTCGTCCTCCAACATGAGCTGCAGGAAAAGCCTTCGAATGAAGCCCGAGATGTTTCCAGAGATCGGCACGTTGCTTCGCTGGGGTGCAGACTGGAAGAGCTCACAGAGAACCTGCAGCCAGAAAATACAGTCTTAAACCATTACAGAGGCCAATGAACATATCCACATGAAGAGAGATTGTCACTCACAGAGTCCCTACTTCTTTAAGAAATGATATTTATATTACCACATTTTTAAAACATGAATAACAGTATAGTCATACTAATAGTAGTAGTAAAGTCATAGTCTGTGGCTTTGGTGGGTTGAAAAACAAGTCTCTAAATCTTTGACAAATTAGGTCTGAGATGTCAAAACTGAAAAAAAATTGAAAGCATTAAGTCTTCTCATAACAGAGCGGAATGTAAGAGCAGACCTGTGCCATGAGCCGCTGGTTGTTAGGATGGCAGGAGATACACTGGAGAAAGAAGGCCACAGTGGCATTCTCCAGAGCTGTCCTCTGCTGGGTGGTGAGTCCTCCTGCCTGCCCAGAAGACACCAGGGAGAAGCGTGACCCTGAAGGCTGAGGCTGGGATGGAGGGGTACATGCGGCAGATCCAGAGCCCAGAGGCTGACAGCCTGCATTGGCACCGGCACTGGCACTGGAGTGGCACAGCAGGAAGAGCAGTGCTGTCCACAGCGGGTTGACCTCTGGTCCCCCCAACCAGTCTTTCATGGCATGACTGTTGCCCACTTCAGTCAGGAAGCGCAGCACTGGAGCGGCCAGCTCTGCAGCCAGAGGCGGCCGACTGTGTGAGTGATAGTGGTGATGGTGGTGTCTTCTTTCTGCCTGAGCAGCGGGCAGAGGAAGGTCGGCACTGGCCAGGAGACCAACGCAGAACTGGGCCAGGCTACGAACCAGCAGTGAGGGTAAGCCTGAGTCCAGCAGTTGCTCTATGGCTCCTGGAGACTGGGAGGCTGCTGCCAGCGTAGTTAACTGGGACTCTGACAGATTAACTGGGGGTCTCGCATGCTTGGAGTCATCTGTAAGTCCTGCAGTGCTGGTGTTGGCGTCATGCTGCTTTTTGCCGTCGTCGGTCATGGAGAGGCGGTGGTGCTGGGCTTGAGAGTGACTGGCGCTAGGCACTGACACGATCCCCATCCAGGACATGAGCAGGGAGAAGTAGCTGGGGTGGATGTGACACATGGAACACAGCAGGCTGTCCACGGCCTTCTTCAGCACAATGTTGCACGGCAACGACATGGACCAGTTGTACAGCAGCCTGGAGGGAGGGGAAATAATGGCATCAATAATCCATCATGAATGTAAGTTGTTCATCCTCAAAGGGCTGCAAAATCAATGCTGATGTAGTGTTTGAATATTCAGACATCTTCATGGTAAGTAAGAAAGGTAAATCATTACATAACAATAATTTAAGCGTCCGCAGACTTATTATTCAACAAATAATAGTTATTTAAACAACGTAATAAGTAAGGCTGTATATGGGGGATTCATTGATGGCATTCAATTCAGACTGGAGTCATGTTAGTCAGCATTAACGAAGTGTTAACGAAGTGCTGCTGTCATGACTGATGAATATTACACTTATTCAGACATGAGACCCCAATGTAAATAGCCTTTACATTTACAGGCGACTTCCTCTTCCTTTTCAACTGACACGAGGGCGAGCATATATGGACTTAATTCCTTCCTTGTATGCATGTATTATTTGTAATGTATTTGTATGTTTGCTGACACTGTCAGAAATGTATTAACTCTACTTTATGGTAATGATTGCGGACATAGTGGGTGGTGGTGTTGTACTCGAGTGTATTATAATGAGATGTTTCTAACATTCTTCACCTCCCATGTATGTAAACGGAGTGGCCAAAATATTAGAAATCATAATGCAGTTCACCACCACGGCAAACTAGAGGGGGGCAACAAATCACAAACTCACAGTTCAGATCATATCATGGTTTTGAAAAATGTGCTGCTGTGGCTCTGATGTAGCATCCTCTCTCTTTCTGTAGTCACCACTCAGTGACTTGGTTACCCATCACAAGTAATAAACACTATGCCGGTCTGTGGCCCAGGTGAATTTAATTTATATTTAAATGTTTTTATTTTAGACAGCAAGTTGTACCCGCCAACTTTTGGCAGTGCACCAGTTGTTAGTCAGCTTAGCCCGGTAAGCCAGTCAAGCTCATGTAGTGATGCTGCCTCTGAATACAACACACAAAAAAAAGAGAGCAGAACTCGAGGACTCCCTGACATTAAGATCCACCGTGTGGGTGCATTAGTTACAGTTTCCCAGTTCGTTACAGAGAAAATGGGCAACCATTAGTATTAAACTGTTTCCTGATTCAACTTATGTAGGACAGAAGAGGAGTCCTTCTCCCCACAGTGTTCAAGCAGGCTCTCACTATACATTCAGAATGTGTCAGCAATAACTACATGGAATATTTCCACTTTACAATAGAGAGACCGGAACGGCAGGGGATGACATGCAGCAAGGACCGCAGAGGAACAGGTAGTTCGCACTCTATGAGCTACGGGGGCACCCCAACAGGTGAGTCTTATGATAGAGCATTACTGTATATTTGTGTTATTACAGTAAGAATTATGGCCAGTGAGCCACTGTTGAGTGTTTACATGTTTACATTTTTTCCCCCTGCTGTACCAATTACGTACCAGAGTACACCCCCAGTATGTGTAGCAAAAATATAGATTTTTAATATTTCAGTTTTAATATTCGTTTTCCACAGTATGGATCCTGAAAATGTGCTTCTCTTCACCGCTGCAGTGCCCACACAGCCCCGCCCCGGAGAGGTTGGATATGTCTCTCCCCTTTCAACATCACTAAGTATTAAACAGGGTGGCCCAAAAAACTGTTGTTGATAAGATAGCTGTCCTGTTTGCCCAACAGACATTTATAATTCTCAAAACTAAGCTAATCCCCCTCGGAGCTATCAGACCTGAGGAACCTCAGGCTGCAGAGTTTCAGTTGAGAGGAAATACTTTGACTAAGGTCAGAGGTAAATGAACTGATGCTCTTCTGTTTAACACACAGTACTGTTAGTAGGGATGCAACGATTACAGATTTTGTTGGTACGATTATAGTCTGAGGAATAATCACTGTTTCATGATTATTATTCATTAATTCATTTCCACTAGTAATGACTTATGTTAATTTTTAATATTTATTTACATTAACAATTATCTTTCTATAATATGTAAGTATTATAAATGTAAGAGGATTATTATGTTATTGTCATCAACTCTCATCCATAGGTATAAGTTTTAGTGTATCGAAGTTAGAAATTCTAGTATCGTGACAACACTAGTATGTATGGTGTCCACACTATGGGGAAAAACGTGACTGACTCAAAGAGCTCTCTGTTGAGCAGTGCAGGCAGGTCGTAGTCAACAGGCAGCTCATAGCTGTGCCACAGGATGGCTGCCACGCAGTGGAGGTGGGAGGGCGAAGGCATGAGGAGGCCGTATTCCCTCAATGAAGCAGAGGAAGAGCCACCACTGGCACCAGCGTATCCCATGGGGCCGCTCATCTTGTGGGCAGCCACCCGCGAAGAGTCATGGACCCACTGGAGAAGAGCCTGGATCCTGGAGGGTTCAGAACAAGCTTTGATAAATAACTCCTCACATGGTTTGAAAAACACAGCATCATCCCCTCAATCCCAAAGGGAAATTTATATGCAACAAACACGACCATATGGCAGTAAAAGACCACAAGGAGAGTGTGAGGACACGTTTTACAATCAGCTTATGAGTCTGTCTGGAAAATCACCTTGACAGAAAACTGTTTCTCATCATTGGTTCTTATTAAGGGGAGCTAAAGGACAGTTTGAGCTGAGGTAAAAGCAGGATGTTGATGTACCTGTCTTTGGTTCCAGAGTCCTGTGTGGTGCCCAGCTGGTACAGAATATCGATGGTGGAGTCTGAGGAGAGGCCGTTCAGTCGCCCAAACAGCAGAGGACTGTTCAAATCTACAAAGACAGAAGCAAAGACTGAAATATTGAGCAATATTCTCCAAAAAGCCAGGACCCATACAAACAAAACATTTTGTGAAGAAGCAAGAAGTCTACAAGTGTTACCAGAAGAACACCACAGACCAAACATGGCTGCACACCCTGCTATATAGCGCCTCAGTGCTGAGGAAGAATTACCATTAACTGTAAACTCATCTATTCACATCCTTTATTGCTGTTACACAATCCCAGTAAAGCAAAAAGTAAAGTATTTATTCACCCTCTAACAACAAATGTATTCTAACTAGGGCTGCTCCATTCTGGCAAAAATCCTAATCCCGATTATTTTTCTCATAATTGAAATCACGGTTATTAACATGATTACTTTCAAAACTGAATGTGACATTTTTTTGTGTGCGTGTACAAACAGACAGACTGGAGCAGAGCAGGTGGACTACCCCACTTGATGACAACTCCTTACATTATAACGCTGAAACGTTATACGGCTGTTTTTCTTTTACATAAACAAAGCTGTACAGTGAGGGGGACAGTCCTCAGGAGCACACTGACAATACATGCTGCAGCAGTATACCAGGTTTTAACCTTGTCTTGTATCTTTTTTTTTTTTTTTTTTTTTACATTTTCCTGTAGAGGTCCGTTACCCGATCCATTTAGATGCTCTGCCACAGTAAGCTTTAACTTGCCTTAACCGAAACCCAGGTTGAGGTTTGGAAATGTCTCTCTCTTTGTGACTGATGAAATAATCTGTGTCACTGTGCGTCATGTGTTGCAAGTAGACAGAAAATACACATTGTAGTAGTAGAGAGGTTTCTCTTTAAGGTGGCAAGACCACTTTCATTAATGCTTCACCAATTACCACAATGACCAGTTATTTGTTAAAAGAGCCTGGAGGAAAATATTTAGACTCTTTTTCTGTAATGGGTCAGTCCTTTCTGAATATTTTCCTAGCCGTACCCTAGAAATGTGTCCTACTATACATCTATGTATCGGTACTAATTATAGAGAAAACAGCAACTTCCTATTTAAACATTTAAACCCAAGTACATATTCATCAGTAATTGGAGTATATCTTGCTGTCACTGCTGTGACCAAATATTCAAATTGTTTGTGATGGCTTGCATCACAAAACCACTTCCTGTTGGGGCAAAACAACATCTACAATGCCTCCTTGTCTGATACTTTCAAGGTTCTGTGGATCTGCTACCTATGCTTAACACACAGTGTGTGTGTGCGTGTGCGTGTCTTACTGGCAGGATCTGTGCCAGATGCAGCACAGTTCCTCAGCAGAATGTCAGTGAGTTTGAGTCCGATACGAGTGGACTGTAGGCCGATCTTGACCAGCACAGCCTCAATGTTGGGCGAGTGCATGCCACAGTAAGGTGACATGAGCAGCGCGGCGCAGGTCTGCAGCAGGTTGGCGGTAGGTGCTGCAGCACTGGCCATCATGGCCTCCAGGTCACTGACGTGGGTCAGGCAATGGTGGAGAAGACGTAGCCACCCGATGCTGTACAGGGAGAAGGAAAAGGTTACAACACCGCCCACAACTAATAGAAATGGACATACTCTTAATCCAGAATCAGTTTTTGGTACCTGGTTTTAGAGACCTGGTCCTCAGAAGGCAGGAATGGGTTGTTGACAGTTGCAGAGGAGGTGTTACCAAAAGCAGTCAGTCCCAAGAGTTTGATCTGAGACAGACCCAGAGTGCTGGCATCACGAGGCCGGTGTAGCCTCAGGCAAACAGCCGATGCAACCTCAGCCTTCACCAACTGGATCTTTATATACGTCAGGCCGCTGGTGATGACTGGCGTAGAGAGTGGCAACATGTTGACCCCATCAGCGCTGATCTCCACCGAAACAGAGGACGGGCAGGCTGGTTGGTAGGAGGAAGGGGACACAGCAAACCATAAAGGAATGTTTAAAACTATATTTTGTCATAATTATTTATTAACTTTCAATATTAAATTATATGCTACTCACTGGCTAGAGAGGCAAGGTGTGGCTGGATGTGGAGCTCTTTCAGCAGCACAGCAGCAGGAAGGTGGATGGTGAGGTCACACCAGGCCTCCTCTGGCAAAAAGATGTAGGACCAAGCTGCAGAGCGGGCCCGGCGGTGGGGGGGTGTGGCTTGGAGGAGGACCTCTGCAGGCTGCGCTGTGGGACTGCTGGATGTGATGGTCCCTGTGAACGGACCAATAGCTCATTTAGGATTTGATGCAAGGTTGTAAAGTTCTATTCATGTAAAAAATATTGTTCCATAGGATGTAACAGACTGAGTGGAAAAATAACTGAAAGCACCTAAAGGAGCAAAGTTGTGGAGTCCCTCTGCGTTGTCTGGCTCTGAGGTCATCACTCTGGTTTTCAGGTTGCCGTCTGCTGCCTTTCCAGGACCTGAATCTAAGAACTTCATGATGGTGGACACCATGCTGCGTGCTGTGTTCACAATGGCCCGGGTGCTGGTCACCATGTTGTTACAGATCAACTGCACACCACCTGGCAAAACACAAGAAAATATTCCAAGAGCTGCTAGAATGCATGATTATGTTTGTGTCCCGCAGCTTCAGTTTTTTTTTATAAAAAACAAAACTTAAAATTTCTGCTATCAAGGCTTTGACCAAAGACAGCCTAGCAGCAAAAGTCAGAAATTTAGGACCAAATTCTCACAATGTAACTGCTGCTATGACCCATATCAACGAACCAACCAATCAGAACAGGACATGAAATAACATAGAATAAGCTTTTTAATGCATAAATGTGTCTGCATTATTGCCAAAGTTCACTGTTTTTCAAACCATATGAGTAGTGCTGGTGATGTTGATGATGTGTCTGGTTTTTCCAACGCTGTGATGCACCATGCATTTATAGCACAACTGGTGTTGTTGCACAATCTAAAGGCGCAGTTGAGGTGAGTAAAGTTTGGTAAGGAAGCAAAATAAAGTGTTGTGTATATATACCCACCCATGTCATGGAAGGCCTTAAGAGCCTCACTGGTGTCCAACACTCGGAGGATGAACCACAGCAGAGGCTCTGACAGCTGACAGGTGGAAAGAGACCCCTAACAAAATAATAAGAGAAAAACCACATATTTAAGTTTTGGCATTGTACTGTATTTATATATTTCTTACTATCAGATCATCACAGCCCTATCACCACAGTCTGATGCTCACCTGTCTGCCCATATAACCACAGGCCATGTATGTGAGGATGGGCTGTAACATGACCTGCACTGAGGTGGCCCTCTTGCTGAGCGTGGTGAGGATGGTGAAGAGACCGTCACCTACTGAGATGGCGTCCAGACCGCCATGGAAGTTCTCATGTTTAGTCAAGTGGAGACCGCTGGCTCCTGAGGAACAGAGAGAAGCAGAATTGATCATCCTGATATTTTACTTTTTTGTGTTCTCTGGAACAATCACCCACAGGTTCAATTTTATTATTTGCATGCATTTTAAATAGTTCAATGACCATAACAAAATGAAAATGAAATAGCTGTTTGACATTTAATTTTAAATGTTTTACCCCAACAGTGGGAAATATTGCAATGTTAGTTCAAATTTGAAAATTTCCAACCAGCTGCAAGCGGAAAAGGGGTGCAAACAGCTTGGTAGCATTTGGATGCTTGACAAAAAGCAAAACTCCTATTTTCTTAAAATAATAAAAATAGTTTGATGAACCCTGATTTTCAATTAATGCAAGCAATAGTTCAGTCAAAATGAAATTGTCTAACAATGTGAAAATGAACCACCTTTGACGTTTCATTTTCAAAGACATAACCTGCTGTACAGTCAACAATATTCAAATGCAATAAGTAAAACAGCGTCCTCTGTGTCCCCCACATCAGTTAGGACTTCCTCATTTAGTCACTTGATTGTTTAACATTTACAAATTCAACCTACCGACCTGGGAGTTCACCCTCAGGCCTTTAGGACGTCAGGTGACACAGTATAAAGAGTCTGTAGGGAGGAAGTCAGGTGGATGCTGCTGTTCGTGTGGTGCCTAAACCTAACCATACTGTGAGCGTTCACATTAACCCAAAAGGCAAAAAGTTATGAGCATTACTGAAAAGAGCTGGCTCCTGCTACTGCTGGAAACCAGGCTGTTGAGAGCAGTGGGACTGAAGCACAACCGTCAAGTTGCGGGTGGTAAAACCAAAACAACGCGCTGATACGCTATAACTCAGTGTCGTACTTCTCTGTGGATTTGTCTTACCTATGATCATGGCCATGGCACTGCTGTTGCACTGGCCCAGTGCTGACAAGATCTGGCTCATAATCTGTTGATTGGCCAACACCAGGTCGGCTACACCTGCAGGAGGACCCTGACTGGACCCGGATCCACCGGCCACGCTTTCTTTGCTGCCACAGACCTTCTCCTCGTCCGACACGCTGCTGTCAGCCGCCCCACTGCCGGCTGGAGGCAGCCGTCCACTAAACTCCCTGTCCCCAGACAGAGGCAGCTGCACCAGCACGTTGACCAGCTTGAGGAGGTCAAACATCAGCTGGTCACGGGTCGTCTCTCCACAAACCGCCTTAGCATCTCCTGGTCGGATGATGTTGGCAAACAGACCCCCGAAACAAGCCCGGGCGCCCACAGAGCTGTCGGAGCCACTGCGGGACACGAGTTTGTCTGAGCAGGTGATGTAGTGGTGAACTAAGAATGTGATGGACTCGATGACGGAGGAGATGGTGGCCACCGACACCACCTCAAAGTTCTGCTCAAGAGTACACTCCAGCAGCTTCACCTGGGCGTCCAGCGGACCCTGGCCTGACTGGAACGGCCCCCTGAAGGGTGAGGATGGACTGTTAGTTCCCAAAGACCTCTACAGTACATCTACAGAAAAGTGACATTGTTGTCCAAAAATACGTTTCCGATGAAGAGACTGCGTACCTCTCAGTAGACAGGATGTGCATCAGTTTGAGCAGGAATTCGCTGAACATCTGCGGACAGGTGGAGGACAGATGGACCTGCAGGCGGCTCAAAAACTCGTGCATGGCCTGGGTGGCGGTGGGTCCCACCTGAGAGCTGTGCTGGCTCGTCCCGTTGCTGCTGCTGCTGCCGGACAGGAAGCGCACCAGAACATGAACCAGGGTGGGGTCAGACACCATCTGCTGTGCTGTGCTTTCCTGAGAGCTCATCCCGTTGCTGGAGCCTGGAAGTTCAAACACAGGGTTTATATAAATCATTGAACACCAAAAAACTGACAACTATAAAATAGAGGGGAAGAGACGCAAAACATACTATACAAAAATCTAACTCAGGTATGTCTCTGTACTGAGACATCGTAAAGTTTTCAGATCCTTTGAACTTTCACATTTTGTTGTTAAAGACTGCTGACTATTTACAAAAGTTGTGGGGTTGTAGATTAACTTCCTATCTTCTGAATAGTAGGTAGTTTCCAGTTTTTTCAGAATGCAATGAAATTCACCTTGCAGGGGCTTTTCAGACATGTCAAGTGTGAAATTTGTCAAGTTTCTGTGATGATATCCCTGTATGTTCTAACTATGTTATTGTGCTGTGGGAGGATATTTCTGAGTAGGGGTCATTTTGCTCATCAATTTGTGTTTATGATTGAGCCATGTCTGACATCCAAAATTTGAATGCCGAAATTTTTTTTAAAACAAATGCAGCTATACTGCAGGAAAATCTAATCTTTAAACAACCAATAAGAAAACATGGATGTGTCCAAAAGAATACATCTGGAGTGTTTTTATGAGACATCTTAATGCTAAAATTAGCCCCTAAGTTTGGAGAATTCCTAACAATAACAAAGCAATTAGCTCTAAAGTCATCAATCATCAAGTAGCTGTAGTTTGATTCTAGTTAGAATTTACTTCAGAAGTAATTTCACCAAGTTTTATCTATTAAACCAGTGACAGTTTTAGAAATACATTTTTAGTATTTCTTTATATCCTTCTAATCTGTACCTTCCTCTGCTCTGGAATATGTCCACTGTGATCAGCCAATCACTGTGGACATAATGACTAAGCTCCTTCATGACACACATAAGGAAACCAGTGAGAGTGGAATACTGACCGCAGGCTGGCATGTTAGTCATCAGGGTGAGAGAGTGCAGCACCAGACACCACGTTCTCAGGGAGGTGTTGGGGTACCAAGCCAGAACTGTCAGGAAACTACTGATGGATGCTGGACAAACACACAACATAAAATATACATACACTGTATAATAGGAATACAAAAAAACCAAACAAACAAGAAAAACGAAAAAAGAATTCCTTGCATTTTAATAGGGTCCTCGCACATTTCGTGCTGGGGCCATAACTAGACAATGTATAGTAACACACAGCTCTGTCAGAAGTGTTGAGAAGGAGAGTTAGTGTGGTGGAGGCCTAACCTTGGTTGAGCGGGATGGTGGGCACTCGGCTGGCGTTGAACAGGAAGATGTCTGAGCCGCTCTCCTCACTGCCACCGGAACAAGTGTTGAGACTCAGGGTTAGCCACAGCTGCAGCAGGGACTCCAGCTGAGAGAGAAGAGAACGTACCATTAACTTTACTTAAGACTTAAGATAAGTTGGTAAGATATTTCAGTATTTTAATGAATGTTGTGTAAATTATCCCCCATGGTATCAAAAATGGTACTGAACATCGATATTTTTCAAATTACTGTATCGAAGTTAGAAATTCCAGTGTCTTGACAACACTAGTACAGAGTACTATTTTTAGCCTGAAGGTCTCTCCCCGAGTTTAAGCCCTCCATCTCCTCATTATGTCTTTAGTTCTGTCCCAAATTACAAAAAAAACTGGAAACTGTCCTGTATGAAATTACTGTCCTGTATTGGCAACTGAGCTTGAACTGGATCCAGTATTTCTTCTCCTTGGTCATCCTAGTATGCATGTTACGAATGTACATAGAAAAGTGTTTAATGACCTTCATCGCAAGGAAAAATATATTACTTCACTATGCAGATGTGCCTGTAGAGAATACTGGTTATTTTTTCTTCTTTATAGTCCGTGCTGAGCTGAACAGTGTCATGTTTTAAATTGTTTTCCCTTTTGGTCCTAAAATTCAATGAACTCATTTGAAAAGACCTGTTCATGTACAGTCAAGGCATTAATAGGTGTCTACACTGAAGAGCACAGTCAGCCATCAGCTGTTTTGTGTTTGTACTTGTGTGCTGACCTGTACGTGGTGGACCTGCAGCATGGAGAAGAGCTTGTTGAAGCAGGCACTCAACATGGGGATGGACGAGGGCTGGACCATCAGGCTGCTGCCTGGAGGAGAGCCTCCTCCATGGAGAGCCCTCAGCAGGGAGTCATCAGTCCCGTTGGAGGGCTGGCTCACTGAAGGCCAGACAACAAGCAAATCTTAGAGCCATGGGACAAAGACAATGCCAACACAAACTAACAGGGACTGAGTCGTCTCCAGGTTGTATGTTCAGCAGTTACTATTTAAATAACAATGTCCTGCTTTCTTTGGTAGGTTACCTGTGGATGAGCTTGAAGTGAGCGCCTGTAGAATGGAGTCAGCCTGTAGAGTTGCCATCATTTTGAGCATCAGCTCAGCCTGCTGCTCCAAGCCCACTTCTAGCCGGGCATCCAGTGCTGTGAAACACGGAGGCAAAAGTTCATAGGTTAGATGGAAAGACGTTTATTTAGAGAGATCAAGACCAGCCCCAAAATCCAGCCTCTACTCACCCTGTGACACAGAGACCGACAGACCCTGGGAGCCGGGCTTTTCAGCAGCAACTGGTGGTTTGGACACTGGGATACCAACCCCTCCAATGTACGGGTTGTACCCGTATGTGCCATAGTCAGCACCCCAGTAGTCATACCAGGTGCTGCTTATAGGCTGAGAATGGAGATGGGAAGGGGGGCAGATGAGAAGCATGGAGGCAAAGGGGATTACGGTCACTCTGCTGTCAACAGATGGTGTTCTACATCTGCTTTCAAATCCCACAATGCTAAAAAGTGTAAAGCTAAAAAATAGCCCCAACAAACTAGATAATAAACTAGACGTTGTTTAGCCCCATTCTAGTCTTGCAAACACTCAAAGCACTCTACGATGCTACACTGTCACATTCACCCAATTCTGCTGTAATTTGGGTTATTTGTTAAAAAAGGACATTTCAAGAATAAAGCAGGGATATATACATTTTTTTTAAGTGTCATTTTATGCGGTCAAGTTGTGCTTTTGTAAGCTATAATCTTACCAAAAAATATTTCAGGAAAAGTGACATATTTTCATATACATGACTTGAGGACATCAACATCTTTCATTTGACTCGCAAGCTGACAGATTTCTGCCACCTGTTTACAGTTTACTTTGTTAAAAGGATTTCATAATGTTTTATACTTCTACATCTCATAATATTATGACCTATTCACGTACAAATTCAACTTAACCTTTAACTACTACTGCTTTTTTCATGAAATATTGGGACTTTTCTTCTTATGTTTATGCCATAATATTACATTTTCTGAAGATTTTTCCTGTAAACCTGCAACTATCTTGGAATATCCTGACTTTCTGACTGTACATTCTTTTCCATTATATTAACAACTTTACTCTCAAAATCGTGGATGTAGCTACATGGCTGTTTACTTCAGTCAGCAAGTCAACTTTAGAGTTTTTACATCAAAACACAAGCCAGTGACCAAGTAATGAACGAGTAAATAAAAAATGACATGATAAAACAGAAGACAATGTCACAATCAACATACCTTAAACACTTTGGCAGCAAGTGGATCTTTTTCCAAATCAATATCTAAAGGATCAATATCAACATCCATCAGGTCTTGTAGCAAGTCAAAGTCTATGTCTTTATCTTTTTCCAAAGATGATAGAGGTGGAGCACCTTTGGATAATGAAAACAGCTTTAATATTGCCAAGGAAGCACACTGGGAAAACATACAAGCAAGAGAAAGTCTTTTTTCAGCACGTTACTGGGCAATTTTAATGCCGATCCAGCTGTTAACTCCTACGCTCCTATACTGGAGGGAGAGTCCAGACACAAGAGAGCCAGCAATGATCAGACTCAGTGCTTCTGTATGGGAATATGTTCAGATAAGTGAAACAAACTGAAGAAAATATATTTCTCTAATGGAGTGTTAACTATACACTAAAACACTGCCCAATCCAATTGCTCTGAATCCACATGTTTGAACCCCAAAAGGCAGAGCTAAACAATATTTATACACAGAAAACCATACTGTGGACTACAACAGTAAACATGCAACTATGAAAAAAGGGGAGAAAATGTTTCCACAGAAATACTTTATATTGTGGTGATAAAAAGTGTGAGTTCATATCAACAACTGTGTGGTGTTGTGGGTAGAGTAGAGAACGGACAGGGCTACCCACGCACTTTGGAATACCGAGGAGGTCCCTGTAGTACCTGCGATGATATCAGGCACCAGGGCCTCATCAATGCTCTCTACCAGAGGAATAGGTGTCGGGTGGGGCAGGGAGTCGTCCGAGTCTGCCCCCGCTGAGGAGGACGATGCCCCAGCCTCCTCACCCACCGCCACATCATCCATCACATCCAGAGAGCCAGGAGACAGCAGTTCACCTGGGAGGACACACGGTTACACTTAATTACACACAGTAATTTTATTTATATATATCTTTTTAATGGATCTACGAAAATGAACATATTTAGGGGGTAACATGTTAAAGTGAAAACATTCAGATAACACATGGTCCGTGGCAATAAACACAAAGCACAGCTGAGGCTGATGGGAGTGTCATTAGTTTGGCAGTAGGTGAAAAATGATCGTTTTGATCTGATGATGGCGCTACATAAAAAGTCATTCTCATTTGACCAAGAACACCTAAAGTAATCTGCTCCACAATCAGAGATATTTCAATAATAAAAACACAAAAATGTGACGGTGGTGGTGGATGAGCTTGAAGTGGTGGTGCTAAAGGAAAAGTCAGAATTCATCATCTGGGGTTCCAATCCACCTATTAGCTTTTGAGATATTTAACTGAATAAGTGAAAAACAATGAGCTGCTGGAGCTAAACGAAGAATTTATCCTTAAGGGGGCTTGAAACTCTGTAAAATTTCATGCCAATTTGTCTGGTCATTACTGAGACACATTGATCTGGAAAGTGCTGGACCAACAGACATACTGACCAACAGCGCTATTCCTACAGCCATAATGCTAGCATGGTTAGTAAAAACTAAAAGTACATCAGCACAAACTAAACCAAATAAAATGCCAAACATCTAAATACAACAAAAACTATTTAATGGCACAGTTAATATTGTATTGATAACCTGTCACCTTACCCCATGAATGCGCCTTAACCTCCCTAACGTCTTCTTTTTGTTAAGTTTTTGAATGTGCAAGAGTGTAAGATCAATGTCATGGATATCCTTCAAGATATCAGCAATGGACTGATGCTGTTAGCCGTTTTTTTTTTGTTGTACTTTTCACCCTTTATCTCAGTATGAAAATACAATGAAAATTCAATAAACATAATGTTGAAAAAAACAAAAATATATCAGCTATGCAGAAAAACCTACACACAACTCCGATATCAGTATAGAAAGGTCCACTGTGTCAACAAGAGACGAATGATGAAGCAGAACATGCTGCTCTAAAGCCAGACCTGATCAGACACCAGTCATTCATTACAAGTCACACAAACTGAGAGAAAGTAAAACTAACTGTTTATCAAGTCAAAACACATGTGAAACTAAACCATAAGCAAACTAAACACACCTGCCAGGATATCCTGTAGCATACATGTGAGGGAATACTGCGCCCAGGCGCCCCCCCAGGAGATATCCCCCCGGTTAAAGTCCGTCCCCACAAGCAGGAGCAGCAGACGCTCCAGCTGCTGCTCAGATACCACCTCACACAGATGGATTGTGGGTCTTGTGGCGTTGGCTATCCTAGCAAGAACCTGAGTGGGTAAAAAAAAGTATTTATTTGTGGGTATATACAAATGACCAAATTTAAGAAGTCCATAATCAACTGTCAGATAAAGACCTTGCAAACAAAGAGCAGCAGGTCCGCGTGGCAGGTGAAGTCCATGGAAAGGAGGAAGAGGGCCAGCTTCTGCACCACAGAGATGCAGCGCTCATGGGACAGCGTAAAAGGCAGAGGTTCTACTTCTGGGGCTTCTTTGGCTGTTGTGGATTCTGTGTCCAACGTGGAGCGGGGCCATTCAGCCGTCCGCCGCAGACGGATAAGGTCTTTAAAGTGCTGGAAGAGGGAGAGAGGGTCAACATGGAATTATGAGACATTAATATGCTGAATTAGACGAGCTATGCAGATTTCATTTCATTTCTTGCACTACAGGATTTATGTTGCACTAAGTACTGCCATATTATTGAACAGCTACAGAAGCAAGTATATCATGTGCATTATTGACTTGTTATTGTCATCATCATGTGATAAAGTCAATTTATACTGCAGTTAAAATATTCTACAAAAGCAAAAACTGGTCACGTTCTAATGATTCTGCAAATATCAATCAAGCCATTAGGCAGGTACAACAGCAGGGACAATATCCCTTTTAAACTGGGATTCAGCTTCTTTTGTTTTTAAACAAAAACCTGGATCTTGTTTTATTCATTGTGATCACCCTTCCAGCAGTAGTTACGATAAATTTTCACAGTAAATCAACTGTTAAAGGAATTATTCAACATTTTAGGAAATTTGCTTGTTCGTTTTATTGCCAACAGCTGATGAGAGGGTCAACAACGCTCTCATGTCTCGGCTTTTACTGGAATTAGGGTAGATTATAAATGTAAAGCCGAATTAAGACCGCACACCGCACCACGCCGGCTTTTTGTTGCAATGAGCATAGCGCTCGACACCACAGCCTGGAGCTAGAGCCAGAGTTCAACTAGACTGAAGTTAGCCTTTTTGACTTAACTTCACATCTCAACAGCCTGACAGGTACAATCCCATTGTAATAGACAAACAAAATGAAAACTACAAAACAATTTTTAGGAATCAAATTTACATCATTGTCTTCATACTTTTAAAACTACGTTAACATGCAAATCACAAAACATGGAGGGAACATGTTGCAAAACGTGCTGGCTCAAGCACTTTCAAGGTACCTAAACCAAAAATGTTCAGACTCTCGCAGTCCGTTTCATCTCATCTACATTGTTACTACAAATAAAGTTTACAGAATTCCTTTAGACCCACAGCAATCAATGTTGTCACTTTGTTATCTTACCAGCTGTTCAAATTAACTTGGACTGAATGTTTTCATCATAATTTTTTATTTATTATTTCTAGAATAAGGAATCAACAGGGGACTTATCAAGCTATGAATTAATGTTTTTTATATTTTTGTTGCAGTCATGGCTGTAACCAGCTATGAGGTCAGGACCTCAGTCAACATATAATTATGTTGTATGAGGTCCTGTCCAGTCAACATATAATAATGTTGACAATTATATGTTGACTATACCCTATACCCTCAATTATATGTTGACTATACCCTATACCCTCAATTATATGTTGACTATACCCTATCAACAAAATCATTTGAATAAAAACCATAACACGATCAACTTAAATGAAGGCTTTAGGACCATGCGGGCACAGCTGATTACACCGTCGCAATCCTCATTTCAATTTGAAAAACTGTTCCACGATGAGTGCCCAGACTTGGGGAAACACATGAAAACCTATGTGGTGTGCAATAACAGAGCACCGCTGTCTGCGGGCAGATTTTTGGGCAATAAATATGTTTTGTGAATTTCCAGGTGGGTGAAACAGGGTGAAGCGCCAAAGTTAATTAATGTTCTTCTACACATCCAAAAGGTCTCGCACACAGTCCTGGTTCATACAGTGAAAGTGTCTGGAGCAAAGCAGCCGTCCTTCTGATAAATACTGAGCTCCATCAGAGGTCTAAATTATTTCACAAGCTTAAAGCTGAATTCTGTTTCCTCTGCAGAGTTTCCTCCGTCTGTCCTGTCAAGTTTAAAACTACAGTTTTTAGTTTTGCTTCATAAATGCCTCCCGGTATTTACTGTGACATTACTGCACACATGGAAACATTTAAATGACTGACAGCAGCCTCTCTAATCGCGAAAGTAAATGGTTAAAGAAAACACTCACAATAAAAACCACCTGGAAAGTTAAAAGGAACGGAAAAGGTGGGATAAATCTGAGAAAATAATTGGTTGGGTGGATGATTTATGCGTACATGATTATTCAAATATTGTCAGAGCCGATCCACATCACACCAGTGTAGCTCCTATAATCAGGACAAAACAGTGCAAACAGCTGCTGATGTCAAATTATTATGCTGTAATGCCAACCAGAGCATCCTCTGAATTCAGCACTAACCTGCTCTATTTTATGTTGTTATATGGTAACAATAGTGCCCTTTATGTAGTTTGCACATCATTCCAACAGTAGCTATAGTCCTGTGATGACATCTGACAGACATATAGCCTAATGCATGTTGTGATGATTACTAGGCCCAAACCAAGATCTCCCTGTTCGCACTACTTGATCATAGCTTGTGTGTCTGTATCTCTCGTTTGATGCAATTTCAGTGAGCCAAGCAGCAGAGAGAAAGACCAGCAACAGCCTGTATTTAGTATGTCCACTGCACAGAAGGGGGGGGGTTCCTCCACCAACATGACAGACTTTCACATTCTCACATACCTTTGCAATATTATCATAACAATATTTTTTAAAACACAAGTAGTAGTTTTTCACACTCAGACATCAGCAAGAGCAAAAGTGAAATAAATATGCTCACTGATGAAGTAAGCGCAGTGTCCTGCAGTAATCCTTCACATTGGTGTGAGTGATCACACTGTGTGCAATATAAAATAAGAATCAGGGACGGATACAGTTACAATTATACATTTATCTTATCCATACTCTAATCTTCCATTACTTAAGAATTGTTTTTTTAATTATCATTTACTCACTTATTCATAACACTCAGAACAGGCAGGTTTAGAAGTGATTTATACTTTAAACGTAACAGAATGTTGTTTCTAGAGCAGCAACAGTAAAGTCACTATATAAAGTGGAAACAAATCTGTAGACATGTCAGTAGAATAAACAGCCTAATATTACTGACAGAGTGAAGTTTAGAAAGAATGTAGAGTATCAGTCCTTCCTCCTGTCCTCCTCCCTCTGCTGCTGTGTCATTGCCTGGAGGTAACGTCCCCGCTGGCAGAGGGAGGCTAGCGCAACCATAAAATAAACATGTGTCAAGTTTTTAAAATAAAATTACGTATTAATCTGGAAAAATCACTATCTAAGACATTAAGCTGCAAATCCAGAATGTTTCAAGGAGCATATTCAAATTCAAGCATATTCCTAACCTGGAAAACATAACTGTGAATGAAGCATCTTCCAAACTTTCAAGCCTATGTATGAACCCCATTAAGACGTCCTTTCTGAGTTCAGAATGGGATGGTGCTGCACACTGTATGTACAGCAGAGCAGTGAATGATGAGCAGCTCACCTTGGATGTGGCTTGTTTGAGCTTGGCCTGTTCCACCAGCAGTTTGTAGGAGGAGCCTTTGTTGCTCTGGATCTTCTCCTTCTCGATCTGCTCCACCAAAGCTTTCTGTTTTGCTTTCAATAGATTTAACTGCTACAATAAAAAGGGCATGATAAATATAAGCACTGTAAAAGCATTCCCTCCAAGCAACACATTCATACTGCAGCTTCATGACATGGGCAAATGAGTCTGACCTGTGCCAGGCTTGTATGCACATTTTCATACATTGCATTGTACTTGACCATTTCAACACATTTGTATGTCTGGGTTTGAAGGTGTGCTGGAATGAGACACATTTACCTGCTTGTGATGGACAAGCTGCTTGCGAATCTTGCGGGAATAGAGTCGATCCAGGCTACTGCTGCCTTTAGCTGACCTGCTGGAGTTCTGAGACTGCAGGCTGTTATTTATAAAGCTCCACTGAATACCTGAAGGACAGACCAACGACAACACTCATCAGGTTGCTGATGCACAATCCGACTTAAAGCACAACAGTTTCTGGGAGAAGTGTGAACTGCATGAAGAGTAGGCACGTTAGGAGTGCATTCATGCACACAGTTTATGGGACTGTCGTGACTCAAGGCAGCTAATGTAAACAGCTATAATTTTATTTTATTGTTTTATAATCCTGTCCTGCCCGGCAGCCTGGTATAATGTGAGGAGCTGGATACCATGTTGTGCCAGACACATTTTGCTTTGACAACCAGCTATAATTTTTGGATTAGATAAATTTTGTACAAAAAAAAAATAATTGTTTGAACATTTTTCACAATTCAAAAACGAAAAGGGAGGATGGATGAAAGAAATAAAGAAAACTTTACAATAAGTTGAAGTGTAAGCACTGAAGTGAGATGAACTGTATTGTCTCAAAGTTTACAATGGATATTCAACAAGCCTACTTGTTGTGGCAACAACCTGAATGAGATTTGAGCAGCGTAAGATGAAATGGTGATGGATAAATTGTCAATGACATGAGCTCCTGATGAAACATGCCTTTTTTTCTGTTTTTGTCCTTTTTCAGAATAAAAACTGCAAATTGTAGATCTCAGATGAAAGGTGAAATCATCGTATTTGAAGGACAATTGTGCAGTTCATATACCTGTAAAAGTTCTCTCCCGCTCTTTCCCTCCAAGATGCTTCTTCCCACCTGAGGCCTCATCTTCTATACTGGCTACATAGTCCAGCAGCCTGGAAACCAACATCACTACCCAGCTGATCATGGGGATATCCAAAACACCTGGAAAACACACAAACACAAACTCTTGTACCTCATTTGCTACATGTCACACGTCTGGAAAGCTCTGCTATGCATCTGTAACCGTGCCGCAGTTGATTGTCGCTTTACCTTCAGTCCTGCGCTGGGCAGCAGCTTGTGGCTGCTGCAGTGGAGACAGCAGTCTGTCCAGGAGGTTAAGGAGGCCCTCCAACACACCGCTGTTACTCAAGGACCTTTGGCCAATGCAGGACAGGAGCATGAACACCCTGGGATGAAACAAGATGGAAAATACCGCAGTTACTACATGCAGCATACGTCCACCACTGCCTTGACATGGATGAGCAGTACACCAGAGATGTTTGCAGGAGAACAAGTCCTATCAAAAGAGCACCAATTACAGTTTGGGGTAAAACATCTGGAAAAGGTAACACAGGCTACAAGTCTACAACTTTATACAACTCATTTTTCACAATGTAGACCTTTTCCACATCATCCAAAAATATTATTTAATCAAATGAATTCAATATACCACCCAGCTCTAATTTTCGCTATCTAAAAATTTAACATGAGGCTTGATCAACATGAGGCTTGATAGAATGAAAACCTAAAATGTTATTGTTCGATGACTTTCATAATCATCAACATTTGTATAGAAGGTGGGGAACTATATGGAATCTGATGGCCCCCACCTGTCCTGAGGGAAGATAAGCAGCTGCTCAGAGTTGTAGAGCTCCTGCAGTACGTTGGAGAGGAACTGGCCCCACCAACGCTCGCCTCCACAGAGCTGCACCAATAACAGGCCGGCGTGAAGACGGATCTTAGGTGTTCCACTGATGCAAAGGTGTTTAAAGAGCTCCTCGCAGGCCTGGGCATGGAAGGTACTCTGAAGCACTGAGGGCACAGAGTGGCCTGAAAATATACAGACACATGAATGAAGTGTGAATCATCATATTAAGCAGGATTTTGTCTATCTTCCACTGGGAACAACCCAAGCATCTGAACCCTGTCAACTCTAAAATACCATACTACATGAACCGGCAGACCAAGCTGTGTCCACTTCCCCGCTCACCGTTGTTGGAGTGCAGCAGGCTGAGCAGCGTGTCCAGCAGGTAGCGGATGATTGTCCTCAGCTGCTCTGTAGAGGAGCTGTGGACCAGCTCCAGGGACTCTGGAGGCCCGGCTGTAGGGAGCGACTTGCGGCTGGCGCCCAGTGACACGCGCAGCCGCTGGACGGCGTGGTGAGCCAGGTTAAGCTGCAGCTGCAGCTGGATGCAGTCCTGGTAGGCTGAGAAAACGCGCTGGTCCTCCTCCACCACTTTGTCTGGTTTTCGTAAGAAGTATTGGGCATTGTTAGCGCTGTTGAGAGGCGGCAGGTCTATGTTCTGCAGAAGGGTCTCCAGCCGATGGCAAGCTAGGTTGTACCTGGTAAACAACAGGAGAGTGCCAAATGTGAATTAATACAATGACTGTAGTTCCCTAAAAATTCACCTTTCCTCCTGTTTGAGTAACGTCTGCTAAAAGTTACAGTGAGCAGCTGTTTTAGAAATTAGTGAGGCTTTTTCAAATTTAAACTACGTACTGTTGAGCTGTTTTTAAAGATGTAGGTCTTCCAGTGCAAAGTTGCTCTGTTCGGGACTGTGAGCTGCACTTTATCAGAGGTGCTGAAGTTAATGTATGTGGATTTATGGAACCAATGGGCCTCAAGCTGAAAGCCACAGCCACAGGTTTTGGTCTTTACATGGAATTTGTTGATAAGAAAAATGACTTTAATGAGCTGCTTCTGATCACTGTAAAACACAATAGGTTCTCATACGCAAAAGTCTTAGGTCGCCTGCCTTTACATGCACATGAAGGTTAATGACATCCCATTCTTTATCCGTAGGGTTTAATATGAGTTTGCTTAGGCTTTGCATCTGTAACAGCTTCAACTCTTCTGGGAAGGCTGTCCGTAAGATTTAGGAGTGTGTTCATGGGAATTTTTCTTCTAGAAGCGCATTTGTGAGGTGAGGCACCGATGCTGGACGAGAAGGCCTGGCTCGCAGTCTCGCTCTAATTCAAGGTGTTCTATCGGGTTGGGGTCAGGACTCAAACTATTTCCACAAAGCCCGGGAGCATGAAATTGTCCAAACTGTCTTGGTATGCTGAAGAATTAACAGTTCCTTTCACTGGATCTCAGGGGCCAAGCCCAACCCCTGACAAACAACGCCCCCTCCACCAAACTTTACACACTTGGCACAATGCAGTCAGGCAAGAACCGTTCTCCTGGCAACCAACAAACCCAGACTTGTCCATCAGACTGCCAGACAAAGAAGTGCGATTCATCACTCCAGAGAACACTGCACTAGTGTCCAGTGGCGGCGTGCTTTACATCACTGCATCCGACGCTTTGCATTGCACTTGGTGATGTAAGGCTTGGATGCAGCTGCTCGGCCATGGAAACCCACTCCATGAAGCTCTCTACACACTGTTCTAGAGCTAATCTGAAGGCCACATGACGTTCTGAGGTCTGTAGCTCTTGACTCTGCAGAAAGTTGATGACTTCTGCACTCAGCATGCACTGACCCCGCTCTGTGGGCCTATCACTTCGTGGCTGAGTTTCGGTTCCCAATCTCTTCCACGTTCTAATACCACTAACAGCTGACCGTGGAATATTTAGTAGTGGGGAAATTTCACGAATGGACTTATTGCACAGGTGGCAACCTATCAGAGTACCATGCATGAATTCACTGAGCTCCTGCGAGCGACCCATTCTTTCACAAATGTTTGTAGAAGCAGTCTGCATGCCTAGGTGCTTGATTTTAAACACCTGTGGCCATGGAAGTGATCGGAACATCTGAACTCAATGATTGGGAGGGGTGTCCTAAAACTATTGGCAATATAGTGCATATACTGTACATGAACTGTAGCTCGCAACTTCTGAACAATTTCAAGACAATCCCAAACATGTTTCCCATGAAATAAAAGCCTGAGAAAATGACTGATCTAGTGAACAGACTTTGGGTGAATTAAAGGCATGGTCAGTCAAACCCAACAAACTGGAAATATATCTGGAATATTAAAGTGCTGGAGTCAATTTTCTTCCAGTCTTACCTGCACTGGATGTCCTCCTGCAGCGCCACCATCATGGTCAGGTGCTGATCCACATCTGGCTGACTGGCCGCCTCGCTCTCTCCCCGCAGAGGGTCGTGCATCAACTTAAGTTCGCTTTCCCACGGCAGGATGTAAGTGTGGCCATAGTAGAAGCCCAGTGGGATCTTTGCTCGAGCATTGGTGCTGCCATAGCGCCCAATCACAGTGATCTGAGAGTTGAAGGAAGCAAATAAGGAGAATAGATCATTGTAAGACTAACCAAAGCATATATAACTCAAAACAGCAGGTTAGCCATGAACTATGCAAAACAAAAGAGAGACACACAGTGGCAGCCACTCAGAATTGCCACTGCCGAATGAGAACCAGCTGCCAGCAAACTCCCACTGGGAGCCCCATGATGTCCAACATTCATAAACTGTTAACCGTAGTCATAAGACGGAAGACAACAGGGAAAAGATAATCACGGTTTGGGTTTGGCTAGCCGGCCATTTAGTGATATGGTCAACTTTTCATAAAGCCAATGCGCTCATCAATGTCACGTGTGAACCAACCAATCACAGCCTGGACAGAGCAGGACATTAAAAAAGGTGGATGTACTACATCAAACTAGAAATGCTGAACTCACTGTTACGAGTGAATGGTTATGATTATTGACAAATTATGGCCCTTTTCCACTCTATTCCATTGTGGAATAGTTGTAGCTTTACTTGCTACCTGGTACTTTTTTTTCATATCACTTCCGTCAAGGTTTCAAGCAACTTAACTTGCTCGTTATTTCTCACACTCCCAGACGCTCATTAGCATTTGAGTTAGGGCTGAAACGATTAATCGATTAATTTGCTTACTAAAAAGCATCATGACTTATTGTTGAGTTGAAGGCTTGCCAAAGTAAGCTGCAGTCCTCAGCTGAAAACGTGCACACGTGCGTTTGTAATTCTCCGCCTAGTTGGGCCGTGAGTTTGGGTTGTAACGTCATAAGTTAACTGGGTGTTGGGGAGCTGCACCTTCTAACTCCCCTGGATCTCTCTCTGTAGCTCAGACAATCCCTGCTACCTGCGTGTGCTAATCCATCCTTTCAGCCAGATTCTTTGTCTTTATAATCGCCATCTTTATAATAACAAACAGCTGTTTCCTGTGCAGGATCGCTCATTTCCCATTTCACGTGTGTTTTCTTGACAGAACGTGGTTTGGAAACCCACATCAGGTGACACAGCCGCTGTCAGCTCCTGTAGTGTGTGTGTCCCTGTCACCGATCAGTCGCGTAGTGTGAATGCCACAAAGACTTCAAGATCCCGTCACAAGACGGCCGACACTGTAAGTCGTGTAGTCTGCACGAGCCTGTAGTATAACTTGTAACGTTATAGCACTCGGGTGATGTTTGTGTTTGTAAAGCAGCTGTCTGGTTGTTGGTCTGATGTTTGCTGTATGCCACACTATGAATTTTGGAAAGGACAAATAAATATCTATCACATATAAATGAGCACAGCTGATCCCGTTACAGGCGCCAAGCAGAAGTGCTTCTTAAACGATGCATCAATGAATCGGTGAAAAACTCTGTAGAAGCTTCTAGAACTAAAATCCTCATTAGCTGCAGCCCTAATTTGAGTACACCTCTTTGTTTGCAATTGTTGTCTCATCCTGACAGGTGTGCCAGCCTCCACTATAGCCCAAACATATGCAAACCAACAGCCACAGAAGAAAACACTCCCATGTTAAAACAAAGTCAACCTTGACTACTGGTTTCACACAGGAACAGCCAATTGGTTGTATCGGTAGTACAGACCTTCATGAACCTGCAGACAGGTGGTGGCAGCAGGTCGTGCAGAATGAGGGAGTGGGTGCTGATGTCGGTAGCCACCACCAGCCTGCGTCCATCCACCTCTTCACCCAGTGTCCAGATGTCTATGGACAGAGAGGCCAGGTCGCCACAGGTCGGGATAAGAGCATCAGTCAACAGGACGGGACGGCCAAAATCCAGCGTTACAAAGCGACGAGCTCCTGGGAAGAAAGGGAACAAACATTTTACTTAGTTTTTTGAGATTTTTAAATTAAGTTGCCATACTGTATATATAACATAACATTACTTGTAACAAATTTAACAAAATAATTTGAGAGTACTATCAGAATACATTTTCTTTACCCTCAAACATTTATTTTAGAAAGTACAAGTCTAAATAAATAGATACTAGAAAATACTAGAAAGGCGCTATACAAATACAGAGCATTTAGTAAATGGAATGGAATATTGCTACAAGACATACCAGAGTGCATCCGCTCTATGATGATGGACTGGTGTGGAGGAGGTTGCAGGAAGTGAGATGCCTGGGAAATGGCCAACGCCAGACCACTGCCCATGGGGCTCTGCAGCAAAAAGAAACCATTTCACAATTTAAAAGTAAATATTTTCTCATTTTAGCATTTGGAAAATAACCTAGTCTGGACTGTCGTTCACTACGTGACCAAACAGGGTTTTACCAAAACAACCGCATGTGATTGCTGGGCCTGTTTTGGGAAAAAAGGCCGCCCATTCATTATGAACTACATTATTAGGGGTCAGAAATAGCTTTGTTTCATTGTCAATAATAACAGAAGCCAAAGTTCTTAAATAATATGATGTCTAAACAACAGTCATCTACCTGCTAAAACAAAATCTTTAATTCTTTAATCTTTAATTGGCAAAATGTGAAAACAAGTGAAGAATATAAATCTGACCAAACATTTGGTGCGGCTTTTGGTACTTTGGTAGTTTTTTGGTCACTACTACAAAAGTAACAATGTTTAAAACAAAGCCCTGTCTGAGAGGCGTTTCGGCTCTCACTAACTAACCAAGCATTGAGCTGCATGTAACTAACCGGCTTGGCTTTCTGTGTGTTCTTGTGTGCAGCCAGGTTAACAGGCCCAGGGTCCATCATGGAGCCAGGGAACAGGTGAGCCAGCTCAGCGCTAAAGGCCACCGACACCGCCTCATTGGGCGGCGTGAGAGGAGGGGTCATGAAGAGGGGCGTGGTCTTAGGTGTCGGAGGGATGACATCAGAGGGGTGAATGAAGAAGCCCGGAGCGGAGGAGGGGTTGGAAGGCACAGAGTTGTGGATGGGCCCCACACCTGAGGCGGCGGCGGCTGCAGAGGTGGTCTGATGCAGCTTGGCCTCAAGCTTGGCCTTCTGTCATCAGCACAGACAAGAAGGTATTACTGACCACAGGATAAAAACACTTGTCCGGCATTATAACAGCACAACAACTTACAGACAAATTCTACACCTGGATACTACTGTGGTCACATATACCACACGTCCGTGATGAAAAGTTTCAATTTCAGCTCCAGCTGGGAATTTTCTAGATTTTCCAGAATGCCTCATACATTAAATTATCACTTCTTAATTTATTATTAAACATTTAATCAAAGAATATTTTCATTCTATTCCTCGTTCAAAATGTGTGTAGCTCAATTCGTGCTGGAATAAAAAGATACAGAAATAAAAACAACAGAGAAAACAACCACATCCAGGGAACCAGTTTAACAAATCTCAGCACCACTGTCCAATAAGAAATCATCTATGAAGCAGTGGTGGAAAAAGTACTCAATTTTCCTACTTCAGAAAAGTATAAGATATCACACTAAAAGGTTACTTATTTTATTCTAATGGTAATAACACAACTAAGATGTGGTAGACTTGTTGCTGAGGTGCAATGTGTATTCATGACTTTAGCATTGGGCAGGATGTTTAGTATAGTTATTAATTTATTGATTATGTGTTGATTCACAATTTAACACAACCTGCCTCTCTGAGGGGAACATTTTCTAAGCTAAACTAGTGTTGTTCCTTATGCTACACTGTTTACACCTTAACAAACTGTAACCTGGGCCGTCTCATACCTGAACATGACCCTGTAAGGCCTTATTTTACAAACACAGATGTTTTGGTTACATGTCATTACAAGTGCAAGAGCCAGATCAACTCATTTTTATTCACACTTTGTTTGTTATTGACATTTATACTAAATCCAGTGGGCTACTGGGGCAAGTACAAGCCAGTAAGAGGTCTATAAGAGTCCAACATGTCAAACCACCTCATAGCTGTTTTAGTTTTTTTTTACATACATTGTTTCTTTGTTTTTATAGTCTTGTCAGCAGTCACGGCCGCCAGATTCTTTCAGGCTGAATATCTTTCAACTTAAGTTCTCCATTGTTATTACAGTATGATGTGACAACACATCTGCTGATACAATCGATGAACAGTCCTCCAAGTACCTTGAACTTGCATTTGCATCACCTCCTGAGCAGTGGCTAAATTTAGTTCCAGGAACTTATCCCCAAGGAATAGTGGAAATAATAACAAAACACATGACAATGACACCATGTTATGCTGGGTTACAGTGGAAAAGGGACTGTGTAACGCTGTCTACCATGTAACATAGCACTGATTTTGTCCTTGAATTTGACTTTTAATTTGCCTTCTCTAACTGTCCCACTGATGCGTATCCTAACACTGGAACATCCTGTGTGAGACATGGTCTGTCACCTGCTGCTGCAGCTTCAGCAGTTGCTGTTGTTTCTCCTGCAGGACCTGAAGCTGCTGCTCCGCAGACACCATGGCGTGGGACAGTGATTGAAGTGCCACCTGGGCAGCAGAGCTCAGAGCTGTAGAAGCTTCACCAACCGTTCCCGTCGACAGGCCGCCCACCGCAGGCGTCACGCCAAATGTACTCACTGGGGTGAAAGATTAGAAGTTCATGCAAACCAGTTCATGAGCCTTAGACAAGTAAAAAAAAAAAAAGGAAAGCAATATTCACCAGTGAACATGCTGGCGTCATCTCGCTCCACCCGTGTGCCATCACTAGTGGAGATACAAGTAAAGTGCAAAGGCTCCACCTCCAGGAGTCCTGTTAACGCTGTAAAGCTGCCCTCTGCTGCTGCACAGCTGCTCACTTTTCCATTCCCTGCAGGACACACAACACCCAAAACAAAAAAACATTCAAGAAAACATCTGAGCTTCAGGAGTCATCTTTAAAATCACATGTTCAACTCTCTCCAGCTTTCCCCATTTCACAATTATATAGGAGAACATTTACTATTTGCAGTGCTAAATGTACTTTAAGTATATGTTATGCCTGCACCTAAACCAAATTAGATTAAGCTCCCCTAGTAATACAATTTAAGTGCTGCATTCAAGAGTGTTTACATTCATATCAGGTGAAGAGTGTAACTGAAGCCCTTTTTAGACATGGTCCCTGATATTGGGTGACCAAAATATATTGGACAAGTTCAAAGAAAGTAATCTTATGTCATGTGTCAGATGGTTGGCACTCAGTAACTGGTTGATGTAAAGCTTCATACCACAGTAAGACAGTTAAAGCCCCCTTCCAGTGTATTTTGACATTTCTATGATAGTTCATATTTTTCGCGCGCATTAGTTTCTATCATGGGTAAGTAATAGCTACTCCTGCCAGACAGCGAAGTGTAATGTTACTGAACTTTACAGTGTAGTGATGTTAACACAGCATATCGTTATCGAACACTCCAGCCGGTCAGTTTTTGGTTGTCATGGTAATTGATTACGTCCGACTATTAACCACACCCCCCATTCTCTGTTTCAGAAAGAACCAAAAACGACAGTTAAAACTGGCTGGAGGGGGGCTTTAAAGTCAGCAGAATTACATGGCTGTAAGGTGATGTGAATTAGTGCACGACTAATACCTGAGAGAATGTCAGAGAGGTCAATCTCATCTGACTGGACTCCGATGCTGCTGTTGAAGGCATTCTTACAGGAGGAACCACTGACCTCAAGGTCAAAGAGCACCGGGTCCAAGGGAGAGCTGTACAGGCCGTACCTGCAAGGAAGAGGAGAGGTTTGTGTTTAGATCGAGGCATCAAGGAAGTAAGGACAGTCCTAATGTGACAATACCAAGCCACACTCACACACACCCCTACACCTCTGGTCTCTTATAGCAAACAGACGGGCTTGACTCGCATTTTCCTGTTTCTCTCTCCCTGTATGTGTCTGCTCTGTGACTTTCTCCATCAGCAGTGCATTTTTTGTAAAGTCGCAGTAAAGACACAGAAATCATCTTTTGGATTTTTCCACCCATGATCTGTTTTCAGCAGCAGATGCACCGCATGTGGTGGAGGCTCGTTAATGACATAGCTTATCGAAACAATCCAAACAATCCAAACTAATATCCTGTAAAATATCCACAGTGTCAGCGTTTTGTAAAGTAATACCAGATAACCAACAAGGGTTAAAATGAAGGGCAACTGGACTTGGTTGAAGCTACTGGAAGACGTTTCGTCCCTTATCCAAAGGACTTCTTCAGTTCTGACTGACTGGCAGGGAAACTCAGCTATTTAACCTCAGTGGGGTCGTTGGCCCGGGTCATCGATACTGCTGGTTCGTTAGTGTTCCTTGTTTCTGTGACGACAGTCGTTACAGTCGTTAAGACTACCTGTGGCCAAGACTGAACGACCATCGTTGGTATCTTCACCTGAGGCCAATAGGTTACGTTTGTTGAGTTTCCTGGGAAGTGATGAAAGGACAGCATTGTAAGTGGGGGATAAGTGGTGGCGTAGACCCCCTCCCCTGTTCAATGACGGCTTCTCAACCCTGGTGTAGATGCTTCCTTGACACCTCTTTCAAACCATCCATCTTCTCTGTCTAAAATGTGCACCTGGTGGTCCTCAAACGAGTGTCCTCTGTCCTTCAGATGTAAGTAGAAGACCGCACACCCAAACACAAGAAAAGCAATCTAGTGTATGCGGTCCAATGCAGTGAGGAATGCACAGACCTGTATATTGGGGAGACTAAACAACCACTACACAAACGCATGGCTCAACACAGAAGGGCCAACTCCTCAGGTCAAGACTCTGCAGTCTACTTCCATCTGAAGGACAGAGGACACTCGTTTGAGGACCACCAGGTGCACATTTTAGACAGAGAAGATGGATGGTTTGAAAGAGGTGTCAAGGAAGCATCTACACCAGGGTCGAGAAGCTGTCATTGAACAGAGGAGGGGGTCTACGCCACCACTTATCCCCCACTTACAATGCTGTCCTTTCATCACTTCCCAGGAAACTCAACAAACGTAACCTATTAGCCTCAGGTGAAGATACCAACGATGGTCGTTCAGTCTTGGCCACAGGTAGTCTTAACGACTGTAACGACTGTCGTCACAGCAACAAGGAACACTAACGAACCAGCGGTATCGATGACCCGGGCCAACGACCCCACTGAGGTTAAATAGCTGAGTTTCCCTGCCAGTCAGTCAGAACTGAAGAAGTCCTTTGGATGAGGGACGAAACGTCTTCCAGTATCTTCAACCAAGTCCAGTTGCCCTTGATTTTAACCCTCGTTGGATAACTATGACCTGGATGACTGAGAATCTTCATAGACATAATACCAGATAACTTCGCTCTCTCTTTCTCTCTGCAAAATGCTAAAAAGGGTTGCCAAATATACCTGGGCAGCCGTTAATATCCCTGGGTGGCCCGCCCATGTTTAGTCTAAACGTGGTAAAGACTGGGAATGTGTGCATCGTTAGCCTGCAGAAGCTTTAAGCCACTCTCAAACGGAGTAGTTCCAGAAGTACCTTGTCTGCAGCAGTGCCTCCAGTGGGGTGAGGCGGTCCTGCAGCTGTCGAGAGATGGCGGTGAGCAGGGAGGCGCAGGAGGTGCTGCAGCCCGCCAGGTCCTCTTCCTTTACATAGTTCAGCAACACAAAGTACCAGAACACTGAGCCTGAAACCAGACAGGAGAGAGGTTAGAAAATGAACACTGTAGTGTCATTAAGAGAAACAAGGGAAAGGTGTGCTGTGTGTTGTTCAGTTACTTACCACCTGTTGCTGCTGCAGGCAAGTAAGGCATATTGTCCAGCAGAGCCTTCAGAAGACTTGCGCCAAAACCCTGTTGACTTGGGTCCCCCTTCCCATTGCTACAGTGAGAAACAAAACCGTGTGTTTATTAACATCAGGTAGAGCCATCATGAGTTCTGCTTTTGTTTCCACTGTACTACTCCCCCCCCCCCGCCCCGCTCTTTATTGGCAAGTAAATTTTGGTAGTGCACAGGAGATGGCACTAAATGCAAGTTCAGGTTTTCTCAGGGTAAAGAATACATTGTATGGTTCACTAAACAGCAAACACCACAAATACTAACAAAAGTCTGCAAGGATGTTTGCTTCAATATACAGGTGAAATTAATTAATTAAAATTTGAGCTTTGAAACTTCAATAGTAATTAACAGCCAATAATCAAAGCTTCGCCACCGCCGGCTACAACAGAACAGCAGAACAAGGATAAATGCCCAGGAAGTTCTGCCAATGACATGAGTGAGGGAGAATCGGATGGGGGGGGGGGGGGGGGGGGTAACGGTGGGCATAGATGCATAAGTCTGTCTATGTGTACGTGCGAGAAAGAGAGAGCACTCCTTTTATTTATTCTCATAGCTAGGTTAACTAAGTGATTATTACCAAAACTTTTAATTTGTTATGGCTAGGCTAGCAGTCCCAAGTACAGGACTAAGAAAGAAAAAAAAAGGCAGCTTAGAAAGGCTAAGTGATTCTTCCCTATTACCTCTCTGTCTCTGGATTTAGAAGCGAATCAAGCAGCCTAATACCTTACCTAATACAAAGAGCAAGGAAGCGAGCACATTTGTGCGCTATGCTCCGGCCGGCCTCGAAGAAACACATCCTCACAATATCGGTTAGCCGCGTCCGGGTTTTCACCAGCAGGCCCTCCTTTCCTTCTCTTAAGCTAGAAAGAAGCAACAGGAGAAATTACTTGTCTTTGAAAAATGTCAAAGTGGACGTAATGTGCAACCTAGACCTCCTAGATGATCTGTGTCATTTCCTGTGCTGGAGCTTTAGTCCTACCTGCAGGGTCCGTTGGAGAAAACCCCAGCCAGCCAACACAAGATGTCTAGAATGAGGCTTTGGGCGTGCTCGGTGGCCGAGCTGCCCTCTGTCCTCTGACACAGCGTGTCCAGCAGCTTCTCATGGAAGTCTAAGAACTGCAGCATAGCACATCTTTGGACCCTACGAAGCACAGAAGAACAGAACCGGTTAAAAGTCAGCCTCTGCAATATGTACAGTAGAGACAAAAACAATCCAAGGAGACACAGTCACTATTAACACTTAGCTAAACTTTTCTGATCGATGTGTATTACTACTGCTTTTTCTTTAGTGTTCATTACGACAACATTTCCACAACAGTGCAAACAGAAGCTGGTGTCCCCTCCCACAGCAGTGATCTGACCTTTCTTTAGGTACTGACGTCTTCTTAAACCTTCTGATTGTGACTGAAACTTCCTGCAGCAGGTCACAGCCTTGCAGGTTTTCTACTTTCTTCGAAGGTGCTGGGCTCTCCGTCTTCACTGCAGAGACCTTCTCCTACACACACACACACACACACACACACACGTAAACAAATAAATGAATGTGACTGTAGTTAGGTAGTGCACTGTGAAACCTGTTGGTACTCATTACTGATTTTAAAACTTTCTCATTTATTTTCCATAGAATTTAGTGTATCTGATGATGGCTGGGGTCAGTAGTTTATTTCACGAGGGTTTTTTGTTACGTTGTTGAGGTTCTCTTTACACTTCACAGCCAATCATTTCATTTGGTCCCAATGAAGTGATTGGTTGACTGACCTGCCTGTCTACCTGTGAGCCCTCTGCCAGTGCACTCACTGTACATGAGTGTTTTGAGGGAGTGGCTTTGGCCTGAAGGGATGGGGTGGGGTGGCATTTTTGGGGGATACTAAATCTAAAGCTATCTTTAAAAATACTAGGAGCTATGAATTTGTACCTTAGAGGCCTGAGCCCGTTGCAGCAGGGTAGACAGTGAGTGGGCTTTGGTGCCCTGGGGCTTTGCACAGGGCATTCTCAACACAGGCCGGGGACTCTCCTCCATGCCCCTGTCGCTCACTGCTTTGATGTGGACCAGGAAGGAGCGGTACTTCCCTCCTGCCATGCCTGCAGTGGAGGGAGGAACAGAATGACTGAGAAACACCAGCACACACTAAACTAAACGGATGATCTTCCGGCGCGGTCAGGAATCATCAAGTGACTTCACAGAAACAGGTAGTTATGACTGTTGTTACCTTTGACCAGCTTGGGGCTGGTGAGGCTGAGCATGCCCGCATGACCAGAGAGGTCCAGCCCACTGGCCAGCCACACTGGACCACACAGGATGTCCTCCTTGTGGTCTTCTAAGAATGGACACAGCATGGAGCCTATAGCAAACACATGAACCACTATTTATCTCTGGGTGGATAATACACATATTTAAAGGTTTCAGAATGTTCAACCTTCTCCCCTAAAAAAGAGGGACTTGTGCATCTATGCCCAGATCAGAAGATCAGAAATTTCAGATATCAGTGCTATTTATTACACTATTTCAGAGACAAGCAGGTAGTCCTTAGCTATAAATAAGAAAGAAAACATTTAGTCCAACTGTGTCCACTAAATGAAGCCAGTTTTCCTGCATAAAGAATTACGAGGCAGCCTCCGCCTCAATCACATTTGGTCCGTGAAAAAAACGCATCTTCATCCACCCAAAAAGTTGGATCAGGCTGAACTTTTGCTACAATGCACATGGAATGCAACCCAAAAGATACAATTGTGAGCATGCACTGAAATTTAATCTATATCATGTTCCCACTCACTGATGAAAGGGCTTATGTTTGAAATTAGTTAAATGTTTTGAGTAAGCAAAAGCTGTTGTAAGACAAATTAAGTGCTTGAGATTTGTTTGTGTCAGAAAAACTAAGATTTATAAATCCAATATTAAGCAAAACTAATCTCAAACTATACAGGCTGTATTTTTTTTGTATACTTTACCTGATGTCTCCTCTATGTCCATAAACTGTATGTCCTCTGTGAAGTCATGGAGCAGAGGCTGACCATTCCTCTCCCCGTTGGCATGGAGGATGTTAGAAAGAGGGAACAAGATCTGTCTGTCCACCGCTGTCTCTGTTAAAGATAAGAGAAGCAAGATTCAAGCAAAGTTTTGGATTCCATGTTCCAAACGTCCCAATTCATTTCAGCTGATATTGGAAAGACAGAAAGAAGAACATCTTGAAAGACCAAAATTGCAAAGAAATATGGTATTCCTGATCAAAGCATTGTTGCTGCAAAGAACAATCTGCCAGTACTGCAGCTTTCATAAAGACTAAATCTCAAAGCAGTGTCCTCACCGCTGACTTTGCCCAGCCCGGGTGCTTTGTTCTTCAGTAAAGTGACCTGGATCTGAGGAATGTTGACGATGTTGGCATTCAGGACAAACTTGAAGTCCACGTGGCCCACCATGCAGGCCTTGGGCAACACCAACTCAAATACATGCTCGTCCCAGCTGGAGCTGCAGAGAGAACACTGGTCACCAACTGCTTAGACATTTCTATTTATTGATCCATATAAGAATAAAGATAGCAAACATCACTGATATTTTCAGCAGAATACAGAAATCCAAAAAGTACTAGACTTCTCATGTCAAACATAAACAGGAAAGGGAATCAGGCCTGAAGGTATCTGATGATAATTGGAATAATATATGGGAAAGCCAGGCTGAGACTACCAAGACTGACCATGATCATTCTAGCAGAAGATCACTAAAGAAAGAATGAAAATTTTGGAATATATGTTAATAGCTATTTTGTCATATTAAACCTGGGCAAAATGTGGAAATGACTGCAACAAACAGTGGACTGTCGAGGTCTAATGAAATGGACTGTTTGGAAAAACTGCCCTTTACCTTAAGACTACAATATGATCAATATGTAAAATACGGGTGTTATGGCAGAAAATAGTGTCCTCTTACATTTAATGTTTTATGTATGATCTTCTAATATTATTATTATTACCATTATTGTTATGTCTTATAGATATATGTACTGTGTTTTTTATCCTTAACCTTTCCTCTCCTATACTCCTTATGTTAGTCCGTCCACATTTACGCGGGTTTAGTTCAGAGCTGTGAGCTTGTTTTGGTGTTTTCCTCTCTTGTTGTTGCTCTCCTCTCCTGGAATGTTCATTCAAGGCTGAGAGAGGATCTCTGTTCCCCAAAACATAGAAACCTAGACTGTGTAAATGATGATGCATCCCTTTGCTCGGGGCCAGACATTAGTGACTGTCCTAGGAGACAGAACCTCTGGTCCAGCTGATTTATGTTGTAGTACTTCTCTGTTCTCTTTTGTTAATAAATTCTTCAAAGACAACGGTTTGTTGGAACTCAATTATTTGCTCAATCCCTCACCTAGAATATAATTTCCGCGACAACGGGTAGTGAAAAACATGCCTGTAACATGTGACCCTGAAAGATCCTGTTCCTGTACAAAGTCTATGTAGCCCAGGTCAGCTTATTCTTTTTCCTTGAAAATATCAATGAAGTTATTAAAAACAGCTACCTGTCACTCTGAAGCTTCCATGTGCGGGTGTGTTGGGCTGCATCTCCATGGTGCTGCTGGTGAAGGTGCTGTGGGTGGCGTCGCTGCTGCTGCTCTTGTTGCACCTCCACCCAGCATGGTGGCACTGTGGCCGAGAAGCGGGGGGTCAACGTCTCGAAGCGTGTCAGCTCCACCAGCGACATCAGGCTCTCTGTGGTCAGAGGTTGGTCCACAAGGAGGTCCACTCCTGCACAAAGGATTAACAGTACCAGAGAGGGGTCAAAGAACCGAACACTGAAATGGGTCTAGTTTTCCACTAGACCATGTGGTCTGACGTGGAGAATGAACCAGTGTCGTGTTCAGTTCTACCTGTGATCCCAGGGCTAGAGGGGTTGGAGGAGGGCTTGGCCCCCTCAAGCAGCAGTTCAGCCCCTTTAAAAAGGGGGCCATCAATAAACATGTCTCCATCATCTATATCGTCACACACACCTCCAATTTGAAGGAAATGAAGTTCTCCACCTTCAGAGGAGAGCAGAAACAAAATGAATACGTATTATTTCAACACTAGCGTAGTTTATTTATCTATACAGTATATTAACTTGTCTATTAGGAGGTCCTGAACCACTACAGTGTATAAACACTGTATGGATAAATTCAAACATGTATTCTACAGCAGGGCGTGACATTTTTTTTCTTCTTCAAAAGTAGAAATGACTTATTAATCCAAATAATCAACTCGCATTACATCACATGCTGAAGGAGAACACACATCAGTTTGATATCAACATAACTTTACTCATGAAGCACATACTAATTAATATAGTAATGGACATTCATAGTAATTTGATGGTTTAATTCTGCATCCAACTAAATGGATTGTCCTGAGGGTCATTTTATGTAAACTGAATGCTTCTCATCTTTTGACCATTTTGCTTTCGTCTGCATGCTACAACATTTTGCCTGTATGGTCTTGTTTTTAAGCCATCAAAAGGTATTAATTTCACCACAGATACAGTAACCTTGCTTTAATAGCCTGAGTGATATTTTTTTAAAAATCAGATGATGAAGTTTACCTACACACTAGGTGTTTGCTCAGAACTGAGTGACACGTTTCTCACAACAACAGAACAATAAGCTAATAGCAGCCAATAAATCAGCCTGGCTGAATTTATCGATCGAGCTTTAATCGTTTTTGTTCTTTTATACCCAAAAACAATGATAGTTTTTGTGTGAATTATTAATTATGATATTTTATATTTTTCTTATTGTCAACAAATCCATAAAAAGTATAGTACATGGATCAAAGCCTGATACGAATTATTCCTCTGTGAAAAACAAAAAAATAAATAAATAAAAATATGATTTCACCGTGTTCTGTGTTTTTTTTTTAAATCACTCTCTGCAGAGAAACAATGGTGCACAGACAATGCTTTGTTTAACTATGCTAAAGAGCCAAGACCTGGGTCGCACCCCATGATAATTATGAACCTGCCGACAGCTTCAAATGTTACGGAAAACACATCAAGATAACATTTCAGCAGCTACTCAAAACACAACTCCCAAAGCTCGCTGCACAGTAAAACATTCTGGAGGTAACATCACAATGCAAGTCCACCATCATACAGTAGACTCTGCATCAAACTGTGTCAACACCTTACAAATATTCATGTAAAAGACAACGTACACATCGTACGTTGTCTTTTACATGAATGGTGTGTAACATGCGTGAAGTGCGCCCCCATGCATGGATGGCCACAGCAGGAATAGAGAGCACTATGTTTGGTAGCACTTTACATTACAGCTCTAGGGTGGAACCCGGAAAGGCAAAGGTTCAATGATTCAATAGGAGGAGCCTGATTCAACTCCCAATCTCATAGGCGAATGTTCACAGAGTTGTAATGAAACGAGGATCACACCATTTTGGCTATATGGGGTGCTCAACGTCCGATTTTACATAGAACTACAGGTTTATACAGCCTATTATGATATAAATAACATATAATGCTGTAAATAAATGTGTGAAAAGAAGCTTTTGATAAATCTTTTTAAAGTATATGAATAAATCCAAAATTGTAACCCTAACCCTTAAGGTACAGGGGGTCAGTGTGCATGTGTATTGTGTGATAGAAGCAGAGAGACAGAGAACCAGCAACGGCAGTATTGTGCAGAGTTGTAGGTGAACTTAGCAGGATGTTCAAATCATTTATCACTACTGATTAACCTCACAAAGAATATTATTTTGTTTTTAAACAGTACTTGGAATAGACCCGCGAGGAACCGTGACGTGCATTCAATTTTCGGCAGGATGGCACAACTCTGAACAAGATCGGTCAATGGCGGGCGCGCAGAGCAGAGAACAGCTGGAAATTCACTGTGCAAGTTACAGTGACTAATGAATAGAGACTGCAGCTTTTCAAGATTAAAGCGGAGCTACGGAGTGTAGCAACCCCCAAACACACACACAGTCAGTGTGTAGACTATAGGCAATTCTTGATAATTAGACTGATTAGACTATGTAAATCCTTAGTCGGGTACAACCCTAGTAATAATGGTAATTAGGGTAAGGGTAATAGTTTGATAGTAAAGAGGTAATAATTAGTAATACCATGTAATTACCAAAGTATTAACCTGACAATAGCAATGGGTATATATCTGGGTGATAAAATATATATAATATAAAGGGTTAAACAGCAGAAAGCAGCTTGGAGGCCAGTGACAATACTACAGGTAAAAAGAAGGCGTAGCCGCGGTGTTTCTATATACATATTGGTATTATTTCATTGTAACCTCTTTATTATCTAACTATTACACCACTATTGCAATGTTATTACTGAGCTGTAATGCAAAGTGCTACCAAAATTCTTTTGTCTGAATAAAACACACATTGACAAGTGCTTTACTATTGGCCCATTACTTATTTCAGGACCCTAAATATACATGAAAACATACATTTATAAAAAGGATAAACACAGTGGCACCAACAATTACAGTATTTTAGAGTCCTCTTAAATTTCTCAAGTAAGGCATTCTGGGAAGCTCATGTCTTTGTATTGTGACCCCTGACTGATGCTGCCAGAAATACATCATAGGACACCACATTTGCATTAAGACATTGCTGAAAATAGCCCCCTAAAAATATACTTTCAAATTATTGCGCCTTTTTTAAAAGATTAAAGTCTTCAGTAGGAACAAAAGGACTTGCGGAGCGTGCCACGAAAAAGTCCGAAAGTACTGAGAGATGGTCTAACGCATTATTGAATTTTGTATTTTCTTGGGATTACTGACAATAAGAAAATATAGAGACAGAATAACACAAGACACAACCTTCACATTCATTCCCTTCATCAGGGAAAGTTAAAGCCAGCCTATCCAATAGTCAACAGCTCTACTATCTGCAGGCAAACCGTCCAGGAAGGAACACTCACCTTTGGTACAGGCACAAAGGCGGTCGGTCCCAGAGCAATAGGTAACTGAGACAAAGGGGTCCGTCTCCTCTGCTGACCCCTCCTTTTTAGGTGGCTCCACCTTGGCCAGGACCTCCAACGTGGACAGGTCCAGTATCATAATGTACCCCGCCCGTGTGGTCACCACCAGGTGACCCAGGCCTGCCACCTCTATCCGCTTGCACTCTTTGTGGCTGGTGGCAGAGGTGGAGGGACTGGTGACTGCAGCACTGCTGCTGGATGTGGCTGCTCCGCATGCAGTCCCAGTACCAGAGCCAGCAGAGCCTGCTGGGCCCGTTCCAAACCCAGATGAACCATTTTTTGACCCAGAGGGGAGAGCCTCCTCAGGAGCCTCTTCACTGTCATCCTCTCTGCTATCAAGCACATCTGGAGGAAGCAATATAAGTGAGGTGATGGCATCACAAGGGTCCCAGATCTGCTGCACTTTGATAGGTTCATCCTCCAAGGTGACAATTCGGGTGGAGTAGTTGAGCTTGTAGAGTGCAAGATAGCCTCCATTCCCACCACTCGGGGACCTCTGTTGTATCTGCTGTTGGTCGCCTGGGGGCAGAATGAGGGGTGTCAGAGGCGGTGATCCACCTGGGTGGTGGCCTTCTACCCCGTTGGCCACCGGGTGTAGGGGGTCTCCTTTGCGCTGGCTGCAGAGAGCAGAGTGCAGACGGTTGAGATTGTTGAGAGCCTCCACTTGGTTTGTAGCGCTCAGAGATTCAGCGCCAGATGGCTGTAGGCCGACCAGAAGATGCACACCGTCCCAGCAGGGCGTGATCGAGTCCACATAAAGATTCTCGTCTTCCAGCTGTTTGGGCAGCCTCAAGCACTGCACCAGCGCTCCAGGTCGAGGCGGGGTGGAGAGCGTTGCTGTACCCAGTGTGCTCCATTTGTCTGCGTGGCCGTCTAACCCTGCCAGATTAGTTGCTGCATCAGCAAACTGCTGAATATACGTGATGGGAGGATCCTGAAGAAGAAGCTGCTCGTGCGTGTCGAACTCCATCTCTATAATCTGTGGCACAGTGAAGCCCTCCTCGTGGAGGCCCTTGCTCATTAAGTTGTTCATTTGCGCAAACACCTGCCCTGAGGACTTGTCATCCACCTCTCTGATACTGTACAGCAGCAGCACAGGTATAGTCCTACGCATAGCTGGCAGAGAACTGGGGCTTGGAGGTTGGGAGCCTGCGAGGCTAGAGAAGCCCTGCTCCTGGGCTGCAGTCTGGGGGTTGCAGGTCTCTATCTCCATGGGGCCCTGGTCCTGTAGAGGTCCAGGGTGGAACGGCTCAGGGCCCTGAGTCCTAAGGGGACCATCTGTGGTCCTGCGTGTTGTAGCTGGGGCTGTGGGCGGGGGTCCAGCCATTGGGGTGCTGGATGCTGAGCGGTAGCTGAGCAGGCCTCCAGCCAGAAGGCAGGGGAAAGGAATGTTGTGGTGGTCAGGGACCTTGTCCTTTGCTTTGGCCTGGCTGTGGGCCTTGGCTTGGTTTAGTGAGGGATTGGCTCCAAGCTCCTCCAGGTCCTTGACCGTGTCCTCCAGCACACTGGCCACCACCTCCCATTGGAGCTTCTCTGGCTGCTGGAGCACACTCAGCGCTGTCACTCCAAGGCTCACATCCATGCTCTCCCACTGGGACTGCTGGCCTGGAACAGAAGCAAAAGAAGAGGTCTGAGGTTTTCCTGTCCAGTGATGTGTTTTCAAATGTATCCACATAACTTCAGATATGGTTCATCCCAATCTTCAAACAAGGGCACCACTACCCCCCCCTTAGAAATGACAAGTCTTCATACCTGTTACTGACTCTGATCGGGAATGCTCATCACTGTCTGAATCCTCCAACTGGTCATCACTGGAAGAGAAGGAGGAGTTTAAATACGTGACTAACATGATAACGCAAAAACTGTGCCTCTCTCACTGACACATTATTCCTACAGAATAAGAAGGACTGATTGGCTGTGTTTTGTTTTTGCTATTTTGTGCTAAAAGATTATTTGGTGGCAAATGGTAACTGAAAAGATGATGCATGGATTTTGCAGAAATGTTAGCAATACCTATAATTGCTTCAGTGCAGTTTCTTTTTGTCATTTTATTGTTTTTAGTACTAACTTGGTTGATTTTGTAGAAGAAGTTTTGTAGACAGAGTTGGGCAGCTGTTAAATAAAGGTTTAGTTCTGCTCCGAAGGCCTGTCACAATAATCTTTTGATGGAAGCATTTACTGCCCCAGCAATTATTACAATGAACTATATTATGTTATTGTCAAGACCTTTCATTTGCATGGAGAGAAAAGGTAGATAAATCTTTAGTCAAATGACCATCAGTGTTTCCGAAACATTGACTCATTTGTGGCAGCTCGCCACAATATCAACGCTGACCGCCACATATATATTTCCGATTTGTAATGCACAAATAAACACGCGCCACCCCCACCACCCACACCCGCTGGATTTGGTCTGAATACAGCATTTCTCAGTTGTTCAGTTCATGTGGCATTACACTTAATGCCTCGGAATTTTCCTTTGTCGCCTTCTCTGCTGTATACCATGGATCATATGTTGCCGTAGCAACCTCAGCCTCAAGGATCTGTTGTAGTTTGGCACCTTGAGGTTGTTTGCATAATTTATGTGTTCGTCTAAATTTCAAATGGAGGTACAGTATAAACCAGCTATAAACAAGGGGTGAACATGTGGAGGACACCGCAGATGGAGGCCAGTTATTCATGTATGACTCTGAGATTCAATACTGGCCGAGGTTCAGACGCATACTGTGAGAAACTTGTTTTGCACTATGTATATGTTTTGGAGGGTTCATGTGTTGAGCGTATATATACACACACGTGTGTGTGTGTGTGTGTGCATAACTTTCACCTGTCTCCCTCTAGCTTTGGCAGGTCAGAGCAGGAGGATGACTCCTCGAGCCAGGCCAGCGTTGGTCTCCGAGACTCGATCAGTGTCTGCTGGCTCTGCTCACCACCACACAGGATCAGCTGCCTCAGGATAGCCGGGTCGTATGGATTGATGTCAAACTTCAAGTGCACCTATTCAGCACACAATCATACACTCTGGGGTCAATACAAACACTTACCAACACAAGACAGGTGAAAATGTTTCATTCGTTCGCGCAGTTCGATGCTCTGACCTTCATCATTTTGGAGACATCCCAGATGCAGATCTTGCCCCTCTTGGTGGCAGCAGCCAGGAACTGTGGGCAGCTGCCAAAGCCGTAGCACACGATTTTGTCCGAACTGTCAGGGCTGTTGGGAAACTGGGCAGGGCTGGTTGCCAGTGTCACTGACAGCGGCACATTCTGCGTATGCTCACCCTTCACAAACGGACAATTGGGAGAATGCCGCTCATGTTCGGACCTGGCGGATAGTGGAGAAATGTTGGACATCATTGATATGTCATAGGAGCTAAATGAATGAATAGTTAATGATCTCCACTCACCACGGCTCATCTGTAGGTTCCCAACAGACCAGACACACACTGCAGGTGAAACACATGGCTCTGTCGTCCCCTGTTGAGGCCGGCTGTGAAAGACAGCGGGGATCAATAAAGCTTGCAAACCCTTAGCTTCATCCCACATTGTTATTCTGGAGAATCCTGAATTTGTATGGCAGGTGTAAAAACACAGAAACAATAAACAAAATTCATATTATATTATAATTGCTGTTGCTTATGGCGACATTATAGGTTTAGTTTGTAATATTTCTGAGGATCTAGTGACAGAAATCCAATATAAAGATCCACAACTATGTTTTCAGTGGTGTATAAACACCTTCCATAATGAACCGTTATGTTTTTATTACCGTAGAATGAGACATTTCTATCTAGATAAGTGCGGGTCCCCCCTTCTGTGGACGTCGCCATGTTGCGCCGCCATGTTTCTACAGTAGCTGTAAACGGACAAACGGCGCTACAGAGCGCGTTTCGTCACTACGTTCTTCTTCTTGTGGAATTCTCTTCTTCTTGTGGAATTCTGCCAGTGTAGACTTACTTCATCACTACGTTGAATACGTATGTTTGAAGAAGAAGTAATAATATACAGCAGGGGTCGGAAAATACAATGTTCGGTTAGCTCCGTTGGTAGCACAAGACTCTCACCTAGAAGGCTGCGTGTTCAGTCCCACGTTGGGAGATTTTTTTCCCCTCTTGCACAAATTAATTCTGCAGTGACCGTTTCTCTGGCTCATGACAAAACATGTGCCGCTTTTTCATTTCCCCAGTATCTCCAGGCAGAGGACATTTAGGGGAATCACGTTTTCTGACGGCTCTTTCAGAGGTGTGTCAAGCAGGCTACAGACTCTTTCAATGTTCAAATTGTTCAAAGTAAAAGCTCTCAATTCAAGCATTGCAGCAAAAAATGTTCTTGCGCATTTATTTGGCAGGCAAAATCACTAAAGAGGAAGTGATTATGTGAGTAACTGTTTTTGCTGCTATCAAAGCACCATAATCTGGTAGAGAGATATTACTGTTGGCGGGCGTTTTTGGTGAAACTTTATCTAAAGTGTGGTTTATAATGGACTGTGGTGCAGAAACAGTGAAAGTGTTTCACACTCTTGTTTTACATTTTCCATGTTATCTGTCAGTGGCCAAGTCACAGTAACATATGGTTTTACTGAATAATTAAGCAAATATAATTTCTAAATATATCTACCTAAAGAAACCTCATTTCTTGACTGGCTACTCTCTGCTGTCTCACAAGAGATACCTTTTGTGCTGTGTCAGCCACCGTAGCTGTCCTACGCTCTTTGGGCGGGGAGTGGTAGACTGACAGCTAGATGCCACTAAATGTGAAACACTGAACCTTTAACTTTACTGTTCCTTTGCACAGACGCTGAACACTCAGTACAGAGCTTGCTATTGCCATAGGCTGTTTGCACAACACCAAAGGACATGAGTTTCAACAAGAGTTGTCTCCATCGTTACAATCTTTTTCTTCCTCTAACATCTGACATCTTCAACACCTCTCTGGAGACATGCCACTGCCCTCTCCAAAACCTCCACCATCATCCCCGTCCCCAAAAAAGGACTAAATGACTTCAGACTCGCCGCCCTGACCTCTGTGGTAATGAAGTCTTTTGAGTGCCTTGTGTTATCCCACCTCAAATCCATCACAGACCCACTCCTGGACCCACACGGTCCTTCACTTCATCCTCCAGCACCTGGACTCCCTCAGGAACCTATGCCAGGATCCCGTTTGTGGATTTCAGCTGTGGAACACCATCATCCCAGCTCTGCTGCAGGACAAGCCTGGGTGTGCCTGAATCCACCTGCAGATGGATCGCAGACTTTCTGTCTGACAGGAGGCAGCACGTAAGGCTGGGAAAACATGTCTCTGGACCCCATACCCCACAGTTCAGCACACAGATGGACAGATGTTTGAACCCAGGACCATCTTGCTTTGAGGCCAGTGTTATCCACTCAGAAAATGCTGTGGGTGGGACACCGAGACAGAATGGTGACTACAGACAAAGAGGCGGCTATATCAGAGCAGCACATTTTAAAAATTAATTTAACCTAAATTAATCTAACCTTTTTTTTGCTGATCTGAAAAATGATCTGATCTGTGAGTTTTGTGATCCATTGCACCCCCTACCACCTACAGGTGGGAGACTGACCCTCTGGTGACCTGATGCAGCCAGAACTACCACTGCTCTACACCGACAGTGGAGATGGTAGTGGATTTCAGGAAGAGCCTAGGCCACCCTCCCCCCATCACGCTATGTGACTCCACAGTCGCCACTGTGGACTCCTTCAGCTTCCTGGACACCATCATCTCATGGGACCTCAAGTGGGAGCTGAACACTAATGTTGTAGTCAAGACCGCCCAAACAGAGACCAAGACCAGAGTTTATCGAGACAGAGACAAGACCAAGACTTTTAGGGGCCGAGACCAAGTCGAGACCAAGACCAAGTCAAGACCAAGACCAGTTCCCCACATTACAGGACACACAATAAAATGTGGAACGAGATCATAGGTAGTACTCAAACTGATCTGAAAGATCCACATTCCCATTAAAAACACCCATATACAAACGCTAAGAGCTGAAATCAAGTATCCCGGGTAGGGGGGACAGTCGTTAACGGGAACAATAGGTTTTTAATTAGGGTTATTGGGTGCAATTGAAGCAAATACATTTTACATCCAATTAAAGTTAGGATGTTAACAAATCAGACAATGCAAAAGCAATTTATTGATATTCCCAAAGTTATGGCCTTTACTGAGCCCCCAGTCCGAGACAAGACCGAGTACAAATGTGGTCGAGTCCGAGACGAGACCAAGACCATCAAAAAGTAGTCTTAACACCGGTCTCGAGTGCTATAACACTACTGAACACCAGCTCCCTCACTAAGAAAGCCCATGTACTTCCTGCAGTAGCTGAGGAAGTTCAACCAGTCAATGATGGTGCACTTCTACACCGCCATCATTGAGTCCATCATCACCTCCTCCATCACCATCTGGTACGCTGCTGCCACTGCCAGGGACAAGGGCAGGCTGCAGCGTATCATCCGTTTTACAGAGAAGGTGATTGGCTTCCATTCCATGCCTTCCACAATCTTCCATCCTTCTAGGACCAGGACTCTGAAGCGTGCAGGAAAGATTGTGGCTGACCCCTCCCACCCCAACTGTTTCTGACACTCCCCTCCGGCAGGAGAACAGTTTCTTCAGCTGGCCTCATCAAGGCCTGAATCCCACTGACTCTCAAGCCTCTTTAACCCACTCTTTACAACACATTTTACTCATCCTGTATATTTTTGCACTTTGATTCTTGACTTGCAGTACTAGCTTTAATCACGCATTTATTACCTACTATGTTTATAGTTATGCACCAAAATACCAAAGCAAATTCCTTTTATGTGTAAACTTACATGGCAATAATGCTTATTCTGATTCTAACTGAACTAGTGTAGTGCCTGTTCACAGGGGCCAGTGTGTTTTTGTTCAAAATGTGCGTCACATTGGTTATACCTACAGCAGCTTTTACAACATAAGTTTAGTTCTTATAGACATTTAATAGTTAATAGTTTAATAGAGTCTGTAGCTTGCTTGACACACCTCTTGAAAAAGCGTAACGTAATTCCCCTGAATGAGAAGAGCTGAGATCGGGCACAAGGCGGGGTACACCCTGGACAGGTCGCCAGTCCATCGCAGAGCCACACATAGACAAACAACCAGTCACACTCACACCTAAGGACAATTTAGGTTCACCAATTAGCCTAGTCCGCATGTTTTTGGATGGTGGGAGGAAGCCGGAGCACCCGGAGAGAACCCACGCAGACACGGGGAGAACATGCAAACTCCACACAGAAAGGCAGAGGAAACCGGGTTTTGAACTTGCTGTGAGGCAACAATAATAAAAATATATTTGCATAAGGGGGGACCGAACACACAACCCTTCGCTTGAAAGGCCTGTGCACAATAGACTGAGCTAACTGGGAACCCAAAAATTATTTTAAATTATCAAACTTATTTGCCATCTTCTGACCTACAGCACTGAATCAACATGACAACGGTGGAGACACTGCTAGATATTCAGCCTGCGTGGAGACGATAACTTCCGTTTCAACAACTGACCACCACATCGTTGTTGTTTTAAGTCTAATGTATAAACAGTTCCTGACATAATCAAACACACACACACACACACACACACACACACACACACACACACACACACACACACACACACACACACACACACACACACACACACACACACACACACACAGAATACCCTCTTCATTAGAGAGATAATCTTGCAGTGACCTGAAATTGAAAACATGCTCTACCTTGCAGGCATATAGCCCACTGACTGCATGCAAATATTATGAATGTGTATGACTGTAAAGACATGTAAACAGTCTTTACGCCTACAGACTAGTGGCTCCCCTGAGTTCTCAGAACCTACCTGGTGGTAAAACCCTGCCTGAGCCATGGGATCAGGCTGAGCCCACCTGTACCCAGCATGTGGCCACGATGTAAATGTCTCCCTCCTGTTGGCCTCACTGTACATCAGAGATCTGTGGGGAACACCACATTTTAGAAACAAGCCCAGTATTCACTATGCTAGTGTGGAATGTATCACTGTACCTGTTTTGTACATGCATGTTGTGTATCATAGATCACACATTGTCCCCTGAACAATCTTAAATGCTATTCAAATGTTATCTGTAAAGGAACACTGAAAGTCAGTGCCTAAATGGCAGGGCTGGATTAACCTGGCCAACGGGCAAGAAAACTGTTGGCTTATTATTGCTGATGTAAAGAAAATGTCATTTCTGTGCACAAATAAATAAATAAATCTCTCAGACAGAACATTTCTCTATTGAAATACCTCAATTCTGCACATGAAAAATACATCCTAATAGTTAAACAATGTTTAAAATATGCTGAAGTGACTTAAAATGTTTAAAGATATCAAAAGGTAACACTGTAAGATAAAACTGGCAAACCAAAACTGTATTCAATCCATACAGCTCATTTAGATAACACTGTCCACAGCCTCACAACTTCTACCATTCAGTTGAATGATACTTCAAAAGACAATTGTTATTTGTTTCCCTGCTTACTCACCTATCTACAGAGCGCCCGGGGCCCACCCCAAGCTCAGGCCTGGCGCTTGACAAGAGGTAGGAGAGCCTGTCCATGATGGATGAGGCCACAGACAAGGCAGCTATGTTCTGGTTGATCTTCTTCAGCTCATTGACGATGGCGCTGGCCACCAGCTTCAGCACATGGTGGGGAAGATGGAAGGTCACCGTCGCCCACTGAAAGAAGGACGGTGAAGCAAAAGGTCACAGAGAGAAGAGAGACTGATTTAAGAGTAGTGAAAGAGAAAGTATTAGTAAGTAGTAGAAAATGTAATTTTCTGAAGAAGACACTGGTACAAGTTCACTTCAGTACATGAAGACAGGTTAGTGTCATCGTTACACAGTAACGCAGCTGCAACAAGGAGTCCGTTCAAAACTCTCCTTGGGGACACATTCACACAAGCACTGATATCTGACAGACACATGATCTCATCAATCTGACTTTACCCCCAGCAAACTGTCTGTGAGCTAGGGCTGAACGATTTGGGGGGGAAATCTAATAGGGATTTTTCTGCCAGATATTATTTATTAGTTGTTTTTTTTTAAAGTTTAGCTTAAGGTTCAATATTCACTGCCAGTCTATTTTTGATGGTCAAGCAGCACAGAGAACATGAACCAGGCAGGAAGACAGACACAGAACAATAGAGACGATCCGGTCAATTTTCAAAATAAAACACACTGTGCAGACTCTTGATTGTATATCAACAATAAACACAGTTAAAACAGACAAAAAGGATTTTTAACTACGCAGCCTACTTAACCATAGTAGAAACACAAAAATCAAGGACAGCTGAACAAATTAACAAAATCTGAACAAGTCAGCAAAATCAGGCAGGCAAAACGCTCCGATTCTGAAATGCTCCATGTAGGATATGCAGCCTGCAAAGAGCGGATCAGAACGGGCTCACAGAGAGCCGTTATCCGTAGTTGAAGCACACAAAAATACAAATTAACAACACGTCAACAACGTGGGCTCGGCTGCTGTTCAAAACACTTCACTTTGAGTTGACGCCAGACAAAACCTCGACACAGCCACTGCCTCTGTCTGTTCGTCTGACGCCATTATCCCACATTATCCTCTAGTTCACATGGCGCTTGTGACTGGCGAGCTGGTCTGTCGCAAAAGGGTGACAACAGAATTAATTTTTAACTGCATGACTGTTCGGGGTCCGATTCACGATTAGCTAATCGCGTTCTTTCAAATCGCAATTTCGATTTGAAAACGATTAATCGTTCAGGCCTAATGTGAGCTATAAGGGGTGGTCTAATTGGACTTCTCATACTGGACTTCTTTTAACCAGGAGACTGAGCAACATTCAGGCACTTTTTTTAGATTTCTTCAGGTACACCATCACATGAACAGCTCTATGTTAGAGAGCCAAAAGGCATTTGAAGACCTCTTTTGACCTATTAAAAGTTTTTTTGTACCACAAATTGTGGCTCCCTGTAAGCAAATCACCACCTCTTCTTCTGGGCTGGTCCAAAAGTAAATTTTTGGCATAAGACTTACACAGAATTGGTGACTATTTTCAAACCAAAAATTACTTTCAACTGGGATGAACTCCTTTTTGGGATGGCACACTCAACATCTATAAATATTAAAACAAGACATTGAGTGTAGCTGCAGGAAAAGCAATTACAAAGAAATAGCTTAAGCCAGACGCCCCATCTAAAGAGGACTGGTATGATATTAATTTATGAAATTTTTGTAATGGAAAGAATCACCTTTTCCATGAGGCTTCAGAAAACTAAATTGAAAGACATTTTGGAGAAGTGTAAAATGTTTCCTCTCTGGAGTCAGCTTGGCGGACTCGTTCCACACATGCAGTAGATCGGTTAGTGCCCTTGTAGCATAGTTGGCGTGAGGATTTCCGCACAAACCCTTTGCATACCCACTTTGATGACGATATTTTTCATCACGCGGACCCAAGCATACTTGCAGACACAGAAAGCATAATCCTTGCTTAAGACTGCTGTTGGTCAAGAAATAGCATGACCTGATGGTTTTAGCACTGGACTGCAATCTGTTATAAAGGTGCTAATACTACTGTGTAAGGAAGATTTAGGTCTGACATGGCTCTTCACCTAGCAGACCCTAGCCTATAATAAATGCTGCTCTTATTTTTCACAAATGCTGTAACAGCACTGAGGGAGAACACAAAAACCAAAAGGCACAGGAACAAGCATAATGAAATACTCTGAATGAGTTTTCCTCCACTGGCTACTATCACATGATCTCCTCACGTGATGTCCACATACTGAGACACTGGTCTTGACTCTCAGGTGCCATAGCCAAATTAAAAGCCCTAATATGTCACTAATGTACAGCTGATATGAACGCAAACAGTAAGCCTCTAATCATACAGGATGTAACAAAACAAAAGCAAAGGCTTTTAGACTAACCTTGGCCACTTTGTGATTGGCTGCAGTCTCGTGTGAGGTATTCTTCAGGCCTTCTTTGAGCTGGGTGATAAAGAGTTCATAGCCTTCTGTGTTGGACACATCAATCTTTTCCTGACAAGCCGACAGCATCTGCTGGGCCTGAAAAGACAAACACACACACACATTAATTACAGTTATAACTGCCTGGTCAGGCACTGGTACGGTCTTCTGCCTTTATAACAGAATGATTTCATAGGTTAAGCCATTTGATGCATGACAATGTGACTTTTGTCACACACCAGTATGGAAGATTTTACTGGACTTTAATATTTGTAACCCACAGAAAACAATCCACAAATATTTCAATATCTACATATATGTATTTTTACATTTGTTATGTGTAAAATCTTCTCCACAAAAATACAGAGTGACTTCTACACAAAGGTTTTTGCACATTTGCAGATTGTTTTCTGTCAATTTGTGGGTCACGTTACATTTGTAACCTTCTTTTTACACATTTGTGGAATTTTGTCCAATGTGTACTGAGGAGATCTGTAAAAAAAATATACACAAATATCTCACTACCCAGAACATGTATTATTACATTTGTGTTATGTAAAATCGTAGCTCTGACAGGAAGGTGTAACATTTTACTACAAACACAATTTTCAGGCTCATATTTCTTTAAATATAAATGTAAAACAAATACAGTGATAAAGTATTCAATAGTAAACCATATACACTTGTATAGAAAAATTTAGACTGAGTAGAGTCCAGTGGTGGCAGAAGTTGTTATCTCCTACAGATGACCCTGGGTACTGCAGTGGATATTCTTACAACTCATGAGAGGCAAAGTCACTACCGCCACCTGCTGGTGTAGCTAATAAACTGCTCTCACATTTACAGATCTCTGTGGTACAGAGTGGACAACATTCCACAAATGCGGAAAAAGGAAGTTTTGTGTGTAGAAGTCTGTATTTTTGGGGATATGATTTTACACATCACAAATGTAAAAATACGTATTTGTAGATAGTGAAATATCTGTGCATTATAGTACACATTTGTGGATTGTTTTCTGTGGGTTACAAATATTAAAGTCCAATAAAATCTTCCATACACCAGTTAGTAGATTCATTCAGCAAATTAACCTAACTAAAGAGGCCACTAAATGAACACTGAAAGAGCATTAGGAAGGAATTTTATAGTGGCATCAACAAGAGCAATAATCACAGCAAACAAATGCTTTGAGTGCATGAGAGTATGGTTGTAAAAATTGTAAACCTATCCTTCAAATGCATTTTCTTCCTCATCTCTGACCAAGTAATACAGTGCGCGACCAAGTCGCACTGAGTTGATAATTTACAGATCCAAACCTTATTGGCTGAAGGAAATGTGGCTATAAAAGAGGTGACAAATGAAAGATGATGACTAAGTTGAAAAAGTCACATTACCGGGAGAAAGACATTTCCATGAACAGTGACGTTGGGATAATATTTCATTTAAAGTTTAGTGAACTGGGAGTGTTTTTTGTTGGCTTCTTGTTTCTAAGCAGTACTGTACAGAGTCTGTAGTCCTGTAAACCATCATGTCATGATAAAAACAAACATGTACACATGTACAGTGCTGATTAGTGACAAGTCTTTTTTACAGACAAATATATTCTAGCCCACTCCTTCCAAGTTAAAAGTTACTTAGTTACTTTTTTAACCTACTGAAATAACTTATTTATATTGATTTAATATTCATGTAGGCCTATTATACTTATCTAAATTGCGATTTGATAAGGGAACAAAGCCATACCGTGCTTTCAATTTTAGCTTGTTTGACAGATAAGGACAAGGACATTTTATGTTATAATGAGAAGTTTGGGAATGTTTTCACTTCATTAGGAAACTGTGGCGCAACAGATTAGACTCTGGCGGGCCACACTGGACTGGGAAAACAGGAAACACTGGACTATATATGAAGTCTTATTCCTATATACATTCAAACTGGATGTAATTTTAATGGGACAACATAAGTTTTAGTATAATAAATAACTAGTTACCTGCAAGTTGCTAATGCCAACCAACATTGTCGTGCACCGATTTGGCTATTTGGAGCAAAGCATCTTACCAAACTATGAAAACTCTTTTTTAACCACCAAATGAAGTAGACTATTATTTAACTGACTCTACATCAGGGGTCCTCAACTACATTTGTTCAAGGGCACGAATTTTTCTAAGCAGACACTGTGGGGGCTGGACTTTCAAAAACATTTGTAATTGCCATATTAATGTTTAACATTTTCAACTTTTGCAAAATTAATGTTTATTAGCTTGTATCAGTGTGAACAGACTCCTTAAACATAGTAGGCGTAAATCCATAATGATAAATCTACACAGGCTGCTACAAAGGCATAACTAGAAAATGCCCTCAGACCTGCAGTCAAGGAGTTCACTGAGGAGTGACGTTTAAAATCTCTTACTGTAAATGTAAGTCTGATTGGCATTAAAGAGGTGGTATTATGCTTTTTGCCCTTTCCCCCTCTTCTTTATTGAGTTATATTCCTTTTTTGTGCATGTAACAGGTTTGCAAAGTGAAAAAGCCCAAAGTCCAGCCCAAAGGGAGTTCCCATCTCCCACAGAAAACTTGTGAAACAAACTACGTTTGTAGTCCAGCTGTGACGTCACAGGGATGAAACCTACTTGCGCCCTCAAAAACAGCGGTGGAAAAACAGTGAGCTGCAGCACACCTCTCCTCTCCCCTCCAAACACTAGCTACCCTCCAGGCAGTCAGTGGACATAAAGTTGTTACTGTGATGTAGAGACAGAGCTCAGTTAAAACTTTATGGATGAAAGATACTTTTGTTACAGATTAATAACTCACCACTCTGAAACTCTTGCTCCAGTCCAAGTTGCCAGGCTGGTCGGCAACATGTACAGCTGAAACAAATCTTGTTTGCTTCTCACTGACCTCGCTTTCTCGGCTTCTGACAGCATTACTCACTGCAATATTATATTATATAAATCAAACTGGTCCACTGTCAGAAAATTGTTGAAAATGATGGTTGTCCTGTTGTGTAGACGTATTGTAGCAGCCTACACGACAGCAGTCAGCGCTGATCTCAGATTTAAAAAAATACTTTAAATATTACATTAACGTGAGTAATTGTACTTTGTTACTTTCCACCTCTGCACTGTCATTTCTATTTTAATGTCACAACACTACGCAACCTACCATAACCTCCCCCACTCTGCCTGCAGCACCGCTCATAGTTTAAAAACACCCCAGCCCCCAGTAGCAGGTAGGACACGATGCAAAGCTGGTGTCAGTCATATGAGAGTTGTCGAAACTCTGGCAGGAAAAAGCCAGCTAGTCACCGGAGCACTCATTTCAAAAACAAAGAGAGATATCAGCAGCTGGAGAGGTGAGACAGAAGACAGTAGGGAGAAGATAAGGAGGTTGTGGATTTGGCTAGCTGGATATATAGCCATATCAGGTGCCTTTTAGTTGAAACATGTTCAACTTTTCATAAAATCGATGTGCTCAGCAATTTCACTTTTTGTCAACTGACCAATCACAGCCTGGATGGGGCGGGACATTACAAAGTTTGATGTGCTACAATAAACTTTCAAATATTGAACTCGTTCTGCATGAATGGTTCTGATAGTTGTATTAACAAATTATTTTTCTTGCACAAGGATTTAATGAATGAAAACATTAAACTGCTGTTTTGTCCAACTGGAATAAATACTGTACTAGTGGTGACCTATATAGTTATATATACTGTTACATAAAATGACAATGCATAGTAAAATTAATATTTTAACATACTAACAGTATACTATTAGATTAAAATTGAACTTTTTATCTAATATTATTATAATATAAATACTAATACTCTCATTTAAACTAGTTTCTCCTCCATGTTGTGGAAAGAGCCTATGCAGATTTCCACTGCACGGGATGCCACTTTGCCAGTATGTGCTCCTTCTAGCCTCCTCCTGTTCCCCTTGTTCTGTTTTACATCTGTTTTACTCAAGTTATTGTAATACTGTTCAGTAGTCTTGTTTACAGTAGGTGTGGCGTGGGTTGTGTGGGTACTGCTAGGGTATTGTGAATCCATCCCTGGTTCAAAAACTACAAAAGCACCAATCACGGTAAAGATTTTTGTGATGAGTGATCGGTGTTTTAAAAGCTGTTTTCAATGTCAAATTTTCAAAACATCTGTTATAACAATATTTTAAAAAGCTTTGACAAATTATTAAGGCCAATGCTGAGTGTACAGACACAAGGGTGTTCACTTCCATAGTGCTCTAATGGTTTCACACCATAGTTTAACACAAAGAAAAGGAGCACACATGTAGTATAAATATGTATATAATAAATAGTTTGTTAAACTCTGTTTTACCTGAACATTTTTCACTGTGCTCCCAAATTTCTTAGTGTGCTCCTTGGGAAAAAGGTTAGCATAGAGCTCTGACTCACTCGTTCTCTCCATTAACAAGGAGTTAATATGTTGACATTTAAGACGCCGGGAGCTGATCCTCAGAATCAGTATCTGTGCCGATTGGGGCATATGTTAAAGAACATAACCAAATCTGATCCTTACTTTGCGGTGCTTTGTTGGAGTGCTGTCCTCTGTAATGACAGCCAGCCTCTACACTGCAAGCATTTAACTGCATATTTACACCAATTAGGGTTTGTGAATGTGAAATGTGATTTGATTGCACCGGTGCCTGTTCTAACACCAGGTTGGCATAATTTCTAAGCTCCAACTGCAATAAATCCGTTATCACTCCTCTCTCTTTCTTATTAGCAAAGAGCAGGGTACAAGAGTGTTTGGTTAAGAAAATAACTTGAATACATTAGTCTTTGACAAATGTGTAAATTAGTGTTCAGAATTAGGGCCGAACGATTAATTACATTTGCGATATTTTCGCGATATCATAAAATGAGATTTTCCAATCGCAAAGGCTGTGATTACGCTCTGGTCACATAACATGCAAGAGTAAACAAGTCTGCAGAGGAAGAATCAAATTTGCACATTTCGCTGCACCTTGACTTGTTGTTGTCCAATGGCCTTAGGCTTGACAGAAGCTGACGACAGAAACTGTAGTGTCAAACAGGGAATGAAAGTAGCAGACGCCACCCGCGGGTAACTTGGTGGTGGGTGAAATCGTCGGGCCATCCGTCACTTTGACGGACAGAAAAACGCACAACAGAAAGACACGTGTAGTAAGTTAAGCGTATTGTGGCGCCTGCGTCACACACACAGCCACCGGTCAGCTCTGGAAATATCTGTGAAACAGCGTTTCAAACCGAACTCAAGTCCGACAGAGGCCCAGTCTGTCCTGAGTTACTGCCTGGTTACAGCCAGTTTGCTGCTGACCAGCATCGGAAGCTGCGGGGGGGCTTACTAAGCTTGTCTATTTAACGGGAGAGGCTTCACTTGGTTTTATTTATTGGCCAACTTTTGATTTGAACCTCAAAGTCTATTTTGCTTACTGGGATCCAGAAAGATGGACTCCTGGGAGATTTGAACTGAGATAAGGACTCAATAATTGGTGGTTGAACAGTGGGTTTTGTATTGAGCGCTTACAAACAGTAACTGACAAATCCTTCATAATGCCTTTACTTAACAAAAAAAAAAAAGATTCAAACTGAGGATTTTTTTTAGGGTGATGACATAAAATATGACTACAGACATTCAAAGCTTTATCTGAAAACCTCAATATGAGTTTTGAATATTAAAAGATGACCTTTGGTGCAGCCCTAGAAAGTATTTGAGCTGTCAGCTGCCCACAGCTCAAGTGTAAGGATTTAAAGAACTTAAACTGTAATCTTTGTATGCATGCAAGTTTGTAGTGAAAGCACTTCAGATGTCAGCAAGTAGAAGAACTGGAGATACAGTTGATACACAAATATAGTATATAGTTGATATGTCACTAGAAGTAAAGAACTTGGGGCACAGTTTAGCTCACCTGGTAGAGCAGCATGTACAAGGCTGAGTCCTTACTGCAGCGGGCCAGGTTGAAATCCAACCTGTAGCCCTGCGGCCCCCTAGGGGTGGGGGGGGGGGGAAATCGATACAGCATAGTGTCGTGATATTTGCCATGGCAATACTGTATCGATACACGGACACCAAGTATCGATATTTTAGTATATAAATTGCAGATGGGAGTTTTAACTTTTTGGTACTAGAATAATAAAATCTATTGCTTTTTTAGTCCACTAGAAAACTTAACAGGACCATATAGAGGACTGAAAAAGTGAACAAACAGAGAAATGTTTCTTTTTAGATAAACAGATGTTGACAAAGTTGACTTTAGGGACCTAATTGGAAGTTGGAAAAAGGTAATAAATTGCAATATATCTCAATATATTTAAAATTGCAATAAAATTGAATCGCAACATAAATGTTGTGATAATATCGTATCGTGGGGCCTCTGGTGATTCCCACCCCTACGGCCCATCTCCTCGTTTCCTACCACAATCCTGTCTATTAAAGGCGAAAAATGCCCCCCAAAATATCTTACAATAAAAAAAAGAAGTAAAGTACTTAGTAGTACTTTCATAGCAACGGTCCACTGAAGAGGACTTCGGTGTGTACTGTGAAAGCAGTTGAAATGCCAGTTCAAGAGAAAAAATACACAACCGAAGAGTAAGACATGAAAGCAGTTACATTTTCAGGAAGAAAGGCTACTTGGCATTTGGATGAATACTGTATATGGTCAAACATGAACAGTAATCAAGAGCATTTTGACAAAAATGAAGGGGTTTAATCTACTCTTCTCAGCTTTTATATGCAGTTATTGATGTGACGTGGGTGAGTGTGAGGAAGGCTTGTGTAATTCTTAAGTAATCTGAGGGAGCATTAACACAACAGTTCTGCGACTGTTGTCAAAGGTTCTAACAGCCTTTCATATGCTCAGAATGAGCAGCTTATTCTGGCCAAGGTTTAGATTCCGAGGGTGGAACAAAAGGCTTAGTGTAACCTGGGGGTAGGAATCTCTAGGCACCTCACGATTCAATTACAATTGAAGAGAGCTGCGATGCGATTATAAAACAATTATCGATGCATCTTTTTTTCTATGTGATTTCTGAATAATTACTAAACATTTAATTTGCACATTAAAATCTAAAAGAAACATCTCCTTAGCTTTAAAGGACAATCTTGTTCCCCTCATTTAATTTACTAACCACAGCTTCTCCTCCTTCTCTTTAATAACCAGTTTTCAGACTCTTCTGAAAGCTAAAAAATTATTTAACTATTATCAGGAAGTACAGTATGTGAACAGAACAGAGCTGTACACCAGTTTAACTTGTACCTGATGGTCTCAACCCTGGACAAGTAAGTAGTAATGACGTACAGCTAATATTAACATTTACTTTACTGATTTAGCTGGCATTACATAGCAGCCAAAACACGTGCTATACAGGGGAGATGTTAGCTAGCGCTAACTGCCTTCCCTTTCCAGCTGCTGAGGAAACGACAGACTTTTACACACTGTGACATACACTGCACGTTAACTGCCAGACTGACAACTTACTGCTAATATCTCTAATAACTCTGCTAACTTTCACTGTCACTTTCGACCACACGCTCTCTCATTCACTACGCACACACAAGACACACAGGGAGCCAGCCATGCGATGAGTGCTACCGTGCTCTCGCAGTGTGACAGTGAGAATCAGAAGTTGTCAAGTGGTCTTAAAGAGCATGTTCAATTTTAGTAGGGTGTTAGTAGGTTATTCATTCTGCAGCAGTGGTGTGCCGAACACAGGGGAACACCACGGACTGTCCGGGCGCTGCACTTCCACTTCAGAGAGTTCTGTCTTTTGCGTTCCATCATTACCTTATTAATTAACATTTAAATAATCAATTTTTGACATTTGTTAATTAATTCAGAATCTTTTATGTCTGCAACGCGATGCATCTAAGAACCTTTTTTTTTTTCCCCTCGATTTTTTGTGTAGACACAACAACTGGTGTTAACAACAACCATCTCTGTAAGGCGTGAACCGTAAAATATGCACCCTTCTCTTACCTCTGTTACCGGCAGCTCCAGCTGAACCATATCCTCAGGCTTGGCCACTGGAGGCTGGAGAGCGGTGTCCAGGAGCAGGATGCCGTTAAGGTCCTTCCTGCATCCAACTGCATAGTCGTCCACAAAAAGCACCTTGTCCACAGCGGGAAAGTACTGACACCTGACACGACCGCCAGGTTTAGCTGCAAGAGCAACAGAGGACAGCACACAGGATCAGGAGGTTTAAAGGAAAAAAGGCAAGGTCCAAAGTTACCAGCCAATAAACATGACACGTCAGTTACATTTAGCTTTGGTGGAGTAGCATTTTGAGATGATAATACAGGGAAGCACCATGTTCTTTCCGCCATCTACCAAACATTTCTTTTGACAAACAAGTCTGACTGGCCACCTTTCCACTCATACCATCAGTGTCTCTAGTCTCTACAGGCTGGATTTCATTCATTCTTCAGGGTCCTCTTGCAGTGTTGCAGATGTGAATTCCTGGATATTAAATGTTCATCTGCAGCTTTCTATAGTGGCCCAGTAATGTTTGTTCTTACTGAAGCATGTCACATGACATGGCTGAGCTCTCTTTCAGACTAAGAACATGACTATAAATATTGACTTACCGAATATTCTGCTGGCAAAATATTATTTACATCTGCTCCTGTTTTGAATTTAAAAATATTGGTTTAAAGTAATCTTCTATCACACTTTTACAAGACAGCCCATCACTTTTTATTTATGATTTTGTTTATATTACTTCCTTATTGAAATTATTTGCTTTTTTCCATATGTGTGGAGTCATGTTCTCAGATGTAGGTAGTAATTAGCTAATATGTTCAGCAAATGTCTGAACTTTTGTATTCGATAAAGTGGGGAAGAAGTTGATAAAAAAAAACAAAAAAACAACTACTTTATATCCTTTATTGTAGTCGCTGTACATGAAGGCGTTCAGAAACCAATTTAGCTTGCTTTGTGGCAAAGACATTACCAGCAGAAACACTGTCGGCCTGCTCATTTTGAAATTACAGCGACCCCGCTAATGCCGCTGAGAGCAGCAAAGAATTATATCCTGTTCACATTCCAAATGTGCTTCGACTTCACATCATAAATGTTGCATCCTCATGGCGACATTTGAGGCTAGAGAATGTGCTGCCTAGTGCACACCTTTAGACAACCATGGAGAACGATACTTTCTAAATCGCAAAATATTTCTGAATGGCGTATTCATCTTTGTCTTTATTGTTAGTTAGCACTAAATTCAAGAGCCGATACCTAAATAGGAGCCACAGAGTAACTGTGCAATTCATAATCCACGTAGTTGGATAGATTATTTGACTACCAAAATAGTCGTTAGTTGCAGTCTTAGGCCTGAAGCATTTCTTTTATTTCAATAGGTTTCTGAAGGGGGCATGCCAGAAAAAGTTTGATAACCACTGGATTAACCGGACAGAATATTTATGAAACTTAATAGGTTGTCTCAACTAATAACTTCTTGATGAATATAAACAAGTGTTTCCCCCATATTCATTCAGCTGCTGAATTATGAGCGGCGCTACGAAAATTTCACACGCTCATTAATATCAATGGGCCACAGGCTTGTGCTGAGTGGATCGGCAATCGATGATCAGCGACTGGTTTTTCATGTGCTGATATTAAAGCAATTTTAACTAACTCACTATCAGAACTGAGATGACATAAAAACAGTCTCTACAACCTGCACCACACTGCAGTGTTTCCCATTCATTGATTTATTTGTGGCAACACCACTCGCCATAATATCATGCTGACCGCCACATACTGTTTAATATGAGGAAAATCATCATTCATCGCGGAGCTGCGCACAGCACATAGATTCACTCAGCCCCTTAACCAGTGAGTAAAAATTCCCCTTCACCAGGGAACACACCATATTATCTTTTACTGAGTGTGCCCATACATACAAATTATTTTTATTCATCTATTTTCAAGACACCAGGCTTGGCATACATATGTAATATATATGTAATAAAAACAATAAACGAGTCATGTTTTTTATCCCAAATCACTTGTGGCAGTCGTCTTGCAACATAATCTACGGGTAAGGTGACTCTCCAGCTGCTGTTATTGCCACATACTTCAGTTCAACATAAACAAATGTGTACACAGTGAAGAGTACAGTCGGCCATAATTTGAAACCAAACCTGTCCCTGCAGATCCCACTAATGAGAAATCCACCATTGTGTCCCTGAGCAAGACACTTAACCCCTAGTTGCTCCAGAGGTGTGCGACCTCTGACATATCAATTATAAGTCACTTTGGATAAAAGCGTCAGCTAAATGAGTAAATGTAACATCCAACAGATCTTACTATGGAATTTTGCACTACTTTGTGGGGCTGAACAATTAAGTGAAATTGCAAAATGACCAAATGCAATAGTCAAATCACAGGAGCTGCAATTTTTTGATGAAGGTAAAATGTGTCACAACATCCCATTATATATGAAGGATTGTGATGCTTACAAATCATATTTTCCAGACATGAGGGAACATGCTTGTTTGGAACAGACCACAGCAAGTCACATCAGCATTTTTTTTAATAAAAATGAAACGCAAAATTACCTTTCCCACTAAAATTGTGACTTATAACGCAATCGCAGTATCTGTCAAAATTGCCATTTCTTGCTTGTTTTTTTTGCTTGCAGAGGGGACAAAACTTCTATTAAAACATCCACTTTTCCATTTGAGTGTCCAATATGCGACAAGGTGGAAGTCAAGTGCAAAATGGGTAGTCCAGGATCATGTTCTGTAGTGCGTGCCATGCGAGTGATTAATGAGATTTACAGTATATTATTTTGCTCTACGAACGCTTTATATCCAGGTCATCAGCGAAAGCTGTCAATGTCAAAGGCAACTGACAGATGCCCTTAAACAGATATTAATGTTACATTTTATCTGGAAAGGATTTCTTTAAAAGATACATCATACGTGTTTATGTATCATTAAAGAGCTCATTAAATTTTAGTAAATTAACACCGTTTGATAATACAGCACTGTGGTGATGCAAGTTCACCAAAGAGAATTAAGAATCAATCAGCCAACAACTGGCTCCACTGTAAACAGCTCCAACTTTTTATCCCCACTTCTATATCTGTTCCAAAACTATTTCTTGGTATATAATAAAATTTCAGAGACCCATATGTGTCTGTTTTAGTGGTGTTTTATATGCAGATATAAAGCAGAGCCTTGCTGCTACAACTCAACCCTAGGGAAAACACTGCAGGGGATTGGGAGAGCAAAGATTTTGGAAGCAATGTGTGTGCTATGAGACAACTTGTTCTTGCTGGAGACAGACATCATGGTGAGGAAACAGCAGGCACAGTACAGTATTATGGACTGAATTATGTCTTTGTAAAGCAGTAACAGAAGAAGAGGAGCAACAGAGAGGGCTTTCAGTTTATGAATGGCAGAGAGTTTTGGTATAATTGGTAAAGGGCAACTTCAGGTATTGTAATGAAATAATAATCACTGGTATCTTTTTAGGTTGATATCCTTGGCCAATTTCACAGGAGCATAAACTACAACAAAATGAAAGCAAAACAAGATTTCTGGCTTTCATAATCCTATAATTAGCAAAGAATGCAGGTTATATTTTAAAGGTACATCTGTAAATTGTTAACAAGAGATAATAACAAAGTGCTTGTTTTCTCTTTTGCAGCAATATTGGATTATTATTATTTCCCCCAGACTTGAGTGTTGTTGGACTAAGCGGAATACTGATTTACTGCATTAGTTGCTCTGCTTTGTTAGCAGTCACATTCACTGTGTGACATATTTTATCTGTTGGGATATTTTGGAACATGAACTGGGTAGGCGTAGCATAAATGCAGAGAAGTAAATATGCTTTGATCATGAACGTTAGTTTTTCCACAGGAAAAGACTATACAATGTAAATTCCACAACTACATGGAAACCTTTCAACCATCCAAACACTGTGTCTGTTTCCATTCTGTCTTTGGGTTTGTCATCCTCTATTAATGAGTCTCAAAACAGATGACATGGACAGCATGGACAGCAATGTGCCCCCCCCCCAAAACAAGGTATGAAACAGATCTGGATATAATATAACCTCCACCCAGAGAAGGCTGAACCTTCTATTCATCACGACGACAGGCTGACTCACACAGCATCAGCTCTTACTTGAAAACAGGGAGCTGAAAATGAACTGAAAGTAAAGTGAAGATCAACAGCTCAGTGAGTCTATCTGTTGAATATCTCCCTTTCCCTTTCAGAAGGTGTAGTGTTACTTTTATGTACACTATGAACATGCAACGTAGCAATATTCTATTAACATTAGCTATTTGCTGCATAAACGTTCCTCTAAAAACCTAAATGGATGTGGTGGTTGTTTGTAAGACTTATGGGTATTCCATCAAACACAGATGTATCTCCTACTTCCACAAAAAAAGTTGGCCATCTGTTACAAACCTTAAGTCGGCTGCAGCCTATCAAACTCAACAGTCAGTGCAAAATAACAAGAGGTATATAGAGATAGTTTGTAAGCAACTGTGGGTGTAGTAATACTGTTTACAGTCGACAGCTTTATTAACTAAAACTAGAGTACTGGCTGTGGAGGATACCTCCCCTTCCAAGAATTACTCTAAAATCATAGTAAATGCAGTGTATGTGTTCATTCATTTCTCTTTCATAACTTTAACAACACTATCACACATGGTACGGTGTGTAAACAAAGCAGAGGACAGTGATCAACGTTGTAGATTGCAAGTGAGCACGGAGAGCAGCTTGAGAAAACTCTTGGGGAACCTGGTATGCAATCTAACGCTACTGTCAGTACACTGTGACAGGACACTGCGTGCTGACATGTAACATCAACAAGACAAGTAGGCTGCTTACTCGACTGAATTAGTCAAGTTAGCCCAGAAAGCAAACATGGTTCCATTAACGTTACACCAACTCTACAGCATCAATTCAGTTTACTTTCAGCATCACACCTATGCCTTAAAATGACTTGCACGATAAACTGTAAAGTTAATAAGCTATATAGCAGCTAGCTAGCTTAGTGGCTATCACAGTAATTCACATTAACACACTGCACTGACTTAACTAAGTAACATTAGGCGTGCTACTCCGGGTGTCCAGGATAGGAATCGTGCGTTGTAAACTGTATATCGTGACTGACCACTAGAATGACAGGGAAGGTTGCCCGGCTAACTAGCGTTGTGCTAATTTAACTTGCTAGCCAATAGCTTGCATGGTAGATATGTCATGTTCCAAATGTGGTCAACTGTAGCAAACACTGGCGTTCCATTATCACTAGTTTTTACTCTACACTACAAACAAATCGACGTCCAAAGATTTTATTTTATTTTTTTGCAAAAGCAGAACAGGCGAAACGAATCATGTTAAAAATAATCTAACAAGGCCCAAATATAACTGCTAGAATCAGCTAACGTTAGCTAGCTGAGGTTACAAATCAGCCTGTGTCGTGTTTAGTGTCTGTTGTCAGTCAGTGGTTGGTTTGTCAAAACTGAAACTGTTGTTGTCAGGGCTTGACAGAGGGCTCCGGTGCTTACCATGCAACGCTGAAGCCTGGAGAATGGCCCCCGAAGTGCCGTCAATTACTTTGATGCTGCCGCGGCTGGTGACGGCCAAGATAGCGTTGAGGGCCGGGTGGTAGGAAAGGCTTCGCAGGCCCACCTCGTCGCAACGCAGGCAACCGTCTCTCAGTACAATCCAGTCTGAGGAGGTGGACGAGCCGGAGCCCGGCGAGGCCGCGGCCGCCATCTTCCCTTATTTTTCCCTTCCCTTCCCTTCTGGGGTTTGTAAGGATCCGATGATACACGTAATACTGCTAAATCTATAAGACTAACTCCGAACTATCACTCCTTTGCCACTGCTGACTCCTTCTGCGGCTTCTTCTCCTCCGCCCGTTACGGCAGCAGTGGCTATTCACCATCAGCGCTGAGGAACTCCAGGCTGGGCTTTCTGTCAGCTACACGATAGGTAAACGGAGCTAGCGTATCTCTGTGTCACCTCCCGCGATAACACCAAGTGCCAACGAGAACAACGGATGACCAAAATAACAGGAACACCAAAATAATAGCTCTGCAGAAATAAAGACAAGTAACCATCAGTTGATGCAGTCCAGTTCAATGACACCACAAACTACTCCCTCAAGCATTAGCATGCAGCTGAATCTGACACTTTGACTCAAAACTGCACATTAGAGCCTCACAGATGAAGCCTAGAATTTATTGTACTGGACGACATTATACAGGCCCTTTACTAGGACTGCAACTAGCAATGTATTTTTACTATCGGCTTCAGCCTTTGCAAAAAAGACAGAAAATAGTGAAAAATGGCCTCAAATTGCTTGTTTTGTCAGAGCAACAGTCTGACGGCCAAATATATTAACATTTACAATTTCATTTAAAAGGAGAAGCAACAAATCCTCTTTTGAGAAGCTAAGCAAATGTTTGCCATTTTTTCACGATCAATTAAAAATGATTAATGTATGCACAGTTGTTATGAATTAATTTTCTGCCCATAGACTATTCTATTATTAATTCATAATTTCAGCATTGCCTGTAAATTATAATGGTCATGCAATCATAGTCATAAAAAGCATCAAATGCTTACTTAAATTAAGCATTGACAAATGGTTTCATAAAAAATAATATGTAATTACCTGCATTTTGTGTTGGGCAACTCAAAAATTACTATACCACTGTCTAAAAATTCTCCAGTGGTCAGTAAAAGTTCTGCATTGAAAATGTTACTTGTAAAAAAAAATATAAAGTCATCAGCAGTCACATGACAAAACAACCTGATGGTGTTTTTATTGTTGCTGCTGATTTTAATCAAACAGACGTCAGATGTGTTTTTACCTAACTTCCACCAGCATGTCCACATCCCCACCAGAGGAACAAATGCACTGGATCACGTTTACACCAATATTTCTGGCAGCTACAAAGCCTTCCCCGCCCCCATTTTGGTCTATCAGATCATATTTCTCTGCTTCTCCTGCCCACTTACACCCAGCTGATAAAAAAGGGTCAAACCAACAATTAAAACAGCCAAAGTGTGGACAGATGAATCTACAGCAGCTGTGCGGGACTGTTTTGGGAGCACAGATTGGAGCGTGTTCAGAGGGGCCACTACCCAGGAGAGCGACTAGTGGCCTTTTATTGTGGCCAGCCTAAGGCACACCTGTGCAATCCCCATGCTGTCTGATCAGCATCTTGATATGCCACAACTGTGAGGTGGATGGATTATCTCGGCAAAGGAGAAATGCTCACTGCTCTCTAACAGATTTTGACAGATTTGTGAACATTATTTGAGAGAAATAGGCCTTTTGTGTACATGGAGAAAGTCTTAGATCTTTGACGCAAAAAAAAAGTGTTGCATTTATAATTTTGTTCAGTGTAAAAAGTCTGCAGTGTCCGGTCTGAACGACTGCCACCCTGTGGCTCTTACCCCCTTTCTGATGAAGTGCTTTGAGGAACTGGTTCTTCAGCACATAAAGAACAACATCCCAGCCAGCCTGGACCCTCAGCACTTTGCTTTCAGAACCAACAGATCCACAGAGGATGCCATCTCCACTGCCCTCCACTCAGCCCTCACACACCTTGAGAAAAACAACACCTACGTCAGAATGCTGTTTGTGGATTTCAGCTCAGTGTTCAACACAATCTCCCCATGAAGCTGATCAGCAAACTCAGCACTCTGGGTTTAAACACAACACTCTGCAGCTGGATACTGGACCTCCTCACAAACAGACCCCAGACAGTTCGGATTGGTGGACTCACCTCCTCCACTCTAGTGCTCAACACCGGAGCCCCCCAGGGCCGTGTGCTCAGCCCCCTCCTGTTCACGCTGTACGCCCACGACAGAAACCCTCAACTTGACTGGTGCTCAGAGAACAAGCTACTGCTCAACGTCAGCAAAACTAAGGAGCTGATCGTTGATTTCAGGAAAAAAGAGATGAAGACACACTCCTGTCTCCATCAGTGGAGCTGAGGTGGAGCAGGTGAACAGTTTCAGGTTCCTGGGAGGCTCTGCAGGGGGGGATTCAAACTGCTCAGAAGATCATTGGTACCCATCTCCTGAACATCAGTAATATCGGTGAGGTGAGGTGTCTGCAGAGCCCAAAGGATACTAAAGGACAGTACCCACCCAGCCACAGCCTGTTCACCCTGCTGCCTTCTGGGAAGACATATAGAAGTTTCTGCTGCCACACCACCAGACTGCAGAGCAGCTTTTCCCCCCAAGCTATCAGACCCTTAAGCTCAAATTCATCCTCAGCACTGCTCCATTGAATAGAGTTTATTTCTGTTTACCATTTTTACAATTGCTTTTATATTACTGTATATTGTCTGCTACGTAGCAGAAGAGAGTTACAAACTCAATTTCATTTTACAACCTGTTGTAATGTGACAAATAAAGTATAATCAGGAAAATGTACTTAAAGTTGTACAAAATGTACAAAAGTAAAACTACTCCGTACAGAAAAATGTTACTACAATTGTACAGCCTTTTAATAATATAATAATAATGTAATAAAAAATAATAGTATGATAGAACACAGGAGCCTCATTGAATAATAACACAACACTGTTTTATGGAGGATTTGCCTGAGCTGATATTGAACCCAGAGCCTCGCAAGCTAAAATGAAAGCTGACCATTAGGTATTAACAAAGGAGCCCCCTGACATCAGAAGCACAAACTGACATTTTGTTGAGAGAAAAAAAATATTTAGATTTTCTAAAATGAAGCTTTTAGGTCAGAAATGTGAACACTTTTAGTGGCAGTATGTATGTAGGTGTAAGCTCAAAAACATATTGCCAGCACCTGGGTCTGACTCACACCTTTGGATATAAAAGGTTTCAACACAGTTCACATAGACTGCCATTATAATTTTATTTTTTTTAACACAAAATGCTATTTTATTATGTTACAGAAAAGGATTAGCATAAATCTCATTATGAACTGAAGTGTGTATGAGAAACAGTACAGGAGTAAAAAGAGGACAAAACCCGGCAAAATAATAAACCTGTGTGAGCTGCAAGCTGTCAACATCTGCTGGAGTTTTTTCAGGACCTTTAGCGCCACCTGCAGGTAAAATTGTCTCAAACATTATAGACTCAATGGAGTTAAACACTGCATTAACAAGGCTGACTTTGCCAAAGTTTTTTGTCTGTCTGTCAGTTGGTCCATCAATTTGGTCTGAACTGAAACTACTCATCACATATTGGATGGATTGCCATGGAACTTTGTAAAGACATGTTGTTTACCAGAGGATGAATCCTACTGACTGTTGATCCCCTGACTTTTGACATTTGTGGGCCTTTCTTGAAATATCTTGGCAAGTGTTCAGTGAATTCTTATGAAATTTGGTTCGGATATCCATGGTGTCCAACTTCTGCAGGATGGATTGGTACAAAATGTGGTAAGCTACAGGCATTCATGGTTCCCAGATGATGTCTCCTAATGACTTTGGTGTTCCACCAAGAGCATGGCATGTGGTTATGAGTGAAATGAAATGTCAAAGCCATTAGATGGATTTCCATGAAATTTGGTACACACATTCATGTTCTCCTCAGAACGAATTGTAATCACTTTTCTGACTTTTTAAATCTCATGCTTATCAGGTCAGAATCTCCATTTTTCCAATTCTTTGGTTTATGACCAAATACATCCAAAACTAATGTCGTTCCCATCAGCCTCAGCTGTACTTTGCGTTTAGTGCTAATTAGCAAATGTTATACCTGCTTAACATTAGCAGTTAGCATTGTCATTGTGAGCATGTTAGCAATAGACAGGTAATGTTAGGGTTGGACATTGCTGGCATTAACTGCACTGTGGCTCTTTCACTTGCCTGGTGTGTATGTGTTGATAATCCACCTGGTAAGCATTTGAACACACAGCAGTTGATTTCATCAGCGGATGTGGCTCACAGCTACTGACCTGACCTTTTTTGAAGTGATCAAAGTTGATCACTTTAAAATGGGTCAGTTATAGTTGACAGTCTTCATCACATTACAGCAGCTGGATCTGGGTCTGAACGGTAAATTAGAAGTAAAAAAAATTGCTCCCGAATATCTAGATAGCAGCTACAGTGGTAAGAAGACAAGATGTGAGCTCAACTATAGGGCTGCAACTATTACTTCCATTATTGATTCTTTTCCCAAACATCACTGAATCATTCCCTCTACAGAGCTCAAGGTGACATCTTCAAATTGTGTTGTTCGACCAGCAGTTCAAAACCACTAAATATAATAATATTAACTAAATGGTGCATCAATTATTTAAATTCCTATTGAATTTCCTGTTGATCAGCCATTCATTGAGTTTATCGTTTCATTTATCTTACCTTTGCTTATTATAAAAAAAGATTCAGACTTATTTTGTGACTTTTATTGTGTGATTGTAATTGTCAATTAGTGGTCATTTGTTATAGATTGTTCTGTTTCTTGAAACAGACTTATGCCATGTTTTTTTTTTACAGGGTTTCCACATTTTATAAAACAGGATAAAGAGCATACAGTGTTTAACAAATGTAGTGCTAAACTGATTGAGTATTGGCTAATCAATGAACCAACACAAAATTGATTAGTTTTGATAATAATCAGTTACTAAAGTTAAAAACACATAATTTGCTGGTTAGACCTTGTGAAATGTTATGCTTGGTCATCTGTTTCATATTCACTGTAAAGCGCTACTTTTGGATATTAAGCTGTTATAATAACCTAATGGACGTGATCTCTTTAGACATTTACAGAAATCAGTAATGATTTGCAGCTTTAACACACAGCCCTTGCAAATGAAAAGAATCAAAAACCACATGTGGTTCTACGATGAAGCTGAGTTATGTGAACGTCATACAGAGGCATGTATTGAGACAGAGAAATTGTCTTGGGATTTTCGAGAGAAGGCTCCAAGCCTGATGTTTTAAATTTACGTAGTGTTGCTCAGATGGGAATATGGGTTGGCCTTTAACTTTGGCCATGAAATGTTATATAGCCATTCATGGTCCACTGAGGATGAATCCTAATAACTTTGGTGATCCTGTAACTCTTCACCCAGCACTATCATCAGGTCAAAATTTATGTGTCCAATATTTTGGGTTTTGACTAAATCCTTGCAAAACTACTGACGTTCCATCAGTTTCAGATGTGCTGTTTTGTGCTAAACAGCAAATGTTGGCATACTAACATACTAAAAAACTGCCTGTCCCAAATCCATACTACATACTTGCTCTAGCAGTATGTAGCCTAGCATGTTTCCACTGGAAAAGGGGCAAAATAAAGTACACTCAAACCAGACAGCATGCACACTTGGTATTTTTTGAGTGTGCTGTTGATGAACTCTATTCTCCCACAATAGAATGTGCAAAGAAAGTGAAGCAGCAGCTCACAGCTGAGGAAAAAACAAGATTGGCGGTAGTGACGAGACAGTACCAGAAATAATTTGGAAAACAGAAATAAGTATTAAAGAAAGACATTTTGGCTTGTCTTTGTGAAGTTTAATGGCTAAGGAATTCCAAAGTCAATCTCTTTTTACACTAACTGCCAAAACACTATACTATGAGTAGCAGTATGTAGTACTGTATATACAGCATAGTAATACTATGGTAGGAAGGTGGAACATTATAGCTGCTAAACAGCAGGTTAGCTTTGTCATTGTGCTGTTAGCATTTAGCTGTACAGCCTCACAGAGCCACAAGCATAGCTGTGGACTTTCAGTGTGCCTTTTTGAGTGTGCTTAATTTGTTTGTCTTAAAACATTGAGTTAATGTGTATTATAGAACAAACTAATATTTTTCTAGGTGAATCCAATGTGTTGTAACAATCTTAAGGGTGTTACAATTTACAGAACTATATCACTATATTAGTGACCAGCTGTGTTTTCTGTATATAATGCAGTAATCAAACAGGAAAGACCACATGTTAAATCACAATATCTATTGATTTTCTGTAATAACGGATCAAATTATTATATTCCTGTATTGAACGGTTGAAAACAGGACTCAGGTGGGAAAACAAGGCACCACATTTAGAAGACAATTGTTTATATCACTCCAATTGCCCTAGTCGACTTGCAATCCATAAATATAGAAAACAAGTCTATGAAAAATGAAAAGCATAAATGGACATATCTCATAGTACATTACAATGGATAACAATGAAGAACATTATGCTCTACAATCTCTTTCTTTCTGTGTCTCTTTCCTCTTCCTTCAGCATGAACATATACACACAGATATTTGGCACCATATACTTCAGTGGGATAAAGAGTCAAAATAAATCAATAAATTAAAGTTCAACCCTGAGCCCATTTCCTGCTTCATGAATTACAAGTAAATGCAGGACTGTGGGGGCTGTACTGCACTGGTGAACCACAAGTCTGAATACAGTTTAAGCTGTAAAAGCAGATGCATTTTATTGACTGAAGACATAAAGGGACAAAATTGTATATACACACCGATTTATATTCTAAAACATCCCCACCTTTGAATTTGACAGAGTTAAAAAAGAAATTCTCTTTTAAAAAAATCCTGTCTTCCATAGCATTTTCCTGCCCGTGCTCCAGGATCACTGTCCATGAAAAGGTCCACAGATTTAACTCATCCAGTCACACACCAGTATATAGTGATAGGAAGTAGATATACAAAAGGAAAATGGGATATATGAGAAGGGGCTTCTTTGTTTTAAACTGATCTCCGACGAGCAGTGAAGCGGCACTGTAAGCAGCCCAGAACACTCCAAACAGCTGAAAGAGCAGAACAGACAATAAAGTATCATCAATATATCTGACTGAGAAGTATCGCATCATATCACATTTGTCCTCACATAGGAAAAATATAGATACCAGCCTATTCATGGGAGTTATTGTGTTTAGATGCTGTTTTTGGACTAAACATTTATTGCACTCTTGGAAGCTTTATTTCCTGTGGCTATCCTGTGTAGACACAGTTTAAGTGTTTACAAATGGAAATCCAACATGCCGCTTGTTTTCCAAGCTGACTGCTTGATAAGGGTGCACTATTAAGCTTTGGGTTTGAACACTTATTTATGATTATGGCGGAGGTTAAATATATTAATCATTTTAACAAGAACAACATTTTTAAACAGTGTTTGACACAGCAGACCAGTGTCCACTGTGTACCTAGGCCTGCAAACTCAAGTGCTGTGAAACCGTGTGAATACACAATGCAAAAATAGGCCTGGTCATTTTCTCTGCCTTTCATGTGATGCCATGCGCCTCTTTCTCTTCTTGGACCACTTCTCTCTGCTTCACTTGAGGACAGCAAAACTCCACTGACCATGTTGTGCAGCATTGTGACATTAACTGATGTCAGTAACGTCAGACAGACCATACAGACAGGAGAAGCAGTCAAGGAAGAGTAGCAGACGTAGCAGATGTTCATCCTGGCTGTGAATGTGATCAATTCTGTGCTTTTCTGGAGAGTTAATGTACGTTACAATGCCACAGGTATGTAGGATTTTTCACAGAAAATAGGCGCAGGTGTTTTGACGCACATCAGACATTGTTGGCTACAATGCCTTTACAAGCCAATCACAGTGACATTAGATTCTTCTTCCTAGCGACTGTTATCACACACACTATCCATCTGAAGTTTCAGTTTTACATAACATGAAAAATAAAATGTTAATGTGTTTAATATTAATGTGTGGTTTTTGACTCACTTTGATTAGTGTAGAAACCACCTCAAACCCTCCGATCACTAAGAGCAGAGGGGCTATAACGATGAGAGGAAGAAGGGAATATCCAATCACTCCGAGAACCTGGCCGAAGGAAACCTGCTCAAAAGAACAGCAGGGGTCCATAAAAAAAGTTTGAGGCATGCATGACTGTACGTTGACTGGCTGCAGAAGATAACTAGGTGTTAGCTGTACTTACCTCACCACCGAGAACACGAGCCAGCAGGAAGATTGTTAGCGATCCAAATATCCAGATGGTGATAATCCAAGACACAACCTGCGAAAGAAAAGCAGTTTACTGTCAACACTAACATCCCATCCACACATTTAATCATATATATTAACAGCTCCACAAACGTCTTTAAATGAATTTTGTAAACAAGCAGCATTCACTGATTTCCCCTCCTACACCATGAATGATGGTACATATTGTATATCCATTATCACAGATTCTGCCTTTGTTTCCACTGTTCTCCAAACACTTAGGGAACAAGTTTCTAGAAGTAAATTTGAGCAGTGTTCAAGAGGTGATACTACTGGAAACGCAAGTTCCAGGTACTTTCAGGGGTTAGCGGCAAAACTGTCGGTTTTCAACACAGGGTTTTAGATCAAGATGAAGTTATAGTTCCTTTTATGCTACTCACAAAACAATCATTAGGCCTATCTACAGAAATGAGTAGATGGGTGAATCTAACAAGTCATAGATATAAAATAATTTTACATGGTGCAATGGTGAGGATGAACGGAGGAGTCTCAGTCTGAGGGGAACAGCTGTTCCGCAGTCTGGTGGTGCGGCAGCAGAAACTTCTATATGTCTTCCCAGAAGGCAGCAGGGTGAACAGGCTGTGGCTGGGTGGGTACTGTCCTTTAGTCTCCTTTGGGCTCTGCAGACACCTCACCTCGCCGATATCACTGATGTTCAGGAGATGGGTACCAATGATCTTCTGAGCAGTTTGAATCCCCCCCTGCAGAGCCCTCCCGGTCCTGGGCCGTGCACATCCCATGCCAGTTAGTGATGTTTCCAGTCAGGATGCTTTCTGTTGCTCCTCTGTAAAAGCTGACAAGAACTTGGCGTGGGAATTTAGTCTTCTCAAGCTTCCTCCAGAAATACAGTCGAGTCTGAGCTTTCTTCACCAGCGTGGAGATGTGAGACGACCACGTCAGGTTCTCTGTGATGCTGATTCCCAGGAACCTGAAACTGTTCACCTGCTCCACCTCAGCTCCACTGATGGAGACAGGAGTGTGTCTTCATCTCTTTTTTCCTGAAATCAACGATCAGCTCCTTAGTTTTGCTGACGTTGAGCAGTAGCTTGTTCTCTGAGCACCAGTCAAGTTGAGGGTTTCTGTCGTGGGCGTACAGCGTGAACAGGAGGGGGCTGAGCACACGGCCCTAGGGGGCTCCGGTGTTGAGCACTAGAGTGGAGGAGGTGAGTCCACCAATCCGAACTGTCTGGGGTCTGTTTGTGAGGAGGTCCAGTATCCAGCTGCAGAGTGTTGTGTTTAAACCCAGAGTGCAGAGTTTGCTGATCAGCTTCATGGGGAGATTGTGTTGAACGCTGAGCTGAAATCCACAAACAGCATTCTGACGTAGGTGTTGTTTTCTCAAGGTGTGTGAGGGCTGAGTGGAGGGCAGTGGAGATGGCATCCTCTGTGGATCTGTTGGTTCTGAAAGCAAAGTGCTGAGGGTCCAGGCTGGCTGGGATGTTGTTCTTTATGTGCTGAAGAACCAGTTCCTCAAAGCACTTCATCAGAAAGGGGGTGAGAGCCACAGGGCGGCAGTCGTTCAGACCGGACACTGCAGACTTTTTAGGTCCAGGATTGATGTCTTGAAGCTGGTGGGAACCCTCTCCTGAGACAGTGAGATGTTGAAAATGTCAGTAATAACATCAACTAGCTGATTGGCTCTGGTTTTTAGTACACGGCCCTGGATGTTATCAGGCCCAGCTGATTTACTCATATTCACTCTCAGCAGGACTCTCCTCACATCTGCTGTGGATACTGACAGGGGCCGGTCCTCTGGAGGTGGAGTACACTTTACAGCTGACTCCTTGTTGAGGAGATAAACACAGTGGATATTTTACAGAACGGACCAGGTAAAGCAAAAGTGAACTGTGAACACACCAGTGCAGATGTCACATATTACGACGTTGGTTTCGATTGTTTCGATAGGCTACGTCATTAACAAGCCTCCTCCACATATGGCACACCTGCTGCTGAAAAAACGGTGTTTGCAGTAAGAAACCAGAGGTGTAGGTGAGAGTGAGTATGGGGAAAAGACAACTGAAGTGAAAAGCAAGGTGAGCAGATTCAAGTAGTGAGGAAAAACTAAAACACTAAAATAAGGTGGATAATAAAGTAGAATTAAAATAAGAATGAACTACTAGAAATAAAAAAAATATACCCCGCCAACCCAGCCCATTTCTCAGCATGTGACAGGAATCAACCCACTGTCAAACAGGTCAAACAAGTCAGCCAAACAACTGACTTGTTCCAGTCCATGCCCTGCCCTGGATTCAGCGTGAAACAACAACAATAAGCACACATTCACTGCTGTCTTTCCTACAAGCGTTCAATAGCCTACCAAACAGCACACTGAAATATAGTTGGTCTCTGTACACTTTTTTAATGATCTATTTCCAAATTGTACCAGCTCGTAAAATACAGTTTAAATGTAAGGAAGAACCCTGTACCAAAGCTTCACAGGATTCACAAAAGTTCGGCTCATGGGGAGCCCCAGGGAAACACAGTTGACTTCATGAATGCAGATGATACAGTGAGTGTTCACTGTGTCGTGCTCACCCTGAACTGTCCATAGATCGAGATCATGGAGAAGAGCAGCACCACGGCTAGAGGACCCCAGAAGTCCGGGTTGTCTCTGACCACCTGCCGGTTATAACCCAGCGAAGGCATTGGCATCAGCACACAGCGAATCTTGTAATAGATGTCCTTCAGGTCAATGTCCAGCTCCTCCCTGCTCACACAGATGAGAAAACATTATAAATATGTAAATGCTCTGTATCTGTAGACTTTCTAGTCTTTTTGACCACTCAAAGCGCTTTTACACTACATCTGCATTCACTATTCACACACATTCATACAACAGGGGTTCAGTATCTTGCCCAAGGAAACTTTTTCATGCAGCCTGGAGGAGCCGGGGATTGAACCGCCTCTCCATCAGAAGGCAACCCGCTCTACCTCCTGAGCTACAGCCGCCCCAATACCCCCCTATCTTTTAATACACCTATTAAACAGAAGTTCCCATTATATTGCAATACTGTGGCCATGATGTGTGACTGGAGCTGGTGGTGCTCACAACACTGTGTCTGCTCCTGATTAAAGCTACTCAGCTGGCAGGCATGTCCTCAGTATACCAGCGTGCTCTCTCACTGTAACTTAGAGATGCATGATCAATCTGAGTGTGCAAGTTTTGAATGCACTAAGGCTGTTCCTGTTCGGGTTCCTGTTTATAGACATTTTGTAGTAGTAAAAGTATTGTCTGAGCTGTCATAAGTGGACACAGCCAGATCCACCAAACACCACCAACTGGCTGGGAACAGGTGGCGTCAGACAAAAGTTGTGCTTTTGTTGAAAAAAAGATAAAGACCAGATAAAGCAAAGGCCTGTGTTAAAAAAGACTCACAGAAGAGGTTTGCTCTCTTCACTGTCGTCCTCTTCTACCTCCAGCAGCCAGCCATAGCCTCGCTGCCTCAGGAAGGTAGTAGCATATGGGTCTTTACCGCTGTCACTGCCCATGTTCAGTTTAATGTCCGGGGCACTGATGGTCCCGCTGAGCTCTGTGGAGAACAGGTTTGTTTGCAGAGTTAATTATTTGATCATCAAGTACATACACTGACAGGATGTATGACAAAATCCCACAAACACAATATAAATGTTTAACAGTTGTAAGGGAACTCATTTCTCTGTTTGTGGTTCAAAGACACCAAATTTAAAGGAGCATTACACTAATTTACACAAATTCTACCCTTGTTTATACCCTAAACATCATTGAACATTTCAGTAGAAAAACATCTATCTAAACTAGAGTTTAAACAATTAGTCAATAAACAGAAAATTATATTATATATCATCAACTGTTGCTGAAAATACTAGGTACTTGATGGTTCGCGCTTTTTCATTCTGAGTATTTGCTGCCTTTTCCTGTAAATTGAATATCTTTGGGTTTGGACTAGAGCCCGACCGATATGGGATTTTTAAGTCCGATACCAATTTCAATATTTGAGGATTTTAAAATCTGATAGCCGATATATCGGCTGATATTCTTTTCCCCCCTTATTTTAAGAAATACATAACATAAACAAAGATTATCCCTAACATTTGTTATGTTGAGACCTCACCAAGATGTTTAGGCTACACTCCGCCCAAACGCAGTGTGGAGTCAGCTGTGGTCATGGTACTGTAAATTAACTTGTGATACAACAGCTGTATCTATTGTCGCTCATGTCTCAATCACTCACTCACTTAGCAAACACACTCAGAAGTTGTGGCCGGAGTGTAGCCTAAACATCCACACTGTTTCACTTACAGGCTGGATGACAAATTGTTCTCACATCACCTCAACGTCAGATAAATAACGATACATGATACAAATGTTGACTGGCAAGACAATAGTGTTAATGATGCCAAAGATAGCGGAATATAAACATGATCGATGGTACGAAGCTGTATCACAGGTTAATCTGGGCGCTCTGCCACAGCTAAAAGCGGTCTCCACTTTGCAGTCCATCTGAACGTCAAACACCTCAGCCTGTTTCTCTTATGCAAGTAAGAACAGATTAAAACCGACAGTGGCACAAATCAGACAGACAACATGAACATTTTGGTAGTTTATTGACGTTTTGCAGGGTTTTGAACAGCGACACAGTCACCTCCATTATCACGCTGAAAGTCCTCGTTTTAAACTAATCTGCAGGTGGGAAAGGTCCCTGTGAATCATCGTGCAGCTATGATGTAGCCTACAAAACTACATTCATGCATATATCTACCATGACCATACATTACGCAGATAAACAAAGTTATCGGAACGTATTTCCTGGTTAGCAGAAAATGGATCCTGAAGCCACTCCTGCAACAAAACTGGGATCACCAGTTAATCTATCCACCACTTAAACTGTCACACCGGCAGAGCCAACTGCAGTCAGCTGATGTGGTTGGCAAACTATGCAACACTCATGACATGGAAGGATCCGACTCTCCATTTCTCTTTATTAATAGTCATATATCGGCTGTTATAAACGCTGATGCAGATGTATCTGCAAGTAGCTTATATCGGCCCATAATATCTGCTAAATGATAAATCGTTCGGGCTCTAGTTTGGACCGTCAGTTGAAGAAAAATAAACAAAAAAAGCAATTGAAAAGACCCTGTCTTGGACTGGGCAATTTTCAGTATTTTCTGATCTTTTATAGGCTAAACGAGTAATTAACTAATCAGGAAATAATAGGCTTAATTGATAAACTGATTTAAAATAAATGAGAAATTAAACATTGGCTGCAGCTCTACCCTAAATACACCCCACCACCTTTTACCTCACTTCCTCATATAACAGACTGCTCACCTGTTTTTAATATTCAAGGACAATTCTGCTTATTGTACAGCTTCAGGTAAAATCTACTTGACTAGTGTACATTATTCCATCATATTACTGTACAGCGTGTGTTTACTACTCATCTATCTATCTAAGTCTATCTAAGTGTATATAATCCAACATATGTAAACTTTCATTTAAACACCTAACTTAATCACGTTGTTATGAAATCTGTTTATAAGCTTATAAAAGGTTTAGTGTCATGTATAAATAATCAAGTCAGTTAACGTTATAGAGAATCATTCCCAGTCTCCGGAGTCGGAGTGAAAGTTATATTTTGGTCATGATAGCTAACTTCAGCGTCCTTACAGAGCATTATCACTGCAAGAGAAACTCTAAGGTTTTATTTTAGTGGCCACGAAACAATAAGCAGGATCAAATAAAGCCGTCTGTTAGCTACGTTCGTTAACGACATGTCTCTGCACTGAAATTAGTTGGCAAAACTAAACATTAGCTTTCACATTTAATTACATGTAACAGTAAGTACAGAAGCTATTTCGAATAGCACAGTGTCGGCCACATGTAAAGAGTATTTTTATATAGAGTACCAGAATGATAAAATAAAATACAGCACGTAAACAGGTAGCGCTATGTGTTAGCTCTGACACGGCCTGCTAGCGTTGCAGCCCTGCTGGCGTTAGCCTAACGTTACCTTCAGCCTCTGTCGAAGACACGAACGTGAAGTCTCCGTTGGTTGGAGTGAACTGCATGGTTGCTTTTCTATTACTTCCACGCGCCTCAGCTACAAACAAATAACATTTACTAAGCAGTCAGTGAAATATGTCGGGAAGCGTCAACAACGCTGTCATTGACCACAGCTCATCAGTGAAGTTTAACTATCGCATTTTGTTTTTGTTCTGTGTCGATCTTCTTCGGTGGAAAGCAGGAAGCTGGGAAATGTGACACGTCTTGTGATGCATTCAAGTCACGTCATGAAACTGGGACATGGCACAGCTTACTAGAAAATACATCTCCACAGAGAGATGTACTTGTTTATTATCCAATTAATGTGAACATGAAACCTACAGATTTTTGTCTTATTAGTAATTTTTCACAACATGACAACTTCGTCTGAATTTTGGGAGGTGATTGTTCTTTTATCTTAATTGTTAAATGAACGACGTTAGGAAGCGATCACTCCTAGGGCAGGGGTCATCATACATCCTACTTTTATTCAAGGGCCAGAATTTCTCTAAGCAGACACCATGATGGTTTAATGGTTTTTACACAAAATGAACATTTCTAACCCTATATCACTGTGAACAGACCCTTAAAAATATGGTAAATCCATAATGATAAGTAGCCTACTTAATGAGTTTGAATGAATTTTTATTTTTATTTTTTATTACTATTGCAAGACAAAATAAACAACACTGACATGGTGATACAAAGGGAACAAGACATGAGAAAGGAAAAAATTAAAAAAGAGCATCAATACAACAGACCAACTTTTCATTTAGAATATAAAATAAGAAGAAATAGTCAGGTCCTTCTTGCAAAAGATATCTAGATCTCAATAAGATTTCCTGATTAAATAAAGGTTATCATGAAATTGTTAAGTGTAAGCAACTGTTTAATTGGAAGTTAATGGGGAGCAGAAAGAATTACATTGAGGACTATTTATATCAGAGTAATTAAATCCATTTTGGGAATGCAGCAAATCCTTTCTAAAAAAAAACAACAAGAAGAGATTGAACCATGTGTTTTCAACAGTAACATGTTTGGCTTTGATAATAACTTTGGGGACAAGAGTTTAAGAAAGTCTGTTATCATTGGAGATAAATTTAAGTCCATTTTCTTATACTTAAATCTCTTATGGATTCAAACTGTTGATATTCAAGAAATGTATTATTGCTAATTCCATTTTGTGCCTCTAGATCCTGGAATGGAATAAAGTCCCTGCCCTGGATGACATGCTGTAGATGTCTTATCCATTTATTGTACCACAATGGGGAATTTAGCATTTTCTTATTTTGCAGGATGTCAGGATTGTTCCAGATCAGATTAAGTCTGCATGGGATGGGTGAAGACCCAGATATTTTGAGAAATTCCCACCAGGCTTCCAGGGAAGTGCTTGTGTTAATGCTTTTAAAACAAGTATGATGTTTGATACTGGAGCTGATGAATGACATATTGGAAATAGTCATTTCCTTACAGAAGGTTTGTTCTATGTACATCCATGAGTGGTCCGAAGAGCTTTGATTGATCTATTTTGAGATATGTTGAAATCTGTTGGACAGGAAGTAATGAAAAAAAAATTGGCAGCTCCAAACCACCACAATTTTTTCCTTTTTGCAAAATTTTAAAACTGATTCCTGAGGGTTTATTTTTCCATAAAAAATTTTGAGATGTTTGAGTCCAGTGACTTAAACCAGTCAGCAGAAGGTTGGGTGGGTAACACTGAAAACACAGTGACCTCCTCTAGCCTTTTTGCCAGGGCTTTGCAGATGATTTTAAGTTTTAAGTTTTAAGTTCTGCGTTAATAAGTGATATTGGGCGATAACTGGATGGGAGTGTGGGATTGTTGTCTGGTTTAAGGAGCAGGCTGATATAAGCAGAATTCATCGTTGGAGGAAATATGCCACTACCCCTAATTTGCATTACCATCCTATAAACTGTGGGTGCAGATGTTTCCCAGAACTCCTTGTAGAATTCAGCAGGAAAACCATCTGGCCCATGGGCTTTATCTTTCGGCAAATTTAAGAGGGCTTCATGGAGTTCAGCCATTGAAACAGGTGAATCCAGAGCCCTGATCTGTTCATCATCTAACCTTGGCAAATCTATATTGTTCAGAAATGCATCGATGTTAGAGTTGCATGGACCAATAAGCGATGTACGTAAGTTTTTATAAAAATCTCTTAAGGTATTATTTATTTCTTCTGGGTTATGAGTCATATTCCTAGCTGAATCCTTGATGGTGGAAATGGTTATTTCTTTATTCAGTTGTAATTTGTTGACTAGGAATCTGATGGATTTATTGCCATGTTCAAAGTACTCCAAGTGTAGTATTTGCAACTGGAAGTGAATCTTTTAATCAATAATAATAATAATAGTCATAATTGAGCTGCTGACCAAAACATAATCAAGGCGAGAATATAAGTGGTGGACTGGTGAAAAGAATTTTCAAAGAATATTTGTATAGCACATTTCATACAAAAAAGCAGCTCAAAGTGCTTTACATTCACAAGCACTTCACTAAGTAACACATAAATAAAGCATACAATACGGCAGCATCCATATATGCCACTACAATAGTCCAATCATAAAAAAGCAAAAGCATGCAACAACTTTTTGGCATCTTCCAAGGCAAGGTAGGGTCTAACTCTGGCAATGGTTCTTTTTTTTAAAAACATTAAAAATGCAACCTCTGTAACAATGTTAAAATCTAACAATGAGTCAATACCTGGGTGTCCTTACCCAGGTTTCTGACAACACTGTACAGTCAGACATTTCAATATATTAGAAAAATGGTTTCTTTTTATGCGTTAATGCCAACTATAAGAATTTCTGTCTTGTCCTCATTCAGTATTACTCATCTAGTGGAAGGATATCATGTTTATCTGAGACATGGTCAGCAAGACTGACCAAATAATTTTGTCAGTGCCAGAGATACCAAACCAGTTCTCAAAGGCATGCTGTCAGACCAAGGAGTACAAGAATGGAAACATTTTTATATTTAGAGCTCACCTTGAGGTCACTGACAACCTTTACAAGTGCCATTTCTGTGCCATGTCCCTCTCTAAAACCAGACTGAAATTTATTGTGGATCTTATTCTCAAGATCACCCAACACAAGACACATTATAGCCTTGCTGTGAAAAGGAGAAGAACAAGATGCAGATGTTTTGGTCAGATTAGTTCAACTGAATTTTTATGTAACTGCGTAGGGTATTTTGTTCACATCTAAAAGCCCTTTCAGATAGGAAGCGGTTTGCTCAACATTACTGAACTGCATGTTGCTTGAAACAGCAACAAACTGCCCAGGCGTTGTGCAAGTCTTTGAAAACAATGGGTTTCATTGAGCAGCGGTGTCGTTGTTGAGGTGTGCACGAAATGCCCTTATAACATTACAAGACATTTAGTTTTTTTTTCCTAATTAAAAATATTATATCAAACACTAACGTCACATAAAGTCTTTAGCAGATTGACTTTAAATCTGGTTAAATGAAAAACAAGAGCCACTAACACAAGTGTAAAGCACCTCATGCCTGGGTACCCTACACTCTTCCCATGGCTTCCAGACCTGGGGACCGCAGACGTGAGGTCTGCAGGTGGATCCTCTTGGACTATCCTCCTGTCCCACATTACTCTATTAGTCTCTAAGTATACTCCAACCCTCTAGCACAGCGATTCCCAAAGTGTGGTTCGCGCACCCTTGGGGGTGCGTGAGCTGCCTCTAGGGAGTGCTCGACAGGAAAAATATAATGGTTGTGTTGTAGTGTAATAACTACAACAATTATTTTTTGGTGGAATTTTTCATGAAATACAAACCTGTATAGAAAATTTTCCTTTGTAAATTTAATTTCTAATTAAAAATGTTATTATTAATAGTTAGTTCACAGGAAATGGCTACCCGCACACCTCTTTCCCTCTCCCTCTCCCTCGCTCTCCTCTCAATCTCTCTCTGTCCACCTGTGCTGTACTTACAAATCCTCATATGGATCCTCTTTTTGTTTTATCTGTTTATGAGCCTATAACAGGGTGCGATTTGTAAAAAAATCCGGGTATGTTTTGAAATGTATTTTTTTTGTCATGAAAATACCCCCCAACTCCCTCCACACCGTTCGGCATGCAGATGAACTGTGGATTGATTGCAAAGTTTAACCATCACAGTATGAGAAAAGGTTACTTTTTAAAGTAATAAATATATAACGTTACATCGTGATGCAGAGCTGCAGTGAAAAGAAGACAGATGCATGCTGTGTATGTATATATGTATGCAAACCTAGAGAGGGGATTGGGAGGTGCAGCAACCCGGTCAAGATGTAGAAGGGGGTGCGTTGCCTAAAATGTTTGGGAGCCGCTGCTCTAGCACTGTGGGAAACAGCTGCTACTTAGAATGGGGCCACACCCAAACTACAACATAAATATGATGAGAAAAAAAAAAGAGAAAGTGAATTTCATACATGTAACACAAACTGCTATAGCTGCAACTCACAGCCAAATTGTTTAGAGGATAAAAAACAATATTTGTGTGTTTTACACATAAGAGGAATTTACTTTGGTGATAAGGTGCTACATGTAGACAGACATACAGTTGACATAAATAAATGTAGAAATATATAAATATGGAATCGACAATGCAAGTTATATAAGAATAATAAAAAGAATAGAGAAAAATAATACAACTATTTGCAGAGAAAGAACAACGTCGCAGATATTTACATGTGCATTATTCTGGGTTTGTGTTGTGCAGACGTATTGCAACGGAAGAGAGTATTGTGTACATAAATATATAAATTGACAAAATATAAAAATATATAACAACGATTAACAATTAACAACAAATATGTGCCCTGTGCCAGGTTTGTGCATGATATGAAATGAAATAATATTTACATGTGCAGAAAGATTTGTATTATTTGGGGGGAGTGTCAGTCGGGGGGCCCGGCCTTGTTGATGAGGCTAGCTGCAGACGGGTACCAGATGGTGATGGAGGAGGTGAGGATGGACTCAGTGATGGCGGTGTAGAAGTGCACCATCATTGTCTTTGGCAGGCTGAACTTCTTCAGCTGCCGCAGGAAGTACATCCTCTGCTGGGCCTTCTTGGTGAGGGAGGTGATGTTCAGCTCCCACTCGAGGTCCTGGGAGATGATGGTGCCCAGGAAGCGGAAGGAGTCCACAGTGATGACAGGGGAGTCACTCAGGATGATGGGGGAGGGTGTGGGGCTGGACTCTTGTTTTGCCAGGTGACA